AAAGGTTGGCCGCCGAAGCCGCGAGACGGCAGGCCTTATTGTAAATAATTGTTTGTCTCGTAGCTTAGTTGCTAGATCTTACGATGCTTACCAAGACGTAGCGCCCCAGTGAATGATTCCTGCCGCTGCTGGAGCCACTAAACCGTAAGTATGGACCTAGAGGGAAGGCACGTAGGTCAGCGGGCCGCTCAAGGACATGAGTTGCCACTTTCAACGGCTGTGCTAGAACTGGACTAATTTCTCTGAGGTCTCGACCCCAGTCGTGCTCGTTCTGCGGAGCTGTCGCGCTGCAGTAAACTCACATGTGCCATAACATCGTGTCGTCTCCGCTTCTCCTCGGTTGCCGCCGCGCCGAATTCGTCGTCTTCGATGCGAACATGCTCCTTGAGTTGCTTGATGGCCAGATCTGAAATTTCCAGTCCGAGTTCCTTCTCTGATTCTGCGAGGTAGACCCAAAGCTGTCGCCATGTACTGAATCGGTTTCGTGGAGAGAAGATGTACTTCATCTCCTTCGAGCAGTACCTCGAATTGAGAGGACTAATGAATGACCTGTCAGCCCATTTCGAACAATTTCAATTGCCATGGTAGAACTCTTCGGGGAAAAGGTCCATTTTCCATGCATGTGCTACTTCCAAAATTTTGTGCGACTGCTGGGCATCAAAAATTTGCAAACGGACGTTTGATATTTTTGTGTTGATGGCGCGATTCTGGTAGATTGGTGTGGGTTTCCACTCACTTTTGGTAAGTATCATGATCGCCCGACATCATGGATGTTGGTTGTCCTGAAGACACGAACCCGAGATCGGCCATGAAGTGTGACGGGAATGAAGCTTGCTCAAAATTTTTGACTTTGATCGACAAAGAAAGCTTGAACTCCGAACGAGAACCTCGAAATGTGTGTTGAGAATGCAAATGAACGGCACAGAAGGGCAATTCAAGATGAAGGCCTAGGCCATGCAGTGATCATGTGCTCTGAAAATATCAAAGGTATCTATCTTCCTCCACTGATCTGCAGCGCATCAATGAAGTGAAGTGGAGGACCTCAATGGATCTGCTGCCAAGCCACTGCTGGGCACTGCAGCCTGGATGTTCAAGGTGCGCCTCATGAAATTCCATGAAAGGGCCATCAAAATCCACTCTTCCAATTTCCAACGTCTTTGCCATGGATGCCCAACACTCCACCAGCAATTGCCCCTTCGGCGCACCTGACAACCTATGGGCTGACCGATTGCTGTCCACCGCCTAGCGAATCATTCCGATAATACCCGTTAAATGTTCCCTCCTCCTAGGAACAGTTCAACCAGCACTGTTTGGAGACGAGGTCCTTACCGCAGCATCCTAACAGCCTTCGCAACCCGTAGTATATCCGAGTCTAAGCCCGACGAGGTAGAGTAGTGTGGTAATGATTCTAGACAGCATCACAGCTTGACAATATAGTAGTAGGCGTTTTAGGTAGTAGGTAGTAGCCGACGTAGTAATATTGAATATAGGGAATAAAGAAACGCTAGAGAAGGCGAGAGGCTTCGCTTATGCCTATACTATGTATAGTACGACCTAAAATGAAACGCAGAATTGCAACGTGCAAGGGAACCTCGTTCGACAACAGCTAGAATAGCCTAGCCTTGCGAAAGACTCCCCACCTTGTCCGAATGCACATACGCTCCACCATCCCCTGTAAAAACTCGTTGCCTCGGAGCGTTCGTCGGCAAAACTAGGATTCTGGTGGAGTTCTTATACAGAATACGTCTGTGCCAACTTATGCAAAGCGGATTCGACCAACCAGATCCCCTAGATCTTATACAGCAGTTCTACGGACTTAACCACGGACTTCGTTTAGGGGATAGCTGCTTCCTCTTTCCTGCAGCATCGTTCGCATCTTCATTCTCTAGGTTTGCCCGCGCAGCACTCCTCGCTATCGCCAATGGACTTCTGGCTGGATTACGAGGTTTGCTGGAAATAACCATCACTGCCTGCGACTGCCTAGGCAGTTAATACTCTTGCTTTTCAGGTGGAAGGCACAAGTCTCTGCACCTGCTTCATCGTATCTGGCGATCCTCTCAACTATCCTGTCGTTTAGCTCCTGATTTCCATGCGCTCCTAGCGCCCCGTCGAAACGGCTTCATCTCTCGAATAGAGTCTTAACGGCATCGGTAATGCTCATATTGTTGAAGAGCCATTGATTTGAGTGACGACCGACGTCATTAAAAGTCCCACTTTGCGCTCTAGGCTTTGGCTTTGTTTTTGGCTTGCTTGCTGTCTGCGCAGTGCGAGGTGGCGGTGGGGAGCAGCTTCGTATAGAGGAAGAGGAAGATCGAATGGACTTCATCTCGATCTGGTTAGAGCTGGATATGCTTGATCTGCTAGGTGGATGCATCTTCTCGAGATTCTTTTTGATCTTTCCGGTAATGCTGGTTCTAGTCTTCGCTGTAGAAGAGTCTTGTCTATCCTTTTTAGGAGTGGAATTGACGTTGTTGATCGAAGCACTCATTCGCAAGAGGTAGAAGGATGTTAGAGAGGCTAGTGAGGCTAGTGACCTGGTATCGGAAGCAGATTTTTGAGTCAAGTCTGGATATGATAGACTTCAGGCCTATACGAGGGATCAGGTCTTCTTTATGCCCTGGGTCGTATACCTGAGCCGGTGTCACCAAGACACTCAAGTATGCAGTCAATGCTCATGTGAGGTAAGGTGGGTCGCCGCCAAGCTGCAAAGACATGGTGACCGGCTAGTGGTAGCCACGGAGGTTCCGCGTGCATACACAGGGTTCGTCACAGCAATTGGAGGTAAGGCTGATGCGGACTGCTGTGACAAACGTCAGCCGCAGACGCACGGACGAGGAATGTTCAACGTGCCAAGTGAAGCACTGCGCTGCTCGGCAGTGAACCAATGAGTGTGCTAGCCTTACCCGAGCGTGAAGTGTGGTCGATGCGAAGGAATGCCGTCTTTCCGCGCAAGCTTCCTGGTACGGTGGGTGCCTGGACGAAATGGGGCACGGCGCAGACGTGCCACCAGTCGCAGGCACTCTCGTCTGCTGGTCTTTCTCTCGGCGACCATACGCGTGACACTAGCCACCGTACGACACGGGAACATTACGTGTGCACGCGCATGGCATGGCATGCAGTGGCTTGCGAATAATGGCTTGCGAATGGCGCAAACAGGACCACGTGTGGCGCGTGCTATTTTCATCCGCCTTGGCGTGAGATCATGCTTTTCGCTTGTCGGCACGGCGGCGCGGCCTTCTGCTCATCATACTATGATAACTATTTATCTGGACTCCATCAGTCTCGGCGAAAAGGTGTACACAGAACGACCGACCCAAGCCCTCAAGCCTCACGTCGCCGAAGCACCGAGTGACGCGCATTCTCGAGACCCGGTCGCTGCACCATCAATGCGAAGGCATGCTACACAACACCTCCACCTCCACCGCTCTGTCGACACACTGCACGCATGTCGCTCACCTGGAAAGTTCAACTGTACAACTCCATGTTGACGTCTGGAAGTCCTCTGGCACAACCCGCCTATCTAGTATCGCTGTAGATTTCGAGGGGCCAACCTTGCTCCTCCCTATCTATGCTACCCGCTGTCTGATACGCCCACTCTTATCATATACCCCCATCTTCGGCAGTCCAACAACCTCCAAACTCGCAATTGACAGCGTTGGTGACTTGCCGCCGGCCAGAAGCAGCAGGACATGCTATCGAGTGTGAGGCGCAGTGGTGGTGTTGTACTGGCCAAGTATCTCTCGACAGGTAAGACGGAAGATAACGTGTCTGTTTCTTACTTTCCCATTCATCTCAGCCCTCTATTACTGATGCAAGCGAAAGATGACTGAACATCACGATGGAATAAAAGTTCTCTCCCCAGGAGCGGGATATGGCATCGTCATTGGGATCGGTGGAGTGTTTGCAGCCATTATGCTGTGTATCACATGGCTGCAGAACCGCTATACGCGATTCTCTACCAAGCAGTCCGAAGAGTTCAACACCGCATCTAGGTCTGTCAAACCAGGTCTAATTGCTTCGGGAATCGTTTCGTGTACGTCTTCCATCCTCTCTCGCCCCGCAGACTTCTAATTTAACGCCCAGCATGGACGTGGAGCGCAACGCTCTTAACGTCAAGCACTTTCGCCTACACTTATGGAGTCTGTGGGCCGATGTGGTACGCAGCAGCAGGCACCTTCCAGATCCTGACATTCTGCCTTATGGCCATCAAAATCAAGGTAAGCGGATGAATCGAGGGCTCACATTGAATCCGGAAATATCCACTAAACCACGTTCCTCACTCTCATAGCGTTACGCACCAGGAGCCCATACATTTCCGGAAATTGTGCTGGCACGAAATGGTTACATTGCTCACGTCTCTTATCTATTCTTCGGCATTGCAACAAACATGCTGGTCGGTGCCTGCCTGGTGCTGGGAGGCTCACAAGTTGTGTCAGCTCTCACCGGGATGAACGTCTACGCTGCGTGTTGGCTCATTCCGATAGTCGTAGCAGCATACGTTATCGCCGGTGGACTGAGGAGTACGTTCATCGCGGACTACATCCACACAATGATCCTCTTCACTGTCATATTTGTCTTTGGATTCCTGATGTATGCTACGAGCGATATGGTGGGATCGCCTTCGAAATTCTACGACCTCCTGATTGAAGCTTCCAAGAACATGCCGATCGCAGGGAACGCTGGCGACGGATCATACCTAGCCTTCCGATCTGTCGACGGATTGGTCTTCGCCTTCGACCTTTTTGCTGCCGGCTACAGCTGTGTGTGGCTAGATCAAGCATACTGGCAGAGGGCCATCGCATCACGTCCAGAGACGAGCGTTCGAGCATACATTCTAGGAGGTATAGCTTGGTACGGCGTTCCATTTGGTTTTGCAACAGCCATGGGCCTGGGCTGTGCTGCGCTCACATCCAACCCGAGCTTTCCAACCTATCCGAACCCTCTATCTGCAGCGCAGAACAATGCGGGTCTCTCCGCTCCTGCCGTCACAATCACACTTCTTGGATCAACAGGAGCGATTCTCATGCTCATTCTCCTCTTCATGGCTGTGACGTCCAGTACCTCTGCAGAGCTGATCGCCGTGAGCTCATTGCTCACATTCGACGTGTACAAGACATATATCAAGCCGGATGCTACTTCGGTCAGGCTCGTCCAGATCTCACACTATGGCATCGCCATCTACTCACTGGTGCTCGCAGCCTTCTGCTGTATCCTCAATGTGGTGAACCTCAACCTCACATGGCTCCTGACTATTCTGGCCATCATCGTTGGAGGCGCGTCGGTACCTGTAGGACTGGTCTTGCTTTGGGATCGCATGAGTTGGGTGGCAACGGTCGGTGCACCCTGGCTAGGTCTGGCATGTGGATTGACAGCATGGTTTGTGACCACCTCTAAGCTTTCTGGAGAGATCAGTGTCTCGACAATGGCGAATGCCAGAAACGCGCTCGCAGGCAATTGCGTAAGCATGGGATCAGGTGCTCTCTGGGCCGTCGTATTGAGCTTGATCTTCCCGGCCAAATACCAGAGTACAGATTCCAGGCACATTAATCGTGCGAACAAGATCGCTGGTATTGTGACACCGCAGGCCGTGACTCCACATGCGGACAGAAGTCCTCCTGGAGAAAGCGATAATGGCCCCGACGAGAAGAACCCAGCGACATCCGAGAAACCGGCCAAATCTCAAGCAGTATCGGAGAGCAGCGCTCATGATGATCATGCAATGACAGGGAACGAGATTGTGGACTTCCTCGAATCGACCCAAATGCGACCAATCGACGAGAAGCTTGCGAAAGAAGGCGAACGACTTGCATGGGGAGCTAATATTGTCTTTTTCAGCATTGCCTTCATTCTAGTCCCATTCACGCTGTTCGGCACAGCCTACGTCTATAGCAAGACGTTCTTCACAGGATGGGCAAGCATTGGTTGATCCCAATACATGCGAATGAAAGCTAACCCGTGGTGAACAGGTCGTAGTCAGCTTCATCTGGGTCTGGGCCTCGACTATGATATGTGTCGTCTATCCGGTGATCGAAAGCACCAGCGCCTTGAAGGAAGTCAGCGTCGGGCTATGGCGGGATATCATGTCAATGTTCGGAGTGAGGAAGCCGAACGTGCATCTCGGCGAGCACGAGGCCTAACCAAGAATGTCCCGAGTCATCTTGAGCTTGTAGACGAGCTTCGCAGGTAATCTGACTCTCGAGAATTGCAGTATATATGACTTCGTATAGCGAAAAGTTAGAAGTCATAGGTATGCAACAACGAATGCCACTTCTTTCGTACAGTACTACACTGCGCCACAAAACTTTCAGGCTTCAAATTCCGAAATTTGGGAACCACCTTGAAACACAGCCTCAGAAGTAGGCTTGTTGTCGTCAGAGAGTGCAGCGGGAAGGATTTGATGGTTTAGCTCGAAAGGGTCCGAAACCATTCCGGCTGACTGCATCCGGGGTGTGTGAGGTGTCATGTTGTCAGAGCCACAAACAAATCGAAAGAAGCAGGGACTTTCATGCGCATCCTTCAATCCCTCCTAATTTGTATAGAGGTCGAAATTGCTGCCTGCAGGTACCAAGGAGGCTGAAGTCATGGTGGTGCCATCTTCACCATTAATTTTCGCAAGCATGGCGAACAGTAGACAGCGAGGTTGTTGACGTATGTGCTTCCATGCGTGGAAAGTTCTATGCAAGAAATTTTTGGTGTTAGTGCTGCGGGTTTCGGGGACCGGAAATCCTCGTCGGTCTGTGGTTGAAATGGTGGTTTCTACATTACTTCCGACAGGCTACATGCATGCAGTAGTAGATTCGGAATCTCCTCAATGCCTTGCTGCTACACGATTAGGCATTATCCTAGAGGGTGACGCTCATCAATGATGCTGATGATGCAAATGACAAACGTATCGAAGATGTAACGTGTGCGTGTCCCGCTTCATGCCATGGCCTAAATCCATCCCAACGCCACTCCGCTCCCATTCAAATGCTGGAAAATTCAACAAAACTCCTCTCTGAAGCCCAGAACCGTCCAGGGTCGTCAAAAGGATCTCAAAACCTCCCGGTGATCTAGAGACTGCAAGTTCGCTGCTGTCACTGTGGCCGGCGTGCAACTGTCCATGTTGTATTCCATGCTCCACGTCTTGGATGCATTTCTCTCGATATATTTCGGCGCAAGTCGTCAACATACCCGTCTTGGAAGAGACGCGGGAAAGCAGACGGTGTTGGACAGTGCGATTAACCTTTATTGCCCGGAAGCGAACTCCGATGGCTAGCCCTCGCTAGCCCACTAACGAGCCAGGCGTGCCGTTTCAAGAACTGCTTCATGCTGATGAAAGCAGATATGCAGAACATGGTCGTGGCACCAGCCTCTGTTTCACATCGTGTCCATACGATGCATCAGCTGATGTATCGTCGCAGCTGTGGTACGGTCACAGCCGAGCTTGAGTCGGGCTGCTTACTCTGCTCGTCGTGTAAGCGCGAGGTTTGATATCTTCTTCACCAAGCGCTACGGAGCGCTGGTCTCGCGGATGGGCTCACCTATAGTCCGAAGGTGAGACGTTCAAATGTTTGTGCGCGTAGGCCAGAACGTCTGCGCGCAAGTCCAACTTCTTAAAGCTGGGTATCTTGAGGTTTTGGACTTCTCCTTGGATGGCTGTTGAGACCATGAAGCTCTCTTCGTAGGACTGAATCTTCATCCTCACGTCGGACACTTCTTGCCCGTTCATGTGGACTTCTACATCGTCGACTTCCTCTCCCCATTGGCCAATGGTGCTGCATCGAGCTGGACTTCCTGGCTTGGGTGATCGTACGTTAAAGAACTCAAGTTGCTTGAGCCATGGTGCAAGCAATGCCTCGCCAGCAAGCTTGATGTAGGCTTCCTTATAGCAAAAGAAGGTATAAAAGCGTCGTAGCTTGGCCTCGATAAGCTGATCGGAGTTGAATGTCACGTCACGTCCAGCAGGAGTGGTGAGAGAGATTTGCATATTTCGCTGAATGCACCTGTCGTGGCGACCGATTTCATCTCTGTTCAAGATGGTTCCGTCCAGAAGAGTGACATAATCCACATCGTACTTCATGCTCCACCGCTCCTCATCGCTGAAGACAAAGTCGTAGATGTCTACCCATCCATCAAGGCCCTCTGCATCGATTGTCCGGTAGTCGTCCCGCTCGTTTACGCACACAATGTCAACGCCAACCATGACATCCGGCTCAAAATTGGCCATGGGTGATATTGTTCCTTCAATGCCGCCGTTCGGCAGGTATTTATGCCTCTTCTTGCCATTCCAGCCAATCAGAGCAACCAAGCCATTCTGATGCGACACATTGAAGTCAATGCCTTCAATCGGTCTTCCCACAGCGTCGACTGCACACGGCTTTCCATGCTTGGGGTCTCCCTTCCTCGCGAGTCCTACATCTTTCCATGGAATGTCCAGCGTCTTGGATATGAACAAGCGCTTAAGTAATGCAGAGCCCAAACTCATTCTCGCATCCTGGATAAACATCTTACTCGAGATTGCCTTCTGCTCTGCCTGCGAGACCAGGGCCATTGCCTCTGAAGCTCCCGTAGCAGACCATATGTTGGTGCCGGGCCACAGAGTCCTTGTGTCGAGTAGCCAACATGATATCTCACCCTGGTCGTTGGGTAGCGGGAAGCTGGTGGTTGCCGTGGTGAGCCCGCTCGCCAGGCTGTTCATCAACGTCGAGATATCGGGGAAGTGCGTCGATATGGCGAGTGGGATGCGCTGTGACAGCGCTCGCTTGCGCGTCGACATGACCAGGCCGGACGTGGACATGACGGGCACGGGCACGGGCACGGGCACGGGCAGGTCGGCGTCCCTCGAAAGGGATTACACATGAACCGGACAAAACAAGGTGAGGCCAAGAGGGATGTCGGCTTTCGGATTGATGTGGTCGTGTCGTACGCGGACAGTAGTAGGTGATGCGTTGCGTTGCGGTGGGCTGGGCTGGGAGTGTTTGGTGGGGAAGGGAGGGTAGAGATTGGGAAGCAAATGATAGATGAAGATCATCGCGCACACGCGGGCGGAGGCGTGCTTGCATAGTTCTATTTTGACCAGCAGCTCAGTCTAAAAGCGGCCAGCAGGATTTCCACTAAATCCCCATCTCCGACCCGAATGTCTTGCTACATGTCATGTCATGCCAAGCCAAGCCATGCCAGCAGCCATGCCATGCCATGCCGTGCAGTGGCCAAGTCGCGATACCAGCAGAAATGCGAGGTGGATGATGTGATGAGAAGCTGAGCCTTGTCGTCGGCGCAACTCATGCTCTACGAAGGCATTTCGTATGTTCGACCATCTCTCATCACAGCGCAAGCAGCGCCCGGTGGGATGACTCGCCGACGCGGGAGTATTATTCAATAGAGGATCCACCCACATGCCATCCGATGCCACATGGTATGGCTATCATATCCGCATGTCGAATGACGCCGGCGCCACGTATGGTATTCTAGTGGCTGTAACCTCCCCCGCCTGCCTTCCTTCCATTCTTCGCTGCACCATATCATATTATTCACCTCACCATCCTTCAGCCAAGTCCCGACTCGCACGCTCTTCGTGTTCACTGACCGAGCACGTCTGCTACATCCACCACCACACTCTCGACCGCGTCTCGAGCCAGTGGAGTGTCATGCGCCATAGCACTACTTCGAACCTTCGCGCCCTATGGCAGTCTGACTCACACATTGGCTTATCAGTGCACCTTTGATAACAATGCGACCAAGCCATCATCACATTGATCAGTGCGCAAGCAACGAACAAAACATGCCGCTGCAACATTTACGATGACAGGAAGTCCCGACGTCACGATTGGCGTGCTCGCGCTCCAGGGCGCCTTTTTGGAACACATCACGCTGCTCACCCACGCCGCCCGATCGTTGAAGCAGACCCAACTGGAATCTCCATCTCGACAATTCCCGCCAAACACCCGCGGAACCGAGACAGCATCACCTGCGCGCAATGCCGCACCATCTGTCTCCGAAGCGAAGGAAAGCAAATCCCCGAGATTTTCTCAAAACCAGACCGACGACCTGCCCCGGACAATTTCGAACGCCACTGAGCCAAGCAGCACCAAGGCCCACACCACCTTTCCTCCTCAACCCTCCTTCCGCTTCATTCAGGTCCGCACCGCAGAGCAATTATCCGAATCCGATGCACTTATTCTGCCCGGCGGCGAATCTACGTCCATATCGCTAATTGCAGAACGATGTGGTCTCCTCGAGCCACTACGGCAATACGTCAAAGTGCAACGCAAGCCGGTGTGGGGCACATGCGCTGGCTTGATTTTGCTGGCGGAAAGTGCCAACAAGACCAAAGAGACTGGGCAAGAGTTGATCGGAGGTTTGGACGTCCGGGTCCACAGGAACTACTTTGGAAGACAAGTAGAATCCTTCGAGGCAGATCTAGAACTACCTTTCCTCCAAGGAGGCAACTTCCCGGCAGTGTTCATTCGAGCACCGGTTGTGGAGAAAGTCCTATCAACTTCGTCGGCTATCATCGATGAGAGTGAGGCTGCGAAGAAGGTAGATGTGGAGACTATTCTTGCGCCTCCGCGACAAGCAACGAATGCACCGGTTGAGATTCTCGCAAAATTACCTGGCCGAGCTCGTGCCATTAAGGATAAGACAACTACAGCTGAGGATCTGGGCGAGGATGGAGACATCGTGGCTGTAAAGCAGGGCAATGTCTTCGGCACTGCGTTCCATCCTGAGCTGACGAGTGACGAGCGCATTCATGCTTGGTGGTTGAGAGAAGTCATGAGGCTGAAGTATGGAGGGCAGATGTGATGATGAGCTGAAGAAACCATGCTCTATTCATGGAATGATTGATGTATGCGCTGCATTGATCGGGAGATCATGAAGCCCTCCTGGGGTGATTGCTGTTGCTACAGCCAGACATAGACATCCACAGTAATCCGCAGACACAGCTTCAAGCCTTCTGTCTGCAAGCCGATGTCCCTTTCATGCAGCCCAAACCTCACATCTTATAACGGCAAGGCAAAGTCGAATTTGGCGGCAAATGCTCGAGAGCACTAGGTTATGGTAGGTGATGGAATTCAATGGTATGCGGATCCGCGGAAGAGACCATTTTCGTGCGTGCGCGGCTTTGCTCACCAACCGCTGCCACAGCATGTGCTGGATTTTCGCGCATGCGGAGTAAACGCTTACCGAGTCGACAAGTGACAGCGCCGACGGAGACATTATGCCCACCTAAAATATGCCAGGATGCCTCTCAGGCCTTGCGCTATCTCTCTCGCTCGAGCTGTGCTTGCGCACCCGCGCCAGTGCGACTGATCGACTCAGCGCGTGTAGAGATTTACCTGAACGTGAGCGTGAGCGGTGCCTCCTCCAGCAAGATCATTATCAGGTACCGAGCCCGTCTAAAGTGGTTTGTTCGGCCCTGCCATTCGAAGTACGGGAGAGCCTGATCAGGCTCATAGCGAATGACTTCTTCAAGTTTCTGGAGCCCATCAACGATTATCCTGCTGTCTCCTGGCTGTAGTGAGTTCGGAGCCGAGAGTTGATGGCGATCCATCGTCACCAGAGTTCTCCTTGTCTTCAACGTTGATCGGTGTCGTTCAGTCATCCGTTGGCGAGTCCATCTTCAGTTGCGATCGCCCCAGCGAGCTTCTACCCAGACGGGTTTGCGATCACGGAAGACGCTGCCTCCAATGTTGGTAAGGCTCGTGGATTCCATGCTCTTGTGACGGCGCTTGGCAGTGCGTGGAGCATTGTTCACCTCAACAGCATAGGGTTCATCAGAATCTGGCATGCGCGTGCCCTGCGCATCGCAATCTGTCACCCAGCGACTGTTGACACAGTGAATTTCCCTGCCAGTCCCGCTTTCCAGGACCAGTTTGTTGTAAATACGAAGGCGCCGCAAAGTCTTTGGCGAGCCTTCCTTAGAGACCATATGAGTCAAGCGTTCACTGAAAGTCTTTGTGGTCTTGCCGCCCAGTCGTTGAACAAAGGCAGCGAATGCAGGCGTTGCACAATCGCCGTCGCTCGTGTAGACCTCGACCAGAGCTAACTCCAGCATCTTCTAGGCCGACCACTCCCTCGGATGGAATCGGCGAACCCTTCGACGACGCCGATGATGAGACTGCAGAGCTAGACGATGATGAGTCGGAAGAAGGTGATACTACCAACAACGTCCCCCAAGATGAATTGTGCGGGCCCAAGACGCCTATGAAGCGCTCTGGTCCTCGCCTTGGCACTCAGGAAAACACCCGAGCACAGGATATGGTGTACGGTCGGGCACGCCTGTCAGACGCTTTACTGTGCTCGGCACGCAGCAAGGTACTCCACAGACTACGAAGCCATACCGAAAGCCTGTGATTCCACTGTCAGAAGTCAGACCAACTACAGTGTCTAGAGCTCGAGATCGGGCAATGGTGTATCCGGAGCTGCAGCCTTTGATTTCGGAGGCAGTCAACGACGAAGATCAATCGTCTAGGATTGAAGATCAAGATACTCCAATGCCAATTGACCAGGAGCTTCAGAGTCTGGAGATGGACACAACAGTGGAAGACTTGTCGATGGAGCTTGAGCGAGACGATGTGCCAGGTGAGGTCGTTGAGGGATCAAGCGCCATGCCAGATAAGTCTGGAGACTTTGATCATGTTGAAGGTCATGATAATGATGGGCAGATGCACGATACGATCCCGACGAAATCGTTGTTATGCAGAACCAGGAGCTGGAATCTGGGTTGGAATCAGCAGACGCATCTTTCGGTTCGAACGGACAGCGTCATCATAACTCGACCAGCTCCTGCACTGGAGAGTGAGACTTCAGCTGATGACCATATGGCATCCGAAGAAATTGCAAACTCAACCCCGAAGGCGGAGACTCTGGTCTGGGACAACATTCGTCAAGATGTCATGATTCCGTTTGACTTCAACACCGACATTTACCATCGTGGATATTGCCTAGCAAGGAGCCTCTTTCGTAAGCCTCTTTTATAAAGACTCGCTTTTGCTTCTTCATGGTACTAATCATGAATCCTTTCTCATCAACGTTATACATATTCTCAGGCTCCACCTCGTACTGCTGCATCTTTTGTTGAAGATGCCCGAAGTACTCACTATAGGACCAAAGTGAGTCAGCCTTCTTGCGTGCTGAGTCGATAGGAAGGAGGTATTTGGACTGGATCGCTCTAGGCCACCGTTTAACGAATCTGCTGAGCCAGCACTTCCCAGGCCACTTGCCAGTGATCTCATGAACGAATGTATTCACCATTGACGGCGTTGGAGGGATACCTCAATACGTAAGAGTATCGATATAGTCCACAAGGGTAGCCTCTTGTTGATAGTTGTGAAGTTGAAGATCTTAATATTGCTGCTGCTTGGTTCCAGACTTCTTGTTGAACCGCCTAGATAAGACAGAGCGCTCCACTCCATATTTTCTGGCTGTAGCAGATATATCTGGCTTCTCTTGTTGTCTCAGATCGTGCAGTGCAGGGTCTAATGTTGCAGTAGTGGTGAAGGAGAACGTAGCCAAGGCTTTACTCGGAGCTGTTAGTCATCAATCACTTGGTGCCGAAGACCTGCAGAAGCATGGACCCATGTAGCTCTCCTTATACATATTATCCTGCGCCGGACCTGCGGCGTGCCGCGTGCGTGGGGAATACCTTGTATCCGTAGTACCTACCCGCGCGCTCGGTCACGTTATGTCCTCGTGCCTCGGCCATAACTACCCGCGCAGCGGGTAGTCGACAGGTCAATGATAATTGCGGCTTAGTGATAATATTATTCGACTGTCGACACTGTATCTACAATATCGTCCATCACCTAAAGCTATAGGTGAATAATCTTCTTCCTGTAAGCAATGTAAGCAGGCCTAGCAGGTGTTCCCTTTACGTGCTTATTAATAGCTGCTATCCGTTGTCTCATATCGGCTTCTTTAGTACGTGTAAGCGCTCTACGTGCTTTTATAAGATCACTCTCTTGTCGCTCTTAAACAATAGTACGCGCGTTCTTTATATATAAGATACCTCCTTTCTATAGACTAGACCTCTTCTATAGATTACGAGCCCTTCTAGCCTCTATTGTAACAGTAGTATTGTTTAGTTCATCGATCGCTTCTATACCTTCGAGAAGCCTAATTTCCGTAGCTTTAAGTAGCTTAGTTAATGGCTTACGCATAGAGTCTGGCATGTTCTGTTTAAGCAGCGCTAAAGTGAAGCGATTATAAGACCTTACACTACGTAGTGTATTAAGCATATTCGGTGCCGCTCTCGATTGAGGTTCTAGAGTAATCTACCTCTCTCGAGAGCGAAGAGACTCGATCTAAGCACGAACCTTGATAAGAACGACCTCCGGATTAAATAGATATAGTCCGGTCTTCTCAAATAACGATATAATAGTGCCCTTCTTTAATGCCTGCAATCGGAAGTGCTTAAAGTCTACTAGAAACTCGAGCTTGTTATAATCCGTATAGCTAGTCCGAACGGCTAAATCTACGGCTTCGGAGTGCTAGTGTTTGTAAGGCTAGAATATAACTATATCTAGAGGCTGTAGGATAGCAGAAGTATATGAAGGCAGTGCGAATAGTATGATATTATTAGCGTCGCAATATTCAATAAATTCCTTAGTTGTATGCGATCCGTAGCCGTCGAGAAGCAGAAGCCGGAAGCTACTAGTTTAGGTAACCTTCGAGAACCTATCGAAGTGCTATACCTACTCTAGCGATAGAACGTCGTTTGTATAACCTGAATCGCTTACTCTAACTAGTGTATTATCTTCTAAGTGTTGAAACTATGTATTTAGGTGTGTTTTGCCTTGTAGAATAAGCATTAGAGGCACTATAGACCTAGCAGCGCTAATAGCTTTAACAACCGTTAGAGACTCGCGATTGTTAGCTATAGGTAGGAAGTTACGCCTCTTCGGATACTAAGTAAGTACCCACTAGCCTCTCGCTATGCCAATGCGGAAGCCTGTCTCGTCTATATTCTATATATCCGATAGCAATATACCGTATTCTGTACAGACCTAGTAGTACCGAGTAAACTACTACTATATATCTCCTTCCTTATAAGTAGCGGCTCTAGCCGCATCTAACGGTATAGTCTTTACTCTCTACTACTAAGGGTTCCTCTCTTTCTATCGACTTGCCTACGCGGAAGACACTATTAGTAGCGGTGAGGTCGGATCGTCGTAGTATCGAGCGAGAATCGAGTTAGCGGTAACTAACAACTAGCGTAGGCGCGTAGATACACCGATTTCATCGTAGCGCTTTAAATACTAGACTATCGCGGCCTCCTAGACCTTATTAAGCTTGCGATAACTTAACTTCCGCGTAGATTTAGAAGGGAGGCCTTGAATACGATGTCGCAGTCGTTAGTATAGTACCTCGAAGAATTCGGCTACTTTAGTTAACTTTAGAGCTACCTCCTATTTAGTAAGCTACTCTATTGCTTCTACAATACGATCTTCTTCCTTAAGATAAGTCGATATAATATAGCGCGTAAAAGAGCTTGGAAACACGAGGAAACACGTCGATAATATAATGGTCTACGGATATTATTACTAAGCCGCAATTATTATTAACCTGTCGACTACCCGCTACGCGGGTAGAGCCACCTAAGGAACGAGGGTGGGCTCGGACTAAGCAGCGGGTGGGTACTACAGATAAACTGTATAATTTACGCCGGAAGCCGCGGAATATGTTTTGTGTCACTAGGTGTATAATAATCGAGGGTGTGCCCTGTGCTCAAAATTTCGAAGTCTCAGCTCAACAATCTTGAAGTTTTGAACAGTACTATTCATAACCACAACCCAACTTTTCTCAAATCACCTTCGATTAAACGACAAAATGAAGGCAACGATTTTTATAGCATTTTTGGCGGCCGTTTGCACAGCCGTTCCACTCGCTCAAAAAGTGAGTCATAGATTCATAAATAGATTTTGGAATAGTTGCTAACTGATCTGTAGCCGACATGCTGGATCAATAGCAGCGGCCAGAAGGAGTGCGATCCAGGGGGCAAACGTTCTATCGAGCGCGAGAGTAGCATCGGGTTCGAGTTCGAGTAACGTCAACAATGCAAGATTAACCACAACGGCGAGAAAGTGTACGACGGCACACCTTCGGTCAAGCGTTAGAGCAGCATCGGGTTCAAGACACATTAAACCTCCAGGATCGAAAATGGTACAACTTCGACAAATTCTTGCGTATTAAGACGAACCGGCCTTGTAAAGCAACTCGCTTCCCTTTCGTTCATTTCTTTCGGGTCTCGAGTAGCTCTCGTTGCTCGGAGTTCTCTTTCTGAGAAAGCGTATTCTCGGAATTCGATTTCTCGAGATAAGCGAGAGTATTGTCGTCGCCGCGGTTGTCCCCATCCTTTGGACCAGCTTTTCTAAAGATATTTCTTAGGTTACCTAGTGCCTGCTCGCATTGTTTAAGAATCGGCTGCACGCCCTTGCCCGTATCTTCATCAATCTGCTCTTCTTCAAAATTCTCATACGCACTCTCTAACAGCTCTTCGATCGCCGGTAGTCTCTCGAGGAGTTCCCGAAGTTCCCGAAGTTTCGGTGGAAGTCCTTGGGCGTCATAGATAGCGCGTCCAATATCGATAATCGTCTTCGCAATGCCGATGCATGCATCAAGCAGCTAGCTGAATGGTTGTAATAGCTTCGGCGCTAGACATTTCTTAAGGCGTGCGGGTAAGAACTTGACTAGAGGGATGGACCGAGTGTAGACGATAGATCACGCTAGGTTGGGTTTCTCGTTAAGAGGGACAGGCAAGAAGCAAGCACTGCCCCTCGTGAGGCTTGATCCTAGTGTCACACCAGATAACTCAGAGATAGTATGGATCTTCGAGCGTCGCGACACACTTCTCGCTGATCGTACTTTCAGCTAACGCTCGAACCCAAATATTGCCAGGAGGAAGGTGCTCTGTAGCCTCCGCTTGTGGCCTAGAAAACTCCCGGGTGCTGTCCGATGAGTACAAAATCACGTCGCTGGGCGTTCGTTCGGTTGCATTGCCACCGAATGTACTGCCTCAAGAAAGCCTCTTCAGCTTTCCAACGCTTGCCTTCGATCCCTTCGCAGATCGCAGTAAAGTATCACCATCCTATCGGTCATTATACTCGCCCGCATAATCCTTGTCCATCATTCTACCATAGCCTCCACGACCAGGATCATACTCATCACGATACTCATCTCGGACCTGTCCACCACTCCTACCCCTACCATACTGTCTGCCCTCAGAGAAGCCCTCGTCCAGATCCGTTCTAATTATTCTCTCGTCTAGTTTCGTGCCTCCCACGTACTTGAGACAGTCCAAAGCGTCTTGATGAGTGTAGTATTCGACAAAGCAAAAACCGCAGGGCGTCTTTGCGAAACGGTCTAGACCCATGACTAGACGTTTGATTTCTCCGCATGTGCTGAAGAGGGAGTGGATTTGTTCTTCGGTGGTGTAGAAGGAGAGGTTACCGACGTAGAGGGTCGTGGCGTTGGCTAATTTTTCTTCGAGGTCGGGTGAGGGTGCGCGCTTGCTTTCATCGTGTTCCTCGTGAGGCGCGCGCTTGCGCTTCTTGTACTATAGGTAGGTGTTGTCATTATGTGTTCGCGAAGTAAGCTGAAAGGCTGGTCGTGGTATACCTTGCTCATGGCATAGCTGGAAGGCTTATCCAGCCTCTCGACGGTGCTTCTCATCTGAAAGGAAGGCATCACGACGTCGTTGGTCGTTGGTGGTTGTAGTGTGGATTATTATTGTCGCCACGAAGAGACGAGTTGAAGCTGTGAAGCAGGCGCTTGGCAAGCGCAAGCACGGACAGAGCTTGGACGCGACCTCAAAGCTTGTGAAAGCGCGTAAAGTTTGTCAAGCTCAGTTCAGTTCAGCTTCAGAAGAACATCACTGTGGCTTGCGCGTTGTACGTTGTGCATGTGACAACAGAATGCGATCGAGATAGCAGAGGAATAAATACTCCAGCAATGCCCAAAGTCATCCAACGAGCGCCCAAGTGGCTTGATCACGGTCAAGCCGCCTACGACTTCTTCCAGCCGGCAAACAAGAGCAGTATCAATGGAAAAGCACGCGCAGCATCGGAGTTAGAGAGCGCAAAGGACGGGCCTTCGAAGCGGATTGCACACCGGGGGACGGAGATTTTCTATGCGACGGGCAATGAGCTGCGATGGGCAGATGTCGCATTGCTGAAAGAGGCTGGCGAAGGTGGCATTCGACCTTCACGGGCACAACCACAAAAAAGCCCGCAAACGCTCTACAAAAGCCTTCACACATCGATTCCTTCGAATCAGTCGATACAGCAAATCTCCGTCTCTCCCACTGGCGAATACATCGCCATCCTCACCAAGCACCTCTGTCGCGTCTGCATCCTACCCCCGCCCGAACACCTCAACTTTCCTGAGCAACAGACACTCAAGCTCAAGTCCTTTACTGTCGGCCCTACCGCGCATGTGTTGGAACAGTCACCGCTTGTGAGCGCTCTTTGGCATCCACTCTCACCGTCAGGAAATGCGCTGCTTACCATTACTCTGGATGCAGTAGTGCGCTTATGGGAGCTGGACATCGACAACAGAGCCAGCTTCAATGAGCCAAGCTTAGCTGTCGATCTGAGGAAACTCGCCCGCGCAACTTCTTCTCGAGATGATCTGGCTGCGAACAAATATGGTGTCAAGAAAGGCTACTCGCTTGACGACGAACAAATGCGCGTGTCTGCGAGCTGCTTCGGTGGCACGGGACAAGAAGATGAAGATGGCTGGTCGAGCATGACCCTGTGGATAGCCATGGCTCCTGGAGATGTCTATGCGCTGTGTCCCTTTCTTCCATCGCAATTCTGGCTTTCGCCAACAGTGTTGCCGAGCCTGACGACAAGTGTGGTGGCGAAAGCGCGCGTTCACGAGCACAGCCAGCAAAGCACAGAGCTGGAGAAGCTCATCGCGACGCATCAGAGGAAGTGGCTTGCTGAGCTTGATGATCAAGATCCGTCGATCCTTCCCGGCTTGCGCGACGCGGCAGTCTATTCGAGACCAGAAAAGCCGGCATCTATGCCCCGACTTCAAGGCCCATTCGAGATCTCGCCTGAGCCGGATTCGGGTGACATCACGGACATCCACGTTATCGCGCCAAACGTCAGTCAGGAAGATCTCTTCGATGACGATGAGAACTTCGACGATCTTGCCATCGATGAGGGTCTTAGCGTTGGGGTTGTTTGTTTATCTACGAATACAGGTAAGGTACATATATGCCTCAACCTCGAAGGAGTGGAGGCGGAATGGCTTCCCGGCTCATCTCGAAATCGTGCTCTATATCAGCAGAGCGATGAGAATGTCAAGACCTTACTGCTGTATGAGACTGTCCATCTGGCACCTGATGATCAGCAAGGTGACGAGGCATGGCCGACTTTCACCCCATCGCCAGCCGATCGATACGAAATCTTCAGCACGCAGCCTACAGGGATTTACAATCTGTCGCTGCGACCCTGGGTTCGTGCATTAGAAGACGAATTGTCGGCGCCTGTCACTGCAACTGAGGGCATCGACTTTCGTATGAATCTGATCTTGGAATCATCACTCACCACAGTCAGCCGACTTACGGCAGAGGTGGACGAACCTCTCGACGACATTAATGCCGCCATCAGCATTCTTGACGCCTCCAATCTCGGATACATCACACTCTCGTCGTCAGGCAAGACGCCTATCGCTGCGATTCTCGACGTCCCGGTCCTCGCAGCGCATCCATATCTCCCCGACGTCTATGAGCCTCGAGCCGCTCTCACGGCGGCAGAAGAGCGAGCGCCATACCAACCCGCGGAGGTTTTCTTCCACGCATCGAAGTTGCCAGGATTACTCGAGTCTTGGAGACGCGAGAGTGCTAATGGCGCGGTGCCTGGCGATATCAAAGGCCTGGTGAACTTCTCACCATACACCTTGCAGAAGATGACTGAGGCGCACCGAGTACTCAGTAGTGAAACACACATGCTCGGGCTGGCGGCAGCAGACTTGTTCAGACGATGCGAACGGATGATCAACGAGATGAAGGCACAGATCGAACGAGTGCGCGAGCTCTCCAATCGCGTCAACAGCGTCACCGGTGACGATGAGTTCCCCGAACAGACACCTGGAGAGCCAGAGCTCGTGCGTGGAGGCAAGTCAAAGGTTGAAAATCGGGTGCGGCAACGGCAGGAGAAAACCCGAGAGATCCATGAGCGGGTGGAGAATCTTCGCAAGAAGATGCGCGGTCTCGGTAGCAAAGAGCTTTCGGCTAAGGAACGAGCGTTTGCTGATGAGGTGGAACGGATCAGTAAAACTGTCATGCCGCTTTCAACAAATCTTCGCAGTTCTACTGCGAATATCAGGCTTGAGAATAGCGTTCTGACATCTTCGAGCGTGGAGAGCGATGAGGGAGATGGTGAGGATACGGTTGCGTCACGTGTGGATGCTGTTCGTGAAGTTTATGCGCAGCTCAAGGAGCAAGCCGAGTCGGTGCAAAAGGAGTTGGAAGCCAAGGGCGAGGCTGAAGCAATTAGTAGTAGACCATCAACGGCAAACGGTACCAAAGCGTGGGATTATAAGCAGAGGAAGATGGAGGAGGTGTGGAGGCTACTGGAGCGTGAGACTGCGCTGATTGAGGCTACCACTCTGAGGTTGGAGAATCTTCAGGCTGGTGCTGCCTAAGGAGGCATAGTTATGCAAGGCGGACTTGAATAGTAAAATCACTGCCTGATGAAACTTGCTGAGCACAAAAAGGGAGGCAGAGCACTGCACAGCAATTGATGCATGATGCATGATTTGGATTGAGCACCGAGACTTGTCTATGAATGCACAAGCATGTGTCCGATGTTCCAGCGCTGTTGACTATGACTTCGAGGGTTCGATCCCCGGAGGGGAAAAGCAAATTGACAAGTCTGATGTCAAACGGCGAACAATCATGCCACGCCATCGCCAGGGATCGAACCCTCAACATCGTCAAGAGCGGGTTTCGGGTAAGCTATGAATCGAAGGCTAGTCAGCGGGTAGTCGAGTGACGGCCCTCTACCGAGGGCAGTGGCGCATGATGAAGCAAAAGATTCGGCAGGCACCTCGATGCCATGTCCAGCACAGGGCTCTGGTTTCCCAGTGACGGACCCGCAAGCCCTCCCAGATCGTCGGCGACGCGCTGCACCTGTGCCAAGCCCTATCGAAAACTGGATCCCCATGCCCGCAGACATTGCTCCCAGGGGTTTTCATTTGACTCCCGAAGAAGCTGATTGCGTGTCCGAGCACCTTGTGTGATGACGTTGCGTTGAGAGTCGCCATGCCACTGACTCTGTCATGTTGATTGGTGGTCAAGTCCAATCGAAAACGTGAGTGCCCTGCTCCTGCCTTCAACAATTCGCCCGCAGCCAAGTCTGAGCGTGGTGAGCTTTGCAGCTCCCAGTTGAAGTTCTCTGAAGCGCGTGTATCAGGTTCCATCGCCATTTCACGAATGTTGAGATCGTGGGGGATTTCACGCCAGACCTCGGACTTTGCCAAATGACCGGAGTGCGCTTGGCTGGAAATAATTGTATTTATTACTTGCCTTCGCTTCAACGCTCTTGCCTTGGCGTGACGCAATCCGCTCTCTGACGCGGCAAGCACTGATCTATGCATTTGCGCGCTCCCTCTTCGCTATCGCCGCTCATCAGTATCAGTCGAAACTGCCCCCGCCTGCGTGCCGTGCGCCAATGTCCAAGTCGAGGCTCATCGTCGTTGCCTGTCTCGGACAGGTGCAGCGTGACCGTTGCCGCATGCATGTGAGTGTTGACTGCCATCCATTCTTGCCGCGGTCGCCATGCCCATTACATCCCTTCACCATATCAACTGCACTACCAAAGCTTTCACGATCTCGCATTCGAGCAGATGGCAAGGAACACGCATATTCCTACCATCCGCTAGCCCTGAGCAGTCTCAGAGTGCGCTTCTCACTTCCGCTAGGCAAGCACATCAAGCTCACAAATATCGTGTCATCCAGCATGTTTGCACCACTTGAAAGCAGATAAGCTACGTGCCTCATGCTTACAGTCCAGCTTCCGACTTTTGGCAAAGGTCTTCGTCCAATCTGCCTGCTCTCTACCCGGCTCCAAGCTCTTTGACAATGTATTCTGGTCTATATCTCGCTTTCCGGGGTCGAGGATGATTTTTCGTCATCGATCTGAGTTCCAGGGGATTGATATGGTCGATGTGCTTTGGGACACGCTTAGTTCGCAGGTCGCTGGGCACGGATCTGGTGTTACATGCCTTCATCAAGGGAACCTCGAACAGGTCAAAGTGCTGATGAGCCATCTCGGACTACGTTCAGCAGGTGGGCCATACAATGTCATGAGCTGCGAAAAGGAAAGGAAAGTACATGTAGCTTGAAGCAACGCGTGAGGTGAGACCTCGGGCCGTGTGATCGGCCGCATCCTTCGTGGCACGTGTATACAGTATGGCACGCTTCGCCTTTACTGCAACGTCACTAAGGCAAAATGGAACACAAGTCGTCTAGCATGTTTACGATCGGAAAGTGGAACGTGCTTTGTGCCAACGTAAATGAGATGGGTTGTCAACACGAATGCAACTATTGAGAGCTGACCTGCAGGGCGGTTGCTATCCCTCCCGGTCTGCAAGCACTGCGCTGTAACACACCGAAGGCCTGTCATTCTCGAACGCCCTTTCAGAGTTGCGAAACGGTGCGAGAATTTCAAGATGAAATGTGTGAGAAGCCCGAGCAAGCAAGATGACGACCATGCGACACTGCGACAGCACTACATGTATTCTAGTTCCACTGGATATGCTTAAAAACAGAAACGCCAAATTGCAACTATATCACGAAAATGACGACAACAGCCTGATCTGTATGGGCACGATGGGATGCCGGTCTTGCAAAGCATTATGAAAAAAAAACACTCAGAAGTTCACCATTCCCACATCCTCCGTGCTCCAAAATTTCCAGCTTCATAATTTGGCTACCTATTAATTCTCGACCAAACCATCCGCACCAGCCGTATTCTAGACCTGGTGTTGCCAAAAAGCGGTGCACCGAAAAGATTTTTCCACCTCAAAAGGACTCAGCGCGACTGCCATTCCAAGACGTCAGTAGCCCCCAATACACCGGTAGGATCGAAAGAATCGCTAGCATCCGAGATGTGCGGCCGCAGCTCCAGCTCACCCGGGCATTTTTTGAAACATCACAAAGCTCTGAGATCTCCTTACGCGCTTCCATTGTCTGATCTACAGGCCATGATCGATCAGTTTAGTGGTGCTCGAGTATCGGGCAGCAAGAACACCACCTCTGAAGAAAAGATTGTAGATCTGGCCTATCGTGTCAAGTATGGGATTTCGCCAGTTCTCGGCCATATTATCCATTTGTATTATTCGAGTCCCCAGTCTGACCATCCAGCGCCTAGCCTTGATCACCGAATTTGAAACTACGTGAACCGTCTATGAGGACAGGAACTAAGAGGAGTGATACCCAAGTGAGGTGAGGCGACTCGGTGAGCGAATGTGAGCGATGTCCACGAAACTGGGCTGACGGATCATGAAGCCTTCGATTCATATGCTACAGTTGTCGCTATGCAACGCATGCACTTTGCTTAAATTCAATGCTCTCAACTCACCATGCAAGAGCAACCAATAGCTTTTATCCTACCCTTTCGTGCTCATGCCCAGATATAATGATACAGATATGTAATTCAGTCCTCGGTCAAGTCGCCGTACTCCCACATACCGCGGCGGTCAGCCTTGGCCTCAGCCTCTCGCTTTTTTAGGTCGGCGAGAACTTCAGGCGCAGAACGCTCGAATGGGCGCAGCTTCTTAGGAGCCATAGCCAGACCCTCAGTCACTACTTCAGCGTTGATGCTATCGGTAGGCGAAGTTGAAGACTTTGGATCCATGAGCGTCACGTAAAGCAGATTGTCTCGTGTGTCCGTGTAGTCAATGTTGGCAACAAGCTCACGATCCACCGTGATGTCGTTAATCATGTTGACCGTCTCAGAAAGGTACTCCGCTGCAGTCGGAAATTGCACAAAGGAAAGCGCGGCATCGACTGCTTGGGCCTTCAGGCGATCCGGTCCGAATTTAGCCTGGTCAAGAGGGCGCAGCTGGCTCCAAGGCTGCGTTTCGGAGTTGCCATAGTCGATATATACAACTTCAGCGGTCTTGTTTTCACGGTCATTGCGTCGAATCCGTGCGCGGTACCATACACCATCCTGAGAGAACTTGGCTGAAACAATGTCACCGGCCTTGGGTGCTCCATCGAGGCCTTTGTTGTTTCCAGGAGAGATGTGGAAGGAAGCGAACTCCTTCATGAGCGAGTTGAGGTTTGCCTGTCCGGAGCCGATGTACTGCAACTTCAGGCGAGCACTGGTCGGGTCGACGTAAGTGACAGTGACATCCTTGTAGTTGCGCGCGCGTGGTTGCAAGGCTGCGTCGCCATTGGTACCATTGGTACCGTTGACCTCCTCATAGTCTTCGCCGTTCTCAGCAGCTTCCTGCGAAGGATCCCAGTCTTGCCACAGGCCACGCCTAGCCTCCTTTGCCTTCTGCTCAGCCGCGAAGAGCTCGTTTGCGTGGCCTGATTTCTCAGCACTGTATGCATGTACTGATGCAAGACCTTCCTCAACAAGAATCTTGGCAAAGTTCTCGCGGTTGATGTAAAGGTCCCCAATGAAGCCACCCTGCTTGTCGGTATCGTGCACATCAATTTCCACGTCGCGTTGGTTGCAGCGCTTCGAGGCGAAGTCATGGGCCTCCTGTCCGAAAGGCTCTGCCGAGTCGTTTGGTCCGCGAGCACTTCTCGGGGCGCGAATGCCACCCAGCACGAAAGTAAGCTTAGCATTCTCGCGAGGTATAAGAACGGTAAATCTGCTGCCGGACTTGACGAAGTCAACGACAGCAGGCACCTTCTTCTTGTTGGAAAGCATGGTTAATTGACGCCTAGCCTTCTCCAAAGACTCGCTGTAGTCGACGTAGCTCTGCACCTTCGGTGGCTTCGGTGCCCACATGCCCTTCTGCTCGGATTGCGCTGCTTCTTCAGCTGCGAGCAGTTCATCGTAGATTGGGCTGCGGTCCGCATCGTCCATTCGATGACGGATCACAGAGGCGTAACCACTCTCGACGAGCATGAGAGCCACGTTCTTGCCATTCTGCGACACAGTCGCCATTTCACGCTCGTCGTATCCTTCCGTAGCTGGTCGCTTGCCATCAATTGTCACCTTTACATGCTTACCGATGAGCTTCTTTCGCAGGAACTCCTTGGCATCAGCGCTGAATGGGGCCTGCTTTGGGTCCGTTGGCTTTGGCTGGCGGACACTGCTCAGGTTGATTCGCTTCTCTTGTCCGGCCTTATTTCGGATGAACAAAGTGTCTGCCGAAAAGACTCTGCTCACGACAGCCTCTTGCTCGCTCCCAGCCCGCGGTGTGGTGCTAGTGCCCTTGAATAGACCAGCCTGGCGCTCTTTCGCGGAACGCTCTGCTTGTCGTAGCTTGCCCATCTCAGCTCCAAGCCATGTCGAGTGATGATCAACGCAGCGAGCGAGTCCTTCCTTGAGCAGAAATTCCCCAATGTTGCCGACTGGATGCCGCACTTCACCTACAAGCAAGTTGTTGGGCGAAACGCCAAGTATGCGCACCTGCACACCACGTTGTAATAATCGATCCTCCACGAACTGTTGCGCCTCGTTTCCAAATGGCTCGGCAGGCTGGGTTGAGCCGTCCGACGGGTTCGTTCTCGCAGTCGTTGGTGCTCGCAGCCCTGCAATCAGCACAGTCGTCTGCACATGCTGAGTCGGCGTGAGCATGAGGCGGCAGATCAAGCGGTCTCCACTCAGCACACGCTCGACGACTGCCTCAATGGCCTGGTTCTTGTGCTCTTCCGCAAAAGCCTTGGCGTCAGGCAAGTCGCGCACATTGTTCACGATCGATGGCTTTGGGCTCCAAACTCCCTTGTCATCGGCTCTTGCCTGTGCTTCGAGCACTTCGAGCCGTGAGAGCAGTTCTGCAGCTTGGGGTGCCTCTGCTTTGCGGTCGGCGTCGTCTCGCAGCTTCGCCCAGCCCTCTTGCACAATCAGGTCAGGCAATTGTTTTCCATCTGCCAGTTGAACAAGCGCATACTCGCGTGATGCTCCGCCAACTTTCTGCGGGATCGAGTACAGCACGGAGAATCGAATGATTTTGCCCACGACAAGCTTGCGGAGGAAGTCTCTCGATTCGAAGGAGCACGGCTCATCAGATTGCAGGCGAGGCGCGTTGATGAAGGCCAAGCTGATTGTGCGCTCTTGTCTCGCCTTGTTTTGCAGGATCAGAGTGTCGCCAGAGAGCACGCTCTTGACCTTGCCTTCTTGCAATGCCATTTCGATTCGAGTCGCCGAGGATTCGTGAGATCGGGTGGAGGTATGCTGGTTTTCGAGGAGTTTGGTGTTCAGTTCCAGAATGTCCGGAAAGTGGTGGCGCCTTCGTATGCAAAACGCTAGCAGATCGCGTGATGTGTGAACGTTCTTACTTAGAGGTATAAAACAAACTGTCGAGTGTTCAGGGTTGGTGTGTCCTTTGGCGGGGTGCAGAGTGCGCGCACCGACGGAATGTGCGAGCCGAGCCTTTCAACGGGCACTTTTATAATGCCATCAGATAATTCAGATTGATAGCACGAGACTTATACGTCGAAGGGAAATGAAGTGAAGCTCGAGCTCTTATATATGCTTTCAGTTGATGGTAAATCGCATGTGATGGACACAATTCACTCATGCTGACACGAGTCCTGTTTCACATGCGTCGGAGAAGATGTTTATGCTTAGCTCACCCGGTGAGCAGATGCCCACCAGAAGTCGAAATCATTGCCCCAGTAACGTTATTATCCTTCATCAAGTAAATATAAGCCTCGGCGACATCTTCCACAACCGCCACCTTGCCAACAGGAATCTTCTTCGCTATCTCCTTGAAGGCCTGCTGCTTTCGTTCCGCACTCATATGTGCCCAAAGCTCGGTATCCACCGCACCAGGACTGACAAGATTGACTCTGATCGGCTGCAGGTCCAGTGCCATACCACGAGTCATTCCTTGGAGACCAGCAGCGTAAGAAGCAACAACAGTCCAGTCCGGGATAGGACGTTCAGAAACAGCGCCAGTAGTAATGATGATCGATGACTTGGGTCCTGGATTGAGGTATTGTGGGGCGTACTTGCCGATGAATAGGGGAGCAAAGAACCGCACCATACCGGCTACCTTGAGCTTTGCCATCTCGAGATCGGGAAGTTTGAGGACGGCGAGGGAGTCGCCAGCAGTGTGAATCACATGGTCGATTCCTTTGCCAACTTTCTCGAAAAGGCCTCTAATATTAGACTCAAGCTTCTCTTCATCCCCAAGATTGCAAGCGTGTCCGCTGATACGGTCTTTGGCTGATGGATACGAAGATTGAAGTTTGGAGATAGCATTCTGGACCCTGTCTGGGTTCGAGGACGAGATAACGACTGTGCAGCCTTTTCGTTGAGGAGAGTTGTTAGTCCGGATTCGACTTGGAAGATAGTTGTCGTACGCACCATGCTCCAAGCAAGCCTCAGCCACACCAAAGCCAATTCCAGCAGATCCGCCTAGTGTTCAATCATCAGCATGGACCATCTGAAGAGACTTGCAAAGAGTATGCTCAGTGACACTTGCCGGTAATCAGAACCTTTTGGCCTTGAAGCTTTTGAGTGTACTTGGTCTGATCAGCCATGGTCGATAATTTGAAAAACGATTTCCTGGTCTCGTGTCTTTTGCTGGTGGGGGGTTTGTCTTGACGGCCGCTATATAGTGTCGTGATGGTCGGGAATTGTTGCGCCGTGTGGGCCCTACCATTCCGCGATTAGTGGAGATAAGGAACAAGTCAGTGAGAGATGACATCAATCAAACTCCAAGTCTGTGAGCTTCGGAGTATCAAATGCTATGAACACTTTCTGCATCTTCTTGGATATCGTTATGGGCCTATCCTGAATGGTCGGGGTCCAAAGAGGAAAAGCCTTGCAGATGCAAGAGAGCACGCCGATGCTGTTTGATTAGTGTCAGCGTCAGCATGCGTCCAGCGGCATTAAAGCCGCCCGCTACTAGTCCTGTCTGGACAAAATAGGCATCGCGACATCCTCATCTTCTGCCCGTGCTGACCTGAAGCTTTTCTGAAGCACGCAAGTTTGCCAGTGGCAGTTGCTGCACAGGCATTCAACTCCATCGGCCCCACAATGGCCGAATCAAAGCCGGAAGAGGCGCTTGCTGCGGATATTTTACTCGTTCCACTTCACGGCTGACATTCTAAGCGAATTGCCATCGAGTATTGACTTGCTTGCGAGCGACCTACTGAAGATTAGCAGCGAACTAAGATAAGGCCTTTTGAAACATACCAATGGAGCAACTACAAATGTTGCAACGGCCAACGCAGCCACGGTCGCCAGCATCTGGAACTTGTTGAAGTCCTTGCCTAGGATATCAAAACCAAAACTTGGGCTGAGCCTTGTCCCGAAGACATCCAAACCGAACGCAAACACTAAGCTTGTGCTTTCGATCAGGGCAGGGCTGGTGATCACATTTTTGACACCTAAAACCTCCCGCTTGTGGTTTAGATACCACTTCGGATCAAATTCGACGGTTGGTGTGTACCGGACGAGCCCTTCAAGCTGTTCGTCCTTCGTTGGATCTCTTCCTGCCGGTCGACGTGGGTCCAGGACGGGATATGGGATGCCGACAATTGATCCAGAATCTGCGAGCACTGCCAGGAGTTGCCTGGAAGTAATACCTTGGCGTGTGCGAGTGACCGAAAGCTGCGAAATAGGCTCCGGAATCTGGTAGGAATGCAGCAGGACAAAAGGCTCAGGAGACTGTCCCAAGCTGGAGGAATTAGTCTTTCCAGTCAAAGGGCCTCGATCGTTCGGAAGCAAGGATTCAAACATCTCGCCCACAACCAAATGATGTCCTTTGGTTGTGCCATCTCTTGAGTCAGCGGTGTACGAGTACGCAAACCAGTTTTCCGACATGATAGCTGGAATCGGCTCTGATAAGTCCACGTTGTAATGCACGTCTGCAAATAGAGTTGCACCCGAGACCGTGTCGAGAACATAGAGGGATGCTGCTTGGGTGGCATCATTCGCCGTGATCAGCAATGCGAGATTGGAGCTCAGGTACTTGTAAAGCACCCTACGATCTCCAAGCACTTTGCCAATTGATGCCACTGGATCATTCACAGGACGTGGTACCAGAGATAGAATGCGTTCGCCTTCGGATGGCAGGAAACGCCACATTGCTTGGGCGGCATCACCGGCTGCTCTCGTCGCTGAAAGCTCGCCGTCTCGCAGCGTAAATTGTACAGATCTCTCAGGAGCCACCGGCGATTCTGCTGCAGTTAAAATGGCTACAGGCTCTCCATTTGTGGCGTTCAATCTCAAATCCCGCATTCCTTCGCTTTGCACTACCAGGACCCCAGCCGAACTAGACTTGAACGATGGTCGCCATGGCTCGCCCGGAGGCAACTTCACGACTTGCTTGCTCCAAATTATACGATTCGCGCTTCCAGCATCCAATGCTACAACGCGTCCAGTCCGAGTAGCACACGCTACCACTTGATGGAAGCCGAAGACATCGCCAACCAGTCCACTCTCCGCAGTGGTGCCGAACAGACCATTTGTAATGCGCTGAGGCAGAGCGCTCAAGATGGCTGGGACCTGCTGCCAGTCTTGGATGTGCCGCTTGACTCGATGGAGGTATGCAGCAATGACATTGCTGTGGGCCTCGATTTCCAAATCCTGGGCAAATGATTCTACTTCAGCAGGATTGGCGAACGCAGCTGAAACTGTGCTTGCCAGCACTTCAGGCCTATTCCAGACAGCACTGCCGTCCCTAATGAGCACCCAATCCCCTGTGGATAAGAGAACCGCAGAACGAGCGGCCGATACCTCTCCATTCTTTAGGGACACTTCGGAGACAGAATGCACTGGCTCGAGTGTCTCACTCCCAGACGCAGCAACTCCAAAGTCGCCAAGAGCCCATTTTCCAAGCACTCCATGGGACACAGAAGAGACTGTAACAATTTGGTCCCTCGTGATCCTGGTAAAGTAGACGTTGGCATCGGAATTGCTCGTGGAGAACGAGCCCTGACCAGCAATGTTTGGCAGCGAATATGCTTTCTCCACCTTGTTCTTTCTCAAGTCAATGTGGTACACCTCAGCCCAGTGGGACGTCGCAGTCTCGAAATGCACCAGGAAATGGGCTAGAGAATTGGTGTGGAATGGTGCGTGTAGGCGCACTCGAGTCACGGCCTCGTCATCATGCTTATCGATGCTGAAAGATGTGACCCCTTTCGTGCCAATGATGTTCACTTTGAGGACAGTGTAAGCAGAGTCGGTCCAGGCGATTATGGGGGATGCAGAGTTCGCCCCGACAGATACAATGGTGTCAGCGGATGCCAACTCGCTTTCTGAGCTTAGCGTATGCTCATCAATTTTCCGTCCAGAGACCGGATCCAGCGTGATGATTTTGATTTTGAGGTAGCCAAGCATGGTCTTGTGTAGCAAGATGCCGTATATGCCAGTCGATGAAGTGAGAACTTGATACGGCAGGTCTCCGCTGTCGATGTCGTAAGTCCATTTGATGTCGCCCGAAGAGCCGTCCAGGCGCTGGACTACGGGGTGTTCGCCGCTGGTGAGCACGACGGCATCTTTGGCGCCTGGAGTCTCTCGGCCATCGCTGAGCTCTAGAATCTCCAAATCCTCAATTCGTCCATTGACACTGCGATGCCAGGCCAACCTGCCATCTGCAGCACTCCAGGCGGACACGTCGTTGCCGATGCCGCTGACAACAACATCCTGACCCTCACCAGCGCGCAGAAAGCTGGCATTGGCAGGTCCGACGCCTTGCAACAGCTGCTGCCGCCAGACTAATATGCCATCACGAGGATTGACTGCACCTATCACACCGTCCTCAGATAGTGTGTAGATGAGCGATGCCCGGGAAGCTGGATTTGGCTGATGGAAAAAGGTGGCATCTTCTTTAGGCAGGCCCAGCAAGGGTATATGGTAGTCAACGCCCCAGGCTTCGTCAGCAAAGACTGCGCTCGTCGATCTCAGCAGAAGCGCGGCGGCTGCGAGCAGTGCTGAACGCATCGTTGTCTGCTCAGGCAGTGCGGATCTTCCACGACATAGGAGCAGCGGCGATGCAAGGTCAGAAATGCCAAGCTTGTTGCCTCAGGCTTTCAGAGGTCAGACACTTCCCACTTTCACAGGCCGAGGGACAACAACGAGAGCGCGGCTACGATGATACGATGACCATTCATTATTCCGTTCAAGACACGGATCTTCGCCGTTCATGCAGTGTCGGATTTCATACCACCGACGATATGCACGATCGTCAGACGATGTGCGATGGATACGTCTGAAGCTGGACTGCCCATGGTGAGCGAGTCAACAACCTTTCGGAGTGGACCAGACTTGCGGCAGTGCGCGCCGGGTAGGCAAAGGTTCGGCGAAGTGGAACTTCACAGGCATGTGAGGTCGCCGCCTCTTACGTGTGGAGCGTGGTCTGCGAAGCGAATGCTGCATCGCGGAGGCTGCCAAGCCAGAATGGCTGCTAGAGTATGGATCATGGTGGCTGTCGAATAGGTAGAGGTATTCTAGTTGTTAGGGTCAATCAATTATTGATTGTATTGATGATGAGCACGCTCGACACGATCGCCGTCAGATAGAACTAAGGTCTCCCAGCTCCCTCGACCTTGGTGCCGCCGCCCGCGTGGCTGTCTTCCGGCCGCTGCAGCATGCAGCATGCAGCATGTCCCTAGCTGCTCAACCACGCCCCCTCTGCCTTTCCTCGTCGAATCTTCAAAGGCCGCTTTTCGAGGGCTGAGAGCCGATAGGCCCGTCGTGGGCTTCGTGAGCGAATGGCGTCCATGAGAAGCCGGCTGAGCGAACGAAGCATAGCTTGCATATTTTGGCCCTCGACTCGTATGTACGTGTCAGGCATGCTGTGCACCAAATGTCGGGTGTTGGTGCGTTCAGGGAAGAGCATCTTACGCCGTCCAAATACTCTAACTCAATGCTCGCCATGGACCGCGACTTAATGGCCTTCAGAGCTACTGCACTCCCGGTAGGCAGTGGTAAGCATAACTGCTCCTCTCATCACCACGCTTCTGCGTGGGCCTTGTTCACTTCTCTTCGTCTACTGTACAGTACCACCTACGACCTATCACGCTGCAAGCATCCGCTTCCGCGCGCGCTCCCGGTGTCACCACAGACGACAAGATTCAATTTCACAAGTCCTAGCCTGCCGGCAGGTTCTGCGAGGCATTCTGAATGGAATCGCCTGTGCCACGAGAGCTCGTACACCTCGTAACGCGACCCATCGCACGCCCACCACCGCCACCGCCTTCTTCACGCTGAGCCTCCTCTTGCACACCACCACTTCATCCTCCGCGAACGACAACTTCCTAATCCAGAAGAGATCGACATTACATGCGTCTGAATAGGCCAGACTTCGAGGCCGATGCACAATGTCTCGTGCTGGATATCAGCGAGAGTACCACATTGCCGTGCTCGGCTCCGGCGGTGTTGGGAAGAGCTGCCTGACTAGTTCGTGGAACTCCCTTGTTGCTCCTCGGTACTTGTGTGTTGACAGCTCCCAGTGCAATTCGTGCAAGGTATCTTTGTGGAGCGGTATGATCCTACCATCGAAGACTCGTACCGAAAGCACATCGACGTGGACGTGCGTGCAGCTGTCTAGACCTTTCGCTGAGATTATGCTAATTGACCTAAATGCAGGGTAGGCATGTGGTCCTCGAAATCATGGATACGGCAGGCACAGAGCAATTTAGTCAGTATTCGCCGAAAGCATATCAAACGGACTTTCACTGACAGCTCCTAGCGGCCATGAGGTACTGCGTGCGCCAGGTTTTGATCACCGTGATGTTAAATTGACTTCTCTCCAGGGACATGTACATGAGAATCAGCCAGGGCTTTCTTCTGGTATTCAGCATTACCTCCGCTTCGTCTTTGCGGGAATTAGTCGAACTCCGCGATCAAATCGTCCGAACGAAAGGCGACCCGAACTTCCCCATCGTTCTTGTCGGGAACAAGAGCGACCTCGAAGAAGACCGCGCAGTATCACGAGCAAAAGCGTTCCAGCTATCCCAAAGCTGGGGTAACATACCTTATTACGAAACGAGTGCACGACGAGCGACGAATATCAGCGAAGTGTTCATAGATGTGTGCAGGCAAATCATACGGAAAGACCTTTCAAGAGCGCGGCCGGAGGATCGTGATCGACACCATAGACGAAGGAAAAACAAGAGTAGCAGAAGAGATGATCACGACAGAGGAGGCTCACGGTGCACGATACTATGATCTGGAAGACGAGCATCAATCAGGATTGATGTCTTCGAAATTTGCATGTGACAATAAATCTCATGGCGGCTTTTGTGACTCCTTTTGGTGAAAATCTTTGCATAAGGGACAAGTTCCAGGTTGCTTGCGTTGCAGTAGCATCGCTTAAGCTTACAGCCCTACAGTTGGGGAACTTTTCGAGTCAGCGTTCAGCATTAGCGAAGACCCCGAAGATACGGCACTTGTAGTCTCTAAATCTCCATGTGCCGGATGCCTCCCTAATTGCTTGCCTGTCCAAGCTCGACTCACTATTGCACAGCGGCTGCGTTGCGTGTAACTTTCAAGCGGTGGTGGGCTGATTTCGATGATACCATCTTTGACCACGACCATCAATCCAGCTCGAAGCGGTAAGTCTTGACCCGTGTCAATGTCGTGAGGTGCTGATGAATAAACTTGGCGCTAACATGGTGCAATGCAGGAGCAGGAGTTAACATAATATCCCCAACGACTTTGAGCCGCTATACATCTCGGCATGCCGGACGGGAAGACTAACTGACCATGGGAAGTAGTGCTTAAACCGGCCCTCCTCGTTCTCTATCGCCAAGGACCCCTTCCATTATCGACGTGTTATTGCTGACGATTTGAACAACCAAGAATCCATGAGTTCGACCGTACACGCCCACGCAGGTGGATCTTGCAGGAACTTTCGTGCGTTTGTTATGGCTCCAATGAGCTTTGAGAGTTGGACTTGGTTGCCTTGACTTCAGACGCGGTTGCTGCTCATCAGCTTTACGTGTGAAGCCGGCTCGAAAGAACCTGCTTATGTGCATTGCGTACAGCACCGGCTTCAATCGCTTCATGCCTGATCAAAGGTCTTCACGATATTACTCACGACCTGATCTAGGTCCTCATTCTTGAGGCCAAGATCCTGCATCGCGAAGTCCTTCCTCAACTCCCAGTTGGCGTCGATGGCACCAAGTAGCCAGACGAGATTTTCCACCGCCTCCAAATCTCCCGCATCAGCTTTCATCTTCTCCTCGTTCTGGTACTGCTTGGATTCATGTCTTTGTACAGTCCACTTCTGACCAGTTGCGTGTTCGAAGGATGCGAGAACCTCACTCTGAGACACTAAGAAGCTCTGGACATAGATCATCCGGTTCTTAGTCACATCGGGTCGCTGCAGGATTCGTGCCGTAGCTTCTCCAACCTGGGACAACGTACTCGCAGACCACTTGGCCTCGCCGTCATCCAGAATCTCCATCCTCCTCTCCTTCAACCAGATATGCAGGAACTCGAGACTCCAGTCGAAGAAATGTCCACAGACGAGACTAGTCCAGGTGAAGTCAGGATGTCTTGAAGCTAGCTCAATCAGATACTCTCGCAACTCAGTCTTATGGCGATACAATGGGACAAGCTCCTTGGTCAGAGAGCTCGAAGAGTCCACAGAGCCGAAGTCAGCAGGAATGAAGCCTGAGGGTGTTTCAGCATATATTCAATGGATTGAGAACGACACTCAGACTCACGTTTGACGCCAGCTTTGATACATGCATCCGCAATACGCTTTTGAAGGGCTGTCTCGCTGCCCTTGATCGTGACCACCACTGCGTCTTCGCCGCTCAACACTCTTGCGAGCTCTTCAACTTCGAAGGAGTCCGACACCAAGACTTGATTAGGATAAGCTGTCTGCGACTTTGATGACTTTCTCTTCAATACTGTGACATTGAAGCCATTTTCGACCAGGGAGCGTAGGACGGAAGGCCCCAGTGTCCCGTCGGCTCCAAGCAGTACCACTGATTTGACACTCATCTTTCCTACGCGAAATTCCTTTTGAAGGTCGCCAACAAATTGCCGTAGATATCTCTTGGTGCGAAAAAGACTGAAGATAATGGCTTTCAATTCGTGAAGACGACGGTATGATTCTTGGCTGTGTTGGAAGAGTTTCGGCCACCAAAGCCGACGCTGAGAAGAGTTGCCAGGGTCAATGATGGCAGACGCCAAGCCTTACCGGGAGTGTTAATTAGGGACGTCATCGCTCGACCCGGTTGACTTCACTCAGGAACTGACGTTCTCATGTGATTTCCAAGACAGCAGGCGCCCTCATATCAGCTGAACTTTTTCTACCGGTATGGTTTGATCTTGCCAAGCCTCTCCATCCATGATGCCCAGCACAAAAGCTTCACAAATCAAGCGAAAGTCTCTTGACCGAGGACCTGAGCCAGCCGTAGGACGCATTGTCAGAGGTATTGGTGCACCCTGCACCACAGCAATGCTGTCTCCATAGATGAGACCTTCCTGTGCCAATCCAAAATGGCCTTTCTCCGTGATGAAGAAGACTCTGCCTCGCAGGAAGTTTGCGAACGCCAAGTGAAGGCGCTCTTCTTCGAGAAGCTCTTCTCTGTTGACCGGTGAAGTGTCGTCATCAGAGCGCCGCAGAAATCCAAGCAGTGCGTCGTATCGCTTCACAACATCCTCAACAGAAAGTTTCTTTCCTCGATCTTGGTCCGCGGTGATGGTTCGGGCAATGGCTACATGCTGCTCACTGTGCACGCTTGGACGCCTTCGATGGACGTGCAGAAGTGACATTGATTGGAACAACCATGCTCTGAGAGCTTCTGCGAGTGCTTGTGGGCCTGTCTCTATTATCTTCAGACCCTCGGAGCCCACCGCTAAAACTCTATCGAAGAATTTCACTGTCAAAGGCAGACGAAAGCTGGGAGTGCCATCGCCATCTAGCTCTGTCACAGGAGCGATCTCTTTGATCTCGCTGCCCCCAGCATTGTAACACGTATTCTCCAGCCAGAGTGGTTGGGCTTTCCACGGTAGAGACCAATCGGGAGTCCACGAAGGCAGCTGTAATTGCTGGTTGCAAATGCCCGCCGAGCAGATGAAGTCCATCTGCCTTCTTGACAGTGTGACCTCGTCGCAGCTGTACTCAGAGATGGCATACGCGATGCGCTGCAAGTATTGTGTGGCGAAAAGCTTGTGCAGCATTGCAATGTCCATGCCATAATCGGGTCGGTTCCATAGACGAACGATGTGGTGGAAGGCGAACAGCTTATCACGGTGGTCTGTAGCCTCGCAGTCCTTGGCAGCTGTGAGTACATAAGGCACCATTGACTCCTCATTCGCGTAGTCTTTGACGGCTTGCTTTGTGCCCTGCTCCGTGATTGCTCTCAGCTCTTCCATGAAGCTTATGTATTGAGCAGCAGTCTTGCCGGAGCCAAGCGTCTGGGAGGCACGTGAGGAAGGATGATGTCTTGCCTCGATTATCTGCACAAGTTGGACAAAGTCGTCCCAGAAGGCGGTTGCATTGCCACAAGTAACGACAATATCTCGAGCGCACACGATTTCTTGGATGATCCATAGACGTCGAAACCAGGGTCGTGTGAGCAGCATGATGAAAGCAGGCCACGCCCCTTCTCCCCATACAGGACACTCTGGAGGCGTTTTGGTGCGGTCGGTAAGGTCTCCCGGGCTCTGTGCGAGGCTGGGCCAGTAACGTCTTATTCGCTTTGGCAACTCCATGGCAGCAGCAGTACCATGGCCCTCTTGGCCAAGCCAAACGATGACTCCACTAGCTGCTCGAAATATTGCTCCCATTTTGCCAACTTGCTCATTGCGATCAATGGTGTTCTGCTGATCTACACATATTTGATCGATCCACAAATTGACACGCGTTGTGGTTGCGCGAGCATTACGAAGGGCGGCATAGAGATTTGGGGTGACCTTGAGTGGCCTGCCGTCAACCCAGATGATCTCCTCCGCGGACGTGGTATTCCAGCAATAGGATAGAGCGATGAAGCGCACACTTGTGTCTTTCATAGACACCTGCTGAATCTGGCACTGAATCGGCTCATCTTGTCGGCCGGGAAGCACACTTGCAATCCTGTAGCCGCCTGCTAGGATCTCCGCCGAAGGTCGATAGTAGAAGTCAGAGCTCGGACTCACTTTCGACCAGGAATCAGCTCTTGTTTATTGGAAGGAGGAAGCCATACGAGGCAGAGTGCAGCATTTCTTGCGAGATGGTCGCGAGATCCTTGCGCAAGATGGCGTGTGCTAAGTAACGGCGTGGCGGCCTTTCATTGTCGCGTCTGACAGCAACATCCCGCACCACCACGACACTCACCACCACCTCTTGTTGGCGTGTCGGTACCTGCGAACATGCGACCGGTGTGCAGACAGTCGCTCTACAGTCCTCAGTCCTACCGCATCGCACCGCACCGCACCGCACCGCACCGCATCGCTGGCGGGCCGTGGCTGATCAAGCCATCAATCCAGACTGGAGAGCTCACAATGGAAGTTCACACCAAGGACGCCGAAGCGCGCCGGACACACCACAATCGCATCCACTCCGGCCCTTCAAACAATCGTCAGGGCATTGGCTCTACTGTACCTGGTTCGTCGGCAATTTGCTGCAGAGTCTTTGCACGATCTGTCTCGCGGATAGTTATGGAGGAAAGTGAAGTAGGACGGAGAAATTGGCAAATCGCGGACGTTGCGAGTCGCATTCACCCTGCGCAAATGTCGTGTTAGTTGGTGCTGATCAAGAGATTGGAAAGCTCCTGCACTGCACAGCTGTGATCTCATGCGTGCGTCGGACACTTCTCCAGTAGATAGACCCTGTCTCTTGCCCCTCTCAACACATTTTCTCGGGCCTGAAGAACACCACCAACACTCCATCACATCAACACCAATTCCTCCCATTTCAGTCTGAACACTACAGAGCAATCATGACTTCCTCTCTTGACCAGCTGAAGGCCACCGGCACTGTAAGTTGCTCTCCATGGAGCCGCGACCGGCGACCCGAATTGTGCTCGGCCTTTGAAATCTTTCCCTGCTGATGACTGTTCTTTCAGGTCGTTGTCTGCGACTCTGGCGACTTTGCCACCATCGACAAGTACAAGCCGCAAGACGCGACAACCAACCCATCCTTGATCCTCGCTGCCTCGAAGAAGGAGGACTACGCCAAGCTCATCGACGATGCGGTCGAGTACGGCAAGAAGCACGGTAGCTCCATTGAAGAGAAGGTTGATGCGACATTGGACAATCTCCTCGTGCAGTTCGGCAAGGAGATCTTGAAAATTGTCCCAGGCAAGGTCTCGACAGAGGTTGATGCCAAACTCTCCTTCGACAAGAAGGCCTCGGTTGAGAAGGCTCTGCACATCATTGAGGTAAGATGGAAACAATCTGGTCACACGCGTGCACATGTTGACCTTTCTCTCTTTAGCTCTACAAAGAGCAGGGTATTGACAAGTCTCGCGTCTTGATCAAGCTTGCTTCGACATGGGAGGGCATCCAAGCTGCCCACGAGCTCCAGACCAAGCACGGCGTCAACTGCAACCTGACTCTCATGTTTTCTATCGTCCAGGCGATCGCTGCCGCCGAAGCCGGTGCATTCCTTATCTCTCCGTTTGTTGGCCGCATCCTTGATTGGTACAAGGCCAACACGAAGCAAGAGTACACCAAGGAGAACGACCCGGGTGTCAAGTCTGTGCAGCAGATCTTTAACTACTACAAGAAGTACGACTACAAGACCATTGTCATGGGTGCATCCTTCCGCAACGTTGGAGAGATCACTGAGCTTGCTGGCTGCGACTACCTCACAATTGCTCCAAACCTCCTTGAGCAGCTGTACAACAGCCAAGAGCCTGTGCCACAGAAGCTGAAGGCTTCGGATGCCTCTGCGCTCAACATCGAGAAGAAGAGCTACCTTCACGACGAGGCCGCTTTCCGCTTCGACTTCAACGAGGAGACCATGGCTGTACACAAGCTTTCCGAGGGTATTAGCAAGTTCGCTGCGGATGCTGTCACATTGAAGGACATCCTCAGGAAGAAGATTGGCGCATAGAACACTATGATTGAATGATGTTTCCTTAGCGATGGGGTAGCTTGAATTCCAGCTCCAAAATGCATAGAGGTGTTTAGGTCGTGCCAATGCCAAGAAGTAAGAAACGCTTCCGACCACGATGTTTCGGTTTCAATGCATGACTCTTTTATTTTGAATGCCAAAGTCTCTTCGGACTTGCCCAATTGCCGGTGTCGCTGTTGCATCATTTCATTTCTGTGCCCCACTTGCCCCTCAGCTGCTCAGCTTCTGTTTCTCGCTCCCACTTGTTGACATTCATTCTGAAAAGACGAGAAGACTGCGAAAAGTCATCAAGACAACCACTCTATAAGAAATTCCATCCAAAGAAACACCGCAAAAATGGTCAAGGCAGGTACGTGTGAGCTACTGGGCCCTTGATTGGTACAGACCAGGTCTTGTGCGCAAGAATGAGCAGATTTCTACGTCTCATTCGACAGAAACGCATTAGGCCATCAAGGTGACCACACTTTGGCCTGAACCGGCACGTAATGCGGCTCTTCGCAACCGCAGACGGTGACAGACGCGGGCAAGGCTGTCACTTGTATCACCTTGATGGTCAAGGCCGGCATGGCATGGAGGACGACGATACCGAAAACCAAACAGAGCTCTCGGGCTGACATGAAGCCTTCACAGTTGCGGTTCTCCGAGGTGACTCGAACGTCAAGGGCACCGTGACCTTCGAGCAAGACGCTGAGAGCTCCCCAACTACCGTATCATGGGATATTACCGGCCATGATGCCAACGCTGAGCGTGGCATGCACGTGCACGCCTTTGGCGACAACACCAACGGCTGCACCAGCGCTGGACCACACTGTAAGATTTATCAGAAACGATGGACGTTGATCGGGCTGACCATTGGCAGTCAACCCACACAACAAGACCCACGGTGCTCCAGAGGACACTGAGCGCCATGTTGGCGACCTTGGCAACTTCAAGACCGATGGACAGGGCAACGCAAAGGGCTCGGTACAGGACAAGCTCATCAAGCTGATCGGCCCAGAGAGTGTGCTTGGCCGCACAATCGTTGTTCACGCCGGCACCGACGATCTTGGAAAGGGTGGTCACGAGGATAGCAAGAAGACTGGTAACGCTGGTGGCCGTCCAGCTTGCGGTGTCATTGGCATTGCCGCATAATGGGTTGAAGAATGTATGATGATACGAAGGAGACGAAGAGTGGTCAAAAGCGTGCTGCGATGTAGATGATATGCTGTAGCATACGCAAAATTACTACGCTTGAGTACGTCAATATCCTTCAAGTCCCTCATTCCCTCCTAATAGATGGGTCTTCTTTTCAGCTCAACAAGCTGTAGCAAGCCAACGACATGATGCCAAGATGCTGCAATAATTTTATTCCTTCGGCCGTCACATCATCAAATGCACGCAGAAACCCATCTATGATGTGCCAGAGCAGCCCACAAAGTTATTACCAGAAGCTCCAGTATGGGTAATGGCACCAGCGTACTGTCCTCCGGTGTCGAAGACAACACGGTCTGGACCTGGCGAGCCTGGCCTTGCATCAGTTCTTCCACAAGGACCAAGTCCTGGACTTCCACTCACCGCCAGTGTAGACGTTTCCATTCTACAGAATTGGAAATTCCTGGTATGGACCAGAGACAGGGAAGTCAAAGCCCTCGTAGTTGTTGTACTGGAGAGTTCAGCATTCAGTTTATCAACTATGGGTGGGTTTGAGCAGTTCATTTATTCGCAGTGTGTGGGTAGTTGCCACTGCCAACTTGCTGGTTGTTCGAGTAGTAGTTGTAGCCCTGGTTGAAGGCAGATCAGACACGGCTTGAGCTGTAAGCATAGCTGCCGCAGGTCGTCGCAGACTGTCTCTTGTCAAGAGCAGCGTCAGCGTACTCGCCAGTTGGCAGAGCAATCGAGCTGACTGCGAAGAGCAGAGCGGTGGAGGTGAATGAGAAGCGCATTCGCATTTTCGCGATTGGCTTGTTTCTAAAAAGCGAAAGTCGTTGGGGATGAGGGTCTTGTTTGTGAGTGAGTGGATGTTGCTGCTCTCTGCTCCTGTCTATTCGTTCGAGGTGAGGTGAAGCGATCTATTTTACACCTCGTCTCTGCTCATCATTCTAATAAGGGTGTTCCATCGGCTTCACGAGCCAAGTCATATCCCGCGTCTCAGCAGTCGCACAACGCTACAGCCAGGACTATGTCTGCACGACCGACGATCAACAGTACGAACAGCGTTTCGATAATTCTACGAGGTGCTCCTTTCCAGCCATTGAGCCGGCGTTAATGCATCTGACTCGGCTTGAGATAGCTGAACTTGGCAGCAAAGGCCTGATAATCCCCAGATCTAGACCGCGAAGCAAGGAGGTTGTACAGGAAGCTCTCCAAGCTATCAAGGAGGTATCGTGAGGTTACCGTGCAGCATGAAATTGCCGAACAGACAATCGACGGTAGACGGTAGACCAACCATGCTTCCGTTCGTACTTTCCCTGCTCGTGTCTGCCAGGTGTGCCGAAAGTTTTACGATGAGACCACAGACAGCTACCGTAGAAACTGGTTATTGCGCCCATGGGCTTATTACTGTATTGTATTAGACCACCGATATTATTAGGTGGGCCTACCTGCCAAGGTGGGCTTAGTAACCAGTGAAAACCTTGTCGCGTCGCGCTCTCGTGCCTATAGACCTCGAATTTAGTGCTATTATAGGTCGACGATATATCTATAGTATAGCAGCCTTAAAGGTGTTATTATAGTAGTTGTTATTGTCTTAATAGCGCCTAGTAATCTATAGAAGGTAGCGAGGTCTACCTAGTCTAATCGGTCTACCCTAAAAGCGAGCTCTTCTAAGGCTACGAAGAAGCTATTTATACTACGATTAAAGCAGTAAGAGATCTTCGGTTATAACCTATTATAAGTAGGCGCGAGCGAGTCGTTCTCGAAGAAGCCGGTAGTAGATTTAGAGGCGATTCTAAGGCATATTAAGGGTAGTAAGAAGGTCGTTTTACCTAGTAAAGCGGCTATTAGAACTAGACCTAAATTAAAGTCGTAGGCTTACTCGTATTCTTAGGCTAAGCGCCGGAGGTTAAAGGTGCTAGAGACTAACAAGGCGCGCGCTCCTAATAGCGATACGGACTCGCTCGGTAGTCGCCTACGCTAGGTAACAATAGAAGATTCGATAGTAAAGGAAATAATAAAGCAGGTCGCCGCTAGCGAACTTAATAAGTCTAAAGATAAGGAGCCTAACCTAGAGGCGCCGATTAACGCGTATAACGAGCTTACTAACAGAAGCGATATTAATAAAGGTAGAAGAGTTGCTATAGCCGAGACGAAGGTTAGTATACGGCGGAGGTCCTACGTCCGAGAATTTAAGCTATACGTTGTTAGTTATAGGAGGTCTAAGAAGGCGCTATATCGACTTAAAGGAGGCAAGGTTAAGGTCGGGCCTGTATCTATTAATAAGACTGCTCGGAAGTTCAAAATAGACCGCAAATAGGTGCGAGAATAGTATACTAATAAGGACAAGATTCGAGCCTTAAGGAAGGACAGTCGTTAGATTAGCAATAGCAAGAGATTAGCCCTCTATCTACAACTCGAGGCCGCCCTTTACAAGGGCATAACCTAGGCACGTAAGTAGGGCATTAGAGTAAACAAGGCCTAGATTCTAAGAGCCGCTTAGAAGATATATGCTATACTATATCTAGAGAAGGTTTACAAGCTTAATAGTCGCCTAGAATACGTCGATTTCAAGTTCTCTAAGGGCTAGTTCTCCGGCTACAAGCGACGTTAGAATATTAGTCTTCGGCGGAAAACAAAGACGGCTTAGAAGGCGCCTAAAGAGCTTGTACTGTTTATAATCTCGTAGCTCTAATTTAACCGTCGAAACAGTATTTGTCGACCTAGTAAGACACCTAATCTAGTTACGAAGGGTCGCTATTCCCCTAAACAGATTAGCAATATAGATTAATCGCTATTACCCTTCGACTTCCGCGCTAATAAGACGTACGATAACAAAGGCGCTAAGACGGTGCGAGTAAAGGTTGGAAAGTCTAGATAGGATAAGAGACAAGCGACTTTCTAAGGCGAGGTCTATAGTAATAGTATACAACGAGGCAAGCCGCTTATTGTTTTCCGTAGCAGTCTAAAGTATCTCGATTTACTATACGGCAAGCACGAGAAGAAGTTCTACGATACTAGCGTTTATATGCTATTCTAAGAGAAGGCCTAGGTAGACGAGGATATAATGCTTAAGTAGATTAAGAAGTTATAGAAGTTCTTATACATACCTACCTCGGAGAGACTAAAGATATGCCTCGTTTGCTTATATTAGACGTCTACTCGGCATAGAAGACTAAACGAGTCTTAAACCGCTTCCGTAAGCTAAATATAGTTACTTCCTTTATTCCTAGTAGCTATATAGGCTATATCTAGGCACTCGACGTATCTATTAACAAGCTTCTTAAATTGTATATTAAAGAAGCCTACGACGACTATATCTTCTATTACCCTAAGAAGATTAACTAGCCTATATACGAGCGGCGTATTCTTATAACTAAATAGGTAGCAATAGCCTAGAGGCGGATCTACGTTAAGAAGAAGGACCTTATTATTAAGACCTTTAGCAACCTAGGTCTTACTCTTCCGACTAATAGCTTAGAAGATAACAAGATCTAGATTAAGGATCTACCTAACATCAAAATTGGTAACTATAGGCGTAAGAATATCGCTACGGTCGACGCGGAAGTCTTAGAGGTTACTTACGAGACTATATTCAACCCTTAAATACCCGACTAACTAATTAAAGAAGAGGAAGGCATAGAACTCGGTCCCCTAGACTATATACTAGCATTCTAGCTACTAGTAGAGCTTCAAGAACAGCTTAATAATATATACGTTAACCTTACCGCCGACAGTAATAACGAGGGCCGTATAAGGGACTAGTTTAAGTCGAATAAGGACGTAGAATATAAGTCGGACGTTAAAGACTAAAAGTAGCTTCTTTACGAGCTTGAAGCTAAGATTAGCTTCTATCGATTAGCTTCTATACTATACTACCCTTTAACTTTTACATCTTATAATGTTAGATAGGATTGTAGTATATATTTATACGAAGCGGCGCCGCTACCGTTTGTCTTATTTGGACTATTGTAGTATATAGAATGTGTTAGTAAAGGTTTATAATAATCGTAGAGTAAAGCTTCGGTTAAAGTCGGCCGAGCTTCTTCCCCGCTAGTTCTATAGAATTTCGAGAATCCGAGATTCTACTAGTTTACCGCCGGTTTCTTAACTATTACTTAACCGATTTACTTCGTTCTTTTTTTATATAAAAGCGCGTATAATAAAGAAAAATATAACAGATCGAGCGAGTAATTACGTAGTAATACTAGGTATTAGTATAGAATCCAAGATTTTAGAAAGCCGCTAAGACCCCGTATACCTTAGGCACTAACAAAGCCCCCTATTATATATTCTATTACTTCTAAGACAACTGAACTACTAACAACAACCTCTATGCCTTAATCTTTATTATATGCTAATACATAGTAAGTATATCGCGTACGGCGGCCTTTAGCGACGCTAATTCCTCCTTAATCTAGGTCAATTCCGCCTATATTTACGCATTTCTATCGCGCTAAAGCGACGGCGGTAATAGGGTGTCGCGACAGGTACAGAACGGCACTTCTAGACCCTCCCTTACTAATCTACACTAGTATTCCTTACGAGCCTCTATTTAGTCTACCTCTAGCTGCATTTACTAAGTAAACGGCCTCTACGGAGTCTTTAAACTCGAGGTTTCCGAGCCGGCCGGTAGCGACGATAATAGCTCGATTTTAATGCCTTTAGACGGCTTAGAAGGCGTGTATTTAAACTAATAGTATTAGTAGGCTTCCGACACCTTACCGAGCCTTTACCTACGTCTATTCGCGCCGTATTATCCGCTATACCGTATCGATTAGTCGACTATATAAGAGATAGAATAAGGCTAAGAACGACCCTAGTTTAAATATAGAAATAGCCTCCGGAGAGAGCCGTTTCTATAAAAACTACGCTTTCTACGGCCTCGAATATGCTATTATTAGGTGGGCTTATTAACCACCCAAGACCTCGGATACATACATACCAAATTATTAGGTGGGCCTATCTGCAGGGGTGGGCTACGTTGCCGCCCTAGGCTTCTTCACCAGTTTCTACGGTACGGGCTCCAGTCCGGGCTAAGAGGCGTTCGTGTGGGCGTGATGGGTGTGTGGAGAAGTTATAGGCGATGCGATGCCTGTAGAAGTGCCTCCTGTGTTTCAGGATGCTGTACGGAGTCGCGGGCAAGATGAAACCAATTTGCACGCTATCGAACCAGGTGCACGAGCAGTGGTGTCCATGATGACGGTGGAGATTGGCTCACGAGATGTAGAGGGGGAAATGTGCACGTGCACCGACGAGAGATGCCATCGAATGGTAGTGTACCTGCCAAGGGAAACACGAAGCGCTTTGTCTCTGCACAGGAGCACCCTTTGACACATGTAGGCGTCTGCGCATCTGAGATGCAAAGCAGGCACGGACAGAACTATCCAGGCTTGCGTACGCCGGCTCCAGTTGTTGCAGGCGTGCTTGAGCCTTGAAGCCGTTGAGCAGTTCGCAAAGCAACCAGGATCAGTCATACCGTAGTGAAGTCCTCGAAGAAATACCGATGCCGTCGTGCTCACAGTCGCGTGCGTGCGTGCGCATGCAAGCCGCCTGGAATAGTCCTAAACTGCCGCGCTTCCGTCCGCCGCGCCGCACCTGTCTCTCCGTGCTCATACCTTACCCTTCACAACGCCAACCAGCAACGAAACCGGCCATCTCACACTCAACCGCACGCCGCCGCCTCTCTCCTGACTGCGCGCATCGTCGACACCGCCGACTGCCCACGCGAATCCCATCTGCTCCGCCCGGACGCTTGCCTCCACCGTCCCCTGTCCGCCCGAAGCATCCGTCCACCAGCCCTGCGCCTTCTCGAATCTCCATCTTGCTTCGACTCATCCCATCCTCCCATACGACCACACTCTTGCACACCACCACCTTCCTCTCCGCCTGGTTGCGCTTCTCCGCCATCACCACAGCGCTCGGCTCTGGGAGTCTTCGCGCGCGGATCGCTGCAGCCGCCCGCGCGCGCGCTGTCTCCTTTGTTGTCACTCGCTTAACCTGCGTTTCATTATCCACCCACCTTGATTCATGCCGACCTTTGCCAGCAACACCAACTCGCCGTCGCTGCAGAAAATGGAGATGAGCAATGGCCGTTATGGCGGAAAGAGGTTCGCCTTTGGCAACATCGCAGGGGACCCGTTCTGGCTGGGTACCATAGGCATTGGCATTGTGAGTCCTCGCGTGCCGCCACGCCGGCCATTGTGCATGTCTTACTAACGTGTGTTCAGTCTGGCTGGATCATTGCATTCGTCAGCTCCATCATCGCCGATATTAATACGGATTACCCGAACTACTCCTGGTGGTCTTTAGTCTATATGCTGTTCTGCATTGCCGGCGTCGTATTCGTGGTCGGCGCAGATGCAGTCTACACTTACCATGTCGGTCTGACAAGCTTCCTGGGTGCTGGTCTGGTCTTCACCACCTCTTCTGTCAACTCTCTGATTTATTATCCGGATGCCGCCAAGGAAGCCGCTGCCGCTGGATTCATCTTGCTCTCGATCGTCTCCGTATGTCTTGCACATACCAGTGAAAGACAGCATGCTGACTCAATGACAGATAATATGGATGCTCTACTTCGGCTCCCAGCCCTCAGCAAGTCACCGCCAGACACTTGATTCCTTTGCCTTGCACAAGGACCGTGCACCGAGTCGCAACAGTAGAGCGATGCGCCAGTCGTACCGTCCAGAAACAACGCACTCAGCTGGTCAAGCGCAACAACAGATGTATGCCTCTGCTCAGCTGAGTGGATTCGAAACTGCGTCACCAATCAGCGGATACCCAGGTGGTCCAGCTGGTGCTGCTAACAGAGGCAGCGCTGCCCCATATGCGCAACAGCACTTGCGATCTGAGCCGAGTGCATTGTCGCGAGGCGCTGATGGTGTCTCCGCATCGGGTACCCTCCCAACGAATGCGCAAGAAAGCTCGGGGTCTGCGCCGACAGAATACCCATACCGAGCCAAGGCCATCTACAGCTACGAGGCGAACCCGGATGATGCTAATGAGATCTCCTTTACCAAACACGAAATTCTCGAGGTTAGCGACGTCTCTGGAAGGTGGTGGCAGGCGAAGAAAGAGAATGGCGATACAGGTATTGCGCCATCAAACTACCTGATCTTGTTATGACCGGCAACACAGCAAGTCGATTTGTGCGATGATAAAGAACAGTAAAGCAGAAACATACAAGCATGCTATGATGACGAGTTCTGCCAGTATCAGTCAGCGACGACTTGATGACTGGTCACGACGAAGTAACTCAGCGGTTGCATGATATGGGACAGGAAGGTTTTCATCCCAAGAACATATGGGCACAAAGGCCAAAGACGATGCACAACGGGCAAACCGTAACGTATGGCTACGGGTATATTCTATTTTCTTGCTTTTGGCCTTTCTCTGGGACGGGAAAAGACGGCACTGTTCGGCGAAGGCATGGCGTTATGATTGCAGGAACGGCTGTTTCTGGAAACGACATTTGGGTGTGATGGTGGGCTGAGGATGAAAGCTGCTGCGGTGCAACTTTTGTTCCTTTTTGGGGCCCTTGCTTTCCAGCGACGATACCAGTGCGACACTGATTGAAAGAGAAGTTTCGAGTCCTCTATGTCTTTGTTTTTGTATGTGAGAGCACAGAGCGAGACGAAAGGTAGCATTGAGGTAGACGGGTATGACTTTTGGTTGAGCAAACGGATATTGTGAGCATACTCTCAACATCCATGAATTGTTATTGGTCCCAATAAAGTGTTGATGCTGCTAACCATCGTCCAAGGCTCCAAGCACCGTTGAATGAAGTGCCCTGAAGTCGCCGATATCACGCGAGAAGTGGGTCTTCCCAACGGCCTTTTTTTGTCCGCTGCCACAGTGCCGCCCTTTCTCCTGCATGAAATGAGCTGTTGCAGATGTTCGCCGAATGTTCTGCGTTGGTGGCCGTTTTATGTTTCAGTCGTTGTCTCAGGAAGCCAAAAATGAAAGAAATGTTCTTTCTCGGCGGTCACCCAGCCATGGACTGACATTCCTGGTTCGCAGCAGTATCGACCAGATAGACTGCCAAGAGCTCGTGAGACTGATCGTCATAATATTGCCCTGATGATGTTGTCCGATATGAAAACTTGGGCCATCGTCGCGATGTTGACATTCGCCTAGTCAACTTATTTTCGTGTTCAACGGGCTTGTGCTATTATTGTGTCTAACATCACTACATTCGCCATGCAAGTCTGACTTCCATTCCTAAATAATGTTTTCAGACGTGAAGCCAAGCAAAAGAAAACCATGCCATCGTCGTGGGCATCAAACAGCGGCTTCTGGGGAAAGCTTGCACAGTGATATGATCCCAATTTTTGCAAAAAAGATACTGAGGTCTGAGCCTCTGAGGATGTCATTGACGATATCACGCTGCTTCCTTCGGGAATTGAACCCGAACCTGCCGCTTGGAAGGCGGCAATCCTAACCATTAGACCAAGAAAGCTCTGATTGGTGGTCTGAAAAGACTTTGCATATATAATCTTTCCTGAAATGATTGAAAAGGCTCCCGATGCAAGTGTGGGCTTTGCGGAGCGTGCCAAGCCTCCCCAACCTCCCAGATCATGCTCTCCAAGCTTTTCAAGATGTCTCTTTCTGTCGATGAACTGATCTTGATGTGCTGGAGCAAAGGCACTTGTTGTGAAAGCATCGGGGGATGAGAGTTCACGTAAAACTCTCGGTCCGGGCTCGGCGATCTTCTTACCCACGTATCAGGTAGTTCTTGCCCCACCAACGAAACGCGTCTTCAAATGCAACCTCGAGACGCGACTTTCCCGTGACATCAACCCTCGAAGCTCTTGCAATGGACGCCGATATATCAGACATTCTCGCCTCTGTGTCAAGTCGTACAGTAATACCTCCAAAGACTCTAGATCTCCAATCTCTCACCCGAGCCTGGATCAATGAACGCACATCTCCCGAACTCCTCCCCTACCCCAACGACCTCATCACCCGCTTCTCCACCAGCATATCCTCACAAATCGCAAAGATTGAAGATCTCACCAGTGCACAAGACCCAGCCTCGAACTTCACATTAGTGATTCTCCAAACCGAACTCGAGCGCATGAAATTCCTCTTACGGAGCTACCTGCGAACACGAATCGCAAAAGTCGATAAATATCCCATACATTACATGCAACTCCAAACCGGGCAACAAGAGGAATCACCAAACGACAGAGATCCTGTTCTGAGCACGCTGGAATCTCAGTACCTCTCAGCGCATCAAGCTCTGTTGACGAATCACTACAAAAGCTCATTTCTCAAGCAATTTCCTGCAAATCTTCAGAAATTGGATGATACGGGTGGTGGGGTTAGTATGATTGACAAACCTGACGACGATACTGCAGTCTTCTGTCGAGTTTTGAGGGATTGCTTTGTGGAGCGACCGGTTTATGGTGGGATTGATATGGTGAGGGGAGACATTTGGGTCTTGAGATGGAGTACGATTCGGGAGAAGGTCAAAATCGGGGATGTGGAGTTGATATGAGCTGGGAACTTGGAAGGTATCAGGAGGAAGAATGAATTTTGAGCACCGTGGAACTAGAAAATCTGGAGAAGGTATCCGAGACTTTGAGCGGAATAAGTCTGCAAGAGTTCAGGCCAAGAACCCTTTGGACCATGTTGGAGAGCACGAATGGAATGCCGTTTGATCTGGACTAGTTCAACGGAGTCCAGCTCGGAAATCTCTTGACTGTCCGACTCTAGACGTATGCTTTGGGACGCCTGTTTCCTGCGAAGACTCAACATCTCTCCTGGACTGATCAAGCTTCAGCGGCCATGGTGCAGGCAATGAGCGCTAATACGCACTTGATCAGAAGTCACCGCCGTCTTAAGAAGCATTGTTGCATTTGATGTGCTGGTCTACAGTCTATATTCACAGTTGGTCATCTAATCGTGATCATGATATTATTAAGGGCAAGCAACGGAGAAATGCTCATGGAGAACAACCACAATGCTCAGGAAGGCATTGAGACACCACCGCTCAGGCCGACTCGCGCTGGAGCCACCTCATCCACCTTTTCAATCCGCCACTCCTTCTCATTCCATCCAGGTGGGCGCCAGGTGAACAGATCAAACGCATCGCGACTCCATGGTCCGAAATCCTGGTGGGCAGGCTCCAGTTCTGGTTGCTGAGCTGGTTTTGCTGAAGTTGCTTTGAACTGTCTTCCAAGGATGACTGTAGAGGTTCCATTAGCAGTCACGTTCAGACTGACCGACTTTTGTAGTGGCCTTCTAGATCTGGGAGCTTTGTTGATAGAAGTGTGTGGGACAGGCACATGAGCGGTGGGCCGGCTTGCAGCAGGTGTGCTTTCTCGCGATCTCTTAGTAGGAGAAGGCGTGTAGCGCACAGGTGCGCCAGGGATGCGTCTCGATTTGGCAGTCATGTCCGGATCCGTATTGACCTTTCGCAGGCTTCGTTCTTCCTTGGCAGGTGGCCGCGCCAATGTATGATCCGCTTGATCTACCATAGCAGTCGTCGGCCGTTTGACAGGGGCTAGAGGAGGTAGCACTAAGTCATCAAGCCTCCCGAGTTCAAGCGCTGACGCCCTGTGGACGGTAACTGTACTGTCTTCCTCACAAGGTGGAGCGATCTCTGGCACCACATTGCCCACGAGCGTGTTATCACTGCTTATGACGAGAGGGACCTGCTTCTCGCTCGAACCTTTCTTCGATGCTTGCTTGAGTCTGGCACTGCTTGTGCTCCCGCCTTTCTTATCGATTCGCGCTAATCGAGCCTCAAACTTCTCGCGAGCTGCTGATGCAACCTCGTCTTTATCAGTGCTTTTAGATCTGACTTCTTCGGATACGTTCGCGTTGTCGATATCGATCGCAGGTGGTCTTTTTGACTTCTTCAATAGCTGGTCCTGACACAATAACCCTCTTTTCTTGGGAGCCGTAGACGCAAGTCTGAGAGTGTGACCGGTTCTGCTGCTAGAGTCTCTTTGCTGCATCGTTTCTTTGGGCAAGTTTGCCACTTCTTCCACAGGCCTAGCCTCTACCATGGTAGACACTTTCCTTGGAGGTCGTTGATCAGTATCTGCAGCAGTTGCGGTGGTCTCTACGTTCGATTTTGCACGTGAACTGGGTTTTGCTGGCTTCAGTCTTAACTTCTCTGCAGATCGACTCGCCGAGTCAGGCGCTTTTTGCGTCTGAAATGCTGGAGAGCTCGAGCAGGCAGTGCTCTTTGCAGTCGTCCTTCGCTTAGCCTTCGCAGGAGATGATGAATTAGCCAGGGCATCGTCAGAGAAGCCCGGCAGGAAATCACTAGGCCGTTGCTCGTCATTCTCATCGTCTGAGAGAGCAATGACCTCTTTTGTACCCAACTTTTGCTGCCCGGGCGGCAACGCCCTCTTCTTCTGCTTGGCTGCATCCGAAGTTCGCGCCCATAGCGGCATCTCGTTTCTCTTCGAAGACTTCGAAGTCGTTGTAGTCCTCGTCACATTCCAGCCATCTCCGGTCTTCGGCCTTTTTGGTGGCCATCCATCCTCCCATGCTTCATTCTCGTCGTTGGCATGTTTCTCCTCAAACGGTGATCGACTAGGGAGCTGCGCTTTCCCGATCGGACCCTTTGGAGTTCCAAGCAGAGTATTCAGCGATTGATGCTTCAGCTGTGTGTTCGCTCTTGCGGGCGGGAGAATGCTGGCTCGCGCAATAGCTATTGGAGCGGTTCTCGAAGGCGGAGATGTAGCAGCCGCCGACGAACTTTTGTTCTTGCTCTTTCTAAGCTCAGAGAGGTCCGTCTCTGAACGGCCTATGCAATCTGCCACCTCGACTGTCACTCCAGACCTTTCCAGCGTGACCTCGTCTCCTTCATGAAGGTCTCCGTGCCCAGTCCAGTGCATATCGCCGATGAAATTGCGCGGGACATCGTAGACCATAACACGCTTGTTGAAGGTGTGATAGCGCAACACGCCGTCTTGCCATTTCTTCGTCTTTTTGCGGACATCATGAGTGTACAAGCAGTTGAACTCGAGAACAGGCGCAGTATTCTGCGTTTGTGGAACCGACATTGGAGGCGTGTTCCGGAACACGGCGGCGGTCATGGCTATCTTTTGGCTCACTCATGCTGCGCTGCGCTGCGCAATTGCAGAGTTGACGTTTCGAAATTGTATGTACTGTAAAATGAAAGACGCGTCCCGATCACAAGCGCGTCAAGATCACTGTCTCCCGCCTCGGCACGCGAAAGTGCAACTGATCGGCGTGACTCCAGCTGCAGCAACCAACTTTGCTTCTGCTTTGCATCCACTTTGCCTACCCTCTGCCTTCTACGATAGCATTCAAGAGCCCTCACGTCTGAGCTGGGACTTGTTACACTGAGTCTCATACAACTGTCCTGCACGACGACGGATTGGGAGCAACAATGTAACGTGTCCGGCGGCAGACCACCCGAAGATGGCGCATGATCGAGATGTGTCTTCTTGATACCACCAATGACAATATCCTGCCTGAGAGCATGACGAAGTCGTATTGATCGAGAAGCCTACGTACTACTCGTCGCCGTCGCTGAATACCGACCGTCTCGGGCGGAGGCAGCTCCATCCCGGTCTTCCTTCTTATAATAATGGAGATGCTTTTGCTAGCAATACAGTAACGCGAAAGGTCTGAAGACGGAGCAGCGAATGCACATCTAAAGATGCGCATTCAAAATTGACATAGAGACACCGTATTCACTACTCTATCACTCGACCGAAAAGACCGTCGCCATCTATTGCAAAGCGATCACAGGTGAACAATTCACTGCTGCCTCCTAAGATCACAATTGTCCAACATTTTCGTCCTCGGCATGTGCTCCGAGTATCAAGCAAAGGTGCTATGATACATTTCCTGGAAGGCCGGTTATACCGGTGTCGCCATCGCCAAGCGGTCGCCTTGCAATGTCGACTGAGAACCCTTAAAACATCCTGGGCCTGCAGCGAGGTGGAACTAGCTTCGAGAATTATGCGTATCCGACACCTGCGGTGAAGTAGGGCATTCGCGGCATGTCCAAATTAGGACTGTACGAGTTGAGCTGAAGGTTTACGTGGGTGACAGAACTCTATTGCGTAGCATCTTATGCAAATCTGCAAATAGGGTCTTTGCCTAGACAGATGACAAAGGGCTGGACCGATGGGGACGGGATTGTAACGGCGGGAGAGGAGGATATCGCGAGTCTGTCGCTTGGTCTCTTGGTGTGCAATTTCAGACCGAGTTCAAGCCTTTCAACAGAATGGCGTGTACCTTGCCCTGGAAGCGCTTATGACATCAGGGGAAAGTCGCGTAGTATGCATAGAATAGAATCTTGTAACAACGTCACAGAGCACTCAGAGTCTTCGCATCGTCTTTCACCAAGTATCTCCTAGTCAATATCCAGACAACATGCAGCTCATCGCAACTACTGCCCTGGCGGCTTCGTAAGTCGGCTCATCTGCAGTGCCACCCATCTCATGGTCCAAGATCTCCATGCCCGTTATCCAAACTTGATTCAAGGCCACTTCGGTGTACGAAGGTGTTAGCTTGAAGAAGTGAAGTGGAATCCTCAGGCTCAGGCCCACATACCCCGCGCTAGATGACGCCAAAGCTGCCAAGATGCAGGGTCTGACTTAAGCTCGGTCTTCACTTCAGAACTCAGAATAATAGTTCAACGCGTCTTTTCGACTAGACGCGTGCCCCAACTGTGGCCAGCTTAGCTTAGCTGCTGCTTTTGTTGTGCACTTGGACTTTCGAGGTTGAAGCAGCGATCTTGCACGTGGCCTCGATTGCTTGCTCTTCACCGGTCACACAAGCGCGGGCCGGCCGCTGCAGCCTGAGGCCTCTGCTGAGATCACTTCGCACAATCAAGCAGCGCCACACTTGACAACCTTCCTCAAAGATTCCAGGTCACCTGCACTGCGCCTGCACCTGACATGCAACACACGTCCGCATAGAGTCGTCGTTGCCGCTGCCGCTGCCGCTGCCGCGCGCCGACCATGACAACAGCAAACGGCGACACTTGGTCGCGCGACCCAATTGCAGACGCAAATCCAGACCTCACGCGCAAGCGCCTCCGCTTGAGCGAAGAAACCGAGACATCACCACGCTCCAGCGACGACAGTATCCTCATCGAGGCGTTCCCTCCAGACTCGCTGGACTCGGGCGGCAGCATCGAGAATGCCATCGAGCTCCCGGACGACGAACTCGCAGTCATGGACCCTCTTAGCCAGAGCTTTGACCTTTACACCGGTGGCCATACTCCGCTCGCGCAACTGAAGTTTCTGCATGGCAAGATTACTGGAACATCGTACATCACCGTCGCGGAGTTTGTCGGCTTGGCAGAATGGCTGAGCGATCTGATCGCTGACGCCAACGGGCTGGCACCCTTGGAAACTCGACGCAAGGCCTACGTTGCATCGCTCAAGGACAGCTATCTCGAAGATCAAGAATTCTTCTCAGCCCTAGCCTGTGTCCTGTGCTCGATTCTGGAATGTCAGGAAGATCTGTTTGAAGGGGCTGATGTCGCTGCCTATCCGGGCGACAGGCTCTGTCATGCCGTGGCCAAGTTCATCGCCGCCACCACCGAGCTCACCCTCCGCATGACTCATTTGCTACCGGATGTCGTCGATTCAGCCGTCTCTCGAAGAGACTCCGGACAGATCCATCAGTCACGCCAGACCATCGACCTGCTGAACTATGTCCGGCTCCTGCATCGATTGGTGCTGCCAGAATTCTCGCATGCCCTGAAGAGCTTCGACAATCATTTCTGGGGCGGTGCAGTCGAGAATGCAGCCGCAATCAAGAGGAACCTATTACGGCACGAAGTTCGCAGGAGAAAATCTGACGGAAGCGAGCACTTTGAGACCATTGGAGAGCTTAACTTCCTGTTCAAGCTGCTCGACAGCTTCACACGCCACCACCGAGAGATCACCAACACCTGGGAGACTATCGATTGCATCCTTCGCATAAGTAAGACTCTCAATCTCCGAGGTCGAGTCGAGGAGGAGCAAATTGTCAAGTTCATTCACACCTTCATTCTGCCAGTGGTTTCTGAAAAGCATCCACGAGCTCTTCCGGATGGATTCCATGAGTTAGCGATTGAAACAGCCGAGGTATATCTTCACAAGCTGTTGATAGTCGCCGAGATCGAGTCGGCTGCTCGTATGTATGACCAATTCGTGAGGGCAGACGAGGACGCGCTCCTCTCTGAGCCCAAGAGCCACGCTATGGATGCCAGCGGACTGCTTGCTCTCAGCAACAGCGATATGACCACCTTGGCGCGGCTTTTGACCACCGCGTGGTCGATGCAGGCCTTGAAGCAGTTCATCTACAGCGAAATCATGGATATTCGCAATTTTGGCATCAGCTTGCTTGGACTGCGCTTAGTAAAGCTGTACGATGACTTCGACTGCCCGACAGGTAACCACGATCATCCGGTCTTGCAATACGCGGCCAGATACATGCGCGCGAACGAGTTGACCAAGTACATATTTGGGCCAAACTCTCACGCCAGTCTAGTGACCCACAGCCAGAGGATCATTGGCTTTCTTGCAGCAACTTCTTCTTTCACCAATATCGAAATCGATATCATCTGGCACGCCTGCACCAACAGCGTTGAGGCAGAGTTCCTCAAGGCCTCAATCGGCATTCTCACCGATCTCTGCCGATTCTTGGACCTTGATCAGCTGTTATACTTGGCGAAGAAGTTTACAGTCACTCCACCATCGAAGTTGAGTCAAGACGCCGTCGAATCGCTGACCGACGTTTTCCACAAGATCGACCTGAAAAGCGATCGCAGCATGGACCAGGAGAGACGTTTAGCGACGGCTTTTGTCAGTAGCGATATCCTTCTGCGCATTGACTCTGCAGATAGAAGCCCATGCATACTGCAGCTCCGTGAGACAGCGGTGCAAGAGTTGAAGAAGTTCACACAACGTGATTTCTCCACCAGCGACCGTCTCAAGATCTACGAGCGCTGTGTGCCCAACATTGCCAAGGGCAATCGTCAAGCCACGGCAAGCATTGACATTTTAGCACTCTTCCTACAGAACGTCTTCGGTCCTGAGGAAAGTGCAGCGCTTTTGGACAGCTTGGATGTCACTATGCTTGTTGAAGAGCTTGGTAGGTACCTTGCGGACCAGAAGGAATCTGCAAATGCAGATCCAGAGTACATCTTGCGCGGAATCGCGTCACGCATTGACGTGATTTTGCGACTAATGGCAATCTGCGAACAGAAAGTGGACGACCAGACCATGCAAAATCTTTTTCGATATGCGCTCGGCGACTTGGCTCTCAGCAACGTTGCCCGAGATTACACCTGGACTACGCTCAGCGCCGCACGATCTAAGCTAGCTTTGAAAGAAGTCGCTGAGCATTTACTGAATCGCTTCCTCACGGTTGAGGCTACATCTTTACCTGGACGTTTCATCACACCGGGACTTGTGCAACTCTTTGCCACCTCCTTGTACCAGGATGCCGCTCGAGGGTCTTTTTCGGAGGACTTCTCCTCGGTGCTGGACACAGTGGTTTGGCGCAAGCTATTGGAGACGGCTGAGAGCACACCGACTTCGGCCGTGACCAAATTGGCTGCTGATCGTATCATGGCGATCTTGTTCAATTATCCTCAGCAAGAGCCTGCCCTACGTACGGCTGCAAAGTGCCATGCCAAATTCGCTCGCCGCCAATTAGATTGCATTTTTGCCGACCTGGGCGGAGCGAATATCAACGTGGACGATGAAGGTCGCGTTGTGCAACAAATCACATTGCTTCACTCAATCACGATGGCAAGCAAACACAATGCCTCGAAGTTCTCGCCACCTAATGAACCTGAGATCTGCCTCGCGCCCGATGACGAAGAGGCGCTTCGATCAACTATCCAGATATATGGGAGTGGGCAGAGCCATCCGAGGATTTGCTATCTTCAAACGAGCAAAGACACACTGCTTTCAGAGCTAGCAAATGCTCTCCCAAGCATCACTGGCGCAGCAGAGAACCGCGTGATTGTTGGTGGCAAGATCCTCGACGTTGTCAAAGATGCAGACATGATCTTGTGGGATAAGGGTATTGAGCAATTAGGTGTGATTTCAGTCTGCCCAAGACACTCAATTCACAGCGATCTTGCAAAGGTATTGACGCCGATAGGCACTGTTGAGTACGAAGTCTTGTCGAGATACGATGAGATCGAAAAGCTCCTCGATGGACCTGATCACATTGCACAAAAGGTAAAACTCGTTGCTGATATGTTGCTCCTCGAGACCTCTAGCTGACTTGGCTCCCAGATCTTTTCCTTCCTGGACAATATGACGCCGCCGCCCCAAGCTCGACATCGGGTTGTTTTAGACAGCATATCTGCCAAAGAACTATGTCCTCCTGATCGTCTATGGAGGAGCATATACTACCTTCATGTCATGTACCGACATTTGATGGACTTCGCGAACATTGGTGTTGTGGACGGATCGTACATTGCGCGAGCTGTTGTCTTGCTCAGTGACATCTTGTGTGATGACAGCAGGCCGATACAGCTGGATCTGCACCTTCGGTGCATGGACTTCCTGACAGCTTTCTTGCAGGGTAAGTCATATCCTCTCATGAATCTTAAGATGTTGGTTAACCCCCCATCTAGAGCGTCCACTGGAATCTACTGATTCCACGATCATCGAATGCCCGGCCCAACTCATATCACGCATTATTGCCCTGTGCTACGAAGCTACCGAGCGACCAATCGAAGACTTGACGGCACGCCGACTCCTCACTGAGCGTGGTTTCAAGCTCTTACAACAAGTCCTGCGCCGCCAACCATCAGCTTGGCCCTACTTCATGAATGATGGTCGAATCATCAGTCTTCATGCTAGACTCATTTTTGATCAGGACGCTATCCTGGCGACTACCATCATGAACATGATCGACAATTTCTGCAAAGACGTCGTTTCGCCAGCAGAAGTTGCAGACTTCTTCTTCCAGACCGTTCTGAAGCTAATGCGGACGGCACTTACGAGACCTGACCGGGCCGAGCTGTTCTTCGAGATGACCAAGGATCTTCTGCTTCAAAACCAAGCTCTGGGTGAAGATGAAGCGAAAGCTCGCGATCTTACAACGTCTCTGGTCGCCATTCTAGCGGATTACCATCATTTTGAGGTTGTTGATTTCCCTGTACTGGACACAGTCATGGCTGGGCTTGTGCTGCTTCTGACCGAAGCTGTGAGTCTTCTGAGGAGCTTCAAGAAGCCTATCAACCTGCCTGGACTTTGCGCAAGACTTTACGTCACTCTCCTTTTCCCAGCACAAAACGGAAGCAGCGCCAATCCTCTCGTACATCCAGATACCCGCGCTCTCGTGCTGAAGCTCGTTAGGCTGACCTGCGAGAACCAAGACGATTTCGCAAGCCTGCTTGAAGCCACCATCGGGCCTCTTCGGTCATTGCCCAACGAGCCACGCAACAGATACCCTGGTCGTTTGCAATGGATCCGTCCGGTCACTGAATGCAGTGGTCTGTCCAACCTCGGCATGACCTGCTACATGAACTCGCTTCTGCAGCAGCTCTTCGCCAATGTACATTTCCGCCGATTCTTGTTCCGAATTCCGATCGTCAACGCAGAAAAGCAAGAGCTTCTTCGTTGCGTACAGGATCTCTTTGCTCGAATGCAGGATTCTGCTGACCTAGCGATCGATACTACTGAACTCGCTAAAGTGCTCGGAATCCAGACTGATAGCCAGGAAGATGTTCATGGATTCTATGCAGACTTCTTGAGTCGCCTGGAATCTAACATGCCGGACGACCAATCGAGATTGGCACTAGGGCAATTTTACACCGGCAAGCTCATCACGCAAATCAAAGGAGAATGCGGCCACGTCTCTCCCCGAACGGAGCCATTTGTCGATTTGCCAATTGTGGTGAAGAACAAGAGCAGCCTCCATGAGAGCCTGCAGGAGTTCGTACAGGGCGAGCCGATGGAAGGCGCGAATCAATACAAATGCTCCAAGTGCGACGAGACCAATGGAGGTCGTCTGGTCAACGCCATGAGACGATCATGCCCCGAGCAAATGCCCGACAACCTCACTTTCTGTCTGAAGCGGTTTACCTTTGAGGCAATGTTGGGCACCGAGGGTAAGGTCAATGACCGCTTCGTGTTCCCTCAGTCCATCGACATGTCGCGCTACTGCAGTGCTCATCTCGATGATCCGGCAGCTCCTATGAAGGAAGACATCTTTGAGCTAGTCGGGGTCATTGTACACCAGGGCACTCTCCAACTCGGTCACTACTGGTCGTATACCTTGTTGCGAAACACCTCAGATCCAACCTCACGTGTCTGGGTTAAGCTCGAAGACCGCACAGCCACTACCTGCGTCGAAGGAATTGACGAAGTGCAGCGTGAGTGCTTTGGCGGTACACGTTATTCTAATGGGAACGAGCGTGTCGACAACGCGTATGTGCTGTTCTACCAGCGGAAAGCGTCCCTGGAAGAACAGCTGACTGAAGTTGGACCTGCCTTGGATCCTGTGTCAAAGCTCCTTATACCTGCTAAGGTGAGCATTCCACAGCTGGTGAAGCCTGCAGTCCGTGCGCACAATGCTTGGACAAACAATTTGGCGCAACTTTTTGATGACGAATTTCACATGTTCGCGAAGTGGCTGCTGGAGACATACAAGATATATCGCAACCCATCTTCTGCCCATCCGAGCGAGAGTTCTGAGAGCGGCGAGTCACCTATGAGCACTTCGGGTGAAGACACCAACCACGAATCTGGGGACATCTTGGCGAAGTCAGTGAGCAGCGTCTTCATGGGTTACTTGGCAAGAGTCGCCGTTTGCGATCCAACTCCTGTCAAGAAAACGACTTTCTGCACAAGCTCCTTGAGCGCGCTCATGGCAGAAGAACCAGCTTTCGCGATGCATCTCTTGGATGAACTCTGTCAGGACCCGAGCTGGCTGCTATCGATCATGTACAATGACAACAAGGACGTGCGATCTCGAACGGTAGATTTCTTCCTGAAATGCATGGTCATCCTTCGCGAGCAAGACGCTGCGCATTATGTCGAGATCTTTGCTTGCTTCAGACAAGCCCTTTCGGTTCCACTTGCTCCAGGCTATTACATTGGTCATATCTATCTCGAAGACTACCTCAGATGTGTCGCTTGTTTAGCACACCTGGGTCGCCAAGAGGCGATGTCGATCTTGGAAGACGGATACTTCGCATGGGCTCTTGGACTACTGGAGATGCCTTGGACCATCTCGGGCAAAAAGAAGTACCCGAAGTTCCATGACTGGTTCAAGAAGAGTTATGCACGAGTCGCAGCACCATACGACTTCATAGTCGCGATGCTGAAGGACCATGTCGACATTACTTCCCTGGATCAGCCCAGTCATGACAGCGGTCGGCGTGAGACCAGCGACAGCGGCGTGCTTCTCCGAGACCATGAAGTCGAAGCTTTGCTTAGCGGTGCTGTGATCAAGGGATTGCCGAAAGTTCCTTTTTGGATGCGCACAAGCAGCCTTGCCGACACTATCAATGGCTGGACCGAGTCATCTCCGGGTAAGCTTTTCGGGTACCTGATGTCGAACAAAGTGGACGCAAGGTTGCACAGGGTTTTGGGGGATGCGCTTTTGAAGCACCTTGAGGATGAGGAAGACTCACTGCCGTCACTACTGCATCTCGTCCTCAACTGCTGTCACTACTCCGAAAGCCAGGAGTTGGTACGTGGCGTGTGGCAGAAGCTTGTCCAAGTGATACTCCTGTGGGACAACTGCGAAGGCGAGTTTCTGCAAGTGATCCACGACGCATTCGAGATGATCCCCGTCAATGTCGTCTCCACTATGGATATCTGGCTCATGAAGTACCTGCTGAACAAGGCACCCACAATCCGCGACCAGACCCAAAAGTGGCTTGGAGAAGACGTTTTCAAGCAGCAGACCTTTGGCAAGAACTTTGACGAGTTGGACGGCATGGGCGTCCGCCCGGAGCAGGCACGCAAGCTCGTCAAGACTCATTGGCCCATGTTGGAGAGCGCATTCATGGAGCGTAAGATGCGGAACCGTTTCGAGAGTGCGATTCGTGCGTTGCAGCACGTCGAACACTACTTGCGTGCCTTGCGTGCGGAGGTCAAGGCACGTCTTTCGAGCGAGGATGCGGATCCCGATGTGAAGAAGACGGTCACGAGCGCTCTCCGCACGGAATACGACGAGAGCCATGCCGTCATGCAGACTCTCGAGCGAATGGCACAGGTACTGCCACAGTGGCAGCGCGAACCTACTGTGCCCATCATCTCGAATGCGACCCAATCTATCGAAATTGAATCCGACGAAGAAATGGAGAGCGATGACGATGCATACACTAGCGATGGCAACGGCGGGAGCTCATACAACGTCAACTGATCGAAGCACACCGAGGCGTTTTGGGGAGCAAATTTTGTACTTTTCTTGTGGCTGTTTCTCACGAAGAGAAAAGAATCAAGTTCTCTTGGGATCGGAAAATCGAGAGGCTACTAAAGCGAAGCGATGCATTACAGTATAGATATCATCACGACAGGAAAATCACGTACTAGGTATGAATGTAAAACAGTCATTCAAATCATCAACCAACAGTTCCGCCAAAATCTTGGTTCGCTTGTCCCATTTCTCCTCCCATTGCCCACTGTCCTTTCGTTTCTTCCTCGCGCTTCCATGTATCTTCGTTTGGCCAGTGAGGATTCTTTTGCAGGACTTCTTTCCCCTGGGCAGGGTCGAAGGCGAAGATGAAGGGGCCTGAGTCGGAGATTGATTCTTTCTTTTGGCTAGAGTGTGATGGTTCATGGGGTTTTTTGGATCCTCCGGGGAGGTGGCGGCGGAGCCAGCTTTGACGTTTGGGCTCCTGTTCTTGTCCTTGGTCTTGGTCCTTCACGAGGGTTGTGGCTTGGGATGCTGTGTCTTGGGTAGCTGTCCTCTTTTCGACATTCATGTTTCCTTGTTGGTTCATGGCCGGTGGATGTAGTGCTCTTCTTGTGATCTTTGGTTTTATGAGAGCTGGAGTTTCCGCCTTCTTAATCGATGATCGTGTTTTCGAGGCTCGTCGGTGTCGTAGTACTCTCAAGCGGTTCTGAAAGTTGTTGAAAGAAAATGCTGAAAGTTGGTGAGAGCTGATGTGTATAACAAGTCGATTGATTCGATATTACACATAAGCAACCGAAACTACTTTTGCTTCTATTATACTATCAACATCTCCCCGACATTTATTGCTGAAAAGCCAAGCCTCCCGATAAAGGTCTTGGTGTTGCTTGTCGCTCAGCCTCGCTACGTCAGGCGGCATATGTTCTTCTACTGCGCCGCGCGCCAGCTACCACCGGCAAGGCATGCAAAATGCGATTGGTAACTTGCACCACGTGCAGACCGATCGACCTCGTGAACGGAGATCTGCTGGGGCTGTAACGATTCTTGACTCTGTATCGAGTGTACACAGGAGAATGTACTCATCCGCTCGAACCGAAAACATTTGTAGTGCCTTCTTATTTTGCGATGCGCCGAATCCCCTTCCGTGTAGAAGCAAGAAGAAGCAAACTGCTTAATAAAGTGGTATCAACAATCCATCCTAAGGCGCTCTTATCACTCATACCAAGGATTCTCCAAAGAGAACGCCAGCGTATGTCCGAGCTTTCGTCATAACCGGTCCCAAGCAGCCCTTTTCATTATCGTTTCTTTGCTGTTCCAATGTGAGTGCCATGCACCTTGCTTCCAAACAATAGACTGCTTCTGCTCTCCTGCCAATGGGCCTGCAATGGGCTGAGATGCAACAGCATTAGGGTTCGTGATGATTTGCCGGCCGTTGTTCCTCCGAGAGACGATTGTAGGAGATAAGTCAACTGCAAAAATGGTTAGCATTCACTTTATGTATAAGGGCGCGACTCTTTGCCTTCGAGTTCCTGTAGGGAACGTGAGCTTCGCTGTTGCCGCTCTTATTTCCGAGCGCCGCGATTACATCACCAAGACTAGACAAGGACTTGTTGATAGCTTGAGTCTCCTTCATCCGGCTCCCCTCGGCACCTGATTGCTTTAGTCGTTCCGAACCTGCCAGATCAACGAGGTTCAACACGCCTTCGCTGTGCTCGCCCGAAGCTGAGCAGGATCCCTTCAAGGTGAGCATGAAGATGCTGTGACTTCGAGACGAGCGCTCATTGGCTTTTGTGGCGGCCACACGACGATTCTTGGCCGCAGTCTCGAGGAGATTGTTTACGGCCTTTTCGGTATATGAGACGGTCTGCTCGCCATCTTCGCCATACGTATCCACTGGAGCTGGAGGCGGCCAATTGCCGTCATCGTTTGGCGGTGGCCATAGACCAATCGTGGTCAAGTTGGTCACAGTCGTCTTTCCGGTGGCTGCGTCATGATGGATTTCGTGCTTCTCTTTCTTCTTGCCTCGAACACTTGCGCCCAGGTCATCGGTATCGTCCCAGGTCTTGGCGTCGCCAAGCAAATCGTTCAAAGTCTCGTTGTACACCTCAACGAAATTGGCTTCGACGGCGTACTTCCAGCCCTTTTCTTTGAGACGACCCATCTCGGAGAGCAGCATTCTAATCGAAGATGGGATGATACCTTCTGGACCTGTCATACCGTACGTCTTTCCGCTGCCAGTCTGGCCGTAAGACAGGATGCTGACATTGTAACCATCGACCACGGACTGTATCAGATCCCTACATTCTTCGAAGACGGCTGGATTGGGCGTTCCGGGTGTGAACACTCGATCAAATTCGTACTGGTGCTTCTCATTCCTCTGCTTGCCGGTTGCAGTTTGCGTAGTCGGCGCATGCACAACCATCTCCTTGCACCCCTCGAGAGAGTCTTGGTCAAGATATTCGACTTTGGCAGCATCATCCTCTCCACCTAGAAGCGGTCGTGTTCGCACAAATACGCGAATGTTGCCTCTCAACTCCAAAATCATGGCATTCAACTTTCTTCGCAGGGCTTCTTCTTTGCGCAAAGTCTCGACCGTGGCCTCCTTAAATGCAATAGCTTCCTCCATCTTTTGCTGCATGACAGTAAATTCCTGACTTTGTGCTTCCTGGTTGCCTTCCAAGAAATGGGCCTTCGAAATCAGAGAATTCTTCTCCTGTTCCAATGTCGAAATTCTGGCCTCGAATGTGGTGATTCTACTCCTCAAGCTGGCGATCGTAGCATTGCTTGCATCCAACTGGCTCTGAGCGCTGGCTACTGTGTCTCTCAAGAGCTGCACTTCAGAGGCCGACTCAGTCGCGCGACTCTCACCTGCCTCTTCAAGCTCTTGCACTTTGGCTCGCAGATCTGATAGCTCTTTCTCGTGCGCTGTTCTTATTTGGTCCAATTCGTCCCAATGCTGAGTGGTCATGTCAGTAATCTCGCGATCTTTCTCCTTCTCCCATGCATTCTTTGCTTCCTCCATCTCCCTCGCTAATCGATCTGCTTCTTTTTCACGCTCCCTCTCCACGCGGCTCTCCTCCCGTTCTTGTCTCAATTGTAAATCTGAGAGCTCCTTGTCATACTTTCGCTCGAGATCGTGCAACTCGCGTTCGTGGTCTCGTCGCACTTGTCGCAGATCAGTAGAGGTTGTGTGCAGCTCGGTGCGCGCTCGTTCGAGATCGGAAGAGAGAGTCTTGCATTGAGAAGCCAAGTCTCGCTTTTCGGCTTGCAATTCAGCTGCTTGTGTCTTGTACAATTCTAGGGACGTTTCTATCGCTTCTTTCGAATGGTTCACTTTCACCATTTCGCTCTTCAGCGAAGTGAACATCTTCTCCATGCTATCGAGTCGTACGTTGGTATCGAATGCTGCGACTGGTGTAAGCGCTTCTTTGGTCAGGAAAACAGGCATAACATCTCTGTGCCTCGCGTTCGACACTGGCGTCCTCAAGCCAGCCATTGACGGCTTCTGCTTGAGTGGCGAAGGTGTGCGAAGCACTTGCGCAGACTGTGTGTGACGAAGGGAGGCTTGAGGGGCGCAGGCGAACTTTGGAATCTTCGAGGGCGACTTCTCTTCCTTGATACTCTCAAGAGAAGGTCTGTGCCTCGACATGCTGTTCAGCCGGGGAGTGAGGGACAGGCCAGCGAAAGCGGTGCTGAGTGATACTTCACGGGAGGGTTTGCTGGCACCGACAGGCCCTCCTGGTTGCGTTGTGTCTTGTTGTGAAGGTGCTGTGGATGTAGAAGAAGAAGAAGAGTTGGAGATCTGGCGTGAAGACTGGCTTGAGCTGCCTGAGCTGTCACGATAGTCGCTCTCAACTGTGGTGCTCAGGTGTTGAGACCTGGCACTTGCAGACTGGGACTGCATAGAGTTCTGGTGACGAAGGTTTGTTTGGGCGCGTGTCTTGCGAATCTGCAGGCTACTGCCATTGGAGGTGGTGTTGTGATTGAAAGAGAGAACAGGCGTACCATCTCGTCTGCCCATAACGCTAGTCTCACCATCGGATTCCTGATCGTCATGCTGGGCTTGTGCTTGTAGATTGAGAGAGCTCTTGACTGCGCGAGGCGCGGGATATCGTGACCCGCCATTGGCTTGTCTGCTGTTCGGACGGATGCCACTTGCACTGCTGGAGATGGCGGCATTCGCAGGATTTCGGTAATAATCGATATTCGTCTTGGGACGCGAGCCAAAGCCGCTTGAGATGCTCGACTTGCTGGGGATGTGCGATCGAACAGGCTCGGCGGCGCGTTCTGCGAGCGTTTTACGCTTCGTAGGCGGTTCCGGTACTGGAAATGTCTCACGGTCAACACAGTGTCCCGTCTCATACGCACACTGTTTCCCATACGTACAGCCATAGACTTTGTGCTTGCTGGGCACGATGCCATAGACACTCTGCGGCGCGACGGCTGATAGATTTCCGTTTGCATTCCCGCTGGCAGTGCGCGCGTTCAAGTCGCTGCTGCTGGTCTCCTGCAGCGTGCGGCTGGCATTATTGTTTCCACTCAATGCCGGGAGTCGTGACGGCGGCTTGAGCCCTGAGGGTCGCACGTTTTCCAACTGCGACTGCGATCGTTCCATGGCGAAGTGGAATTGCTGTGCGCTGGACCTTCGACACCGTCACGCCAGAGTGTAGCTGATGATGAGCGGCGCGCTCATTGCAGTGAGCCTCGATGTGCGATGTTCTGCTGGTCGGCGTCGGTAGTCGGAGAAGATGGATCCCTGTGTTGTTTACACGCGCCCAAGCCGCCGTTGCTGCTGGAACGGACCCTGTTGCAGCTCGGGCGCAGCTCAAGCGAAACCTTCGCCCAAGCTCAAGTCGTGCGCGCCGCGCCCGCACGTCACCTTCACATGCAATCTCAATTTCGCTTTCTTCCACTCGCCCCAGCCCGACTCTCGACACTCTGCTGCGAAGACAGGGCATGCGATCGCAGCGCAGGCATCTGCCGTGGCGTGGCGTCTTCATCTGAACATTGCAGCACGTGTCCACGATCTTCCTCGTGCTTCTGTTCTTACTCTCCATCTTTCACCTCAGAACTGTGCTTCTCATTCTCTCGCCTGCCCTCATTTCCACACACCACCCCGGCGTGCTGCGCAATCACGCACATATGAACATCTAACGGCCAAATTATGGAGAAGTACGGCCAGTACAGGGATAAAGGTACATATGGAGTCCGAACTTCTCCTGCATAAGCTGACGAGTCAGGATCTGGCATTGCGCCTTTCTTCCCAATCGCGCCGCCTGATAGCAGTCCTCTCTTGGCCCCCTACCACCTTGTATGTGTTTCTCTCATAGGCCATATTTGACGCCGCTCACGATACATGACCAGTTCCTCTTCTCTCTGCGAATACCCTTCTTGATATTTGCCTGGGCAGTATGGATCTTCCTCATCCAATGGATGCCTGCCGGAGGCGCTCTCCGCAAAGGCAATTTATGGTGCATTCTGGGTATCCCTGGGGTGTGGTGGGTTGACGTCCGTGTAGATGGGGTGCAAAGAGGGTAAGAAAGAATTGCACTCGTCTTCCTCTGGCAACGAGATTAATCGCCGTTCAGCTCTCTCGGAAAGGCCATCCAGAAACTACCAGGTCCTGGATCGATCATTGCCGCCTCTTACTCATCACCTCTGGATATCCTGTACCTTGCAGCCATATTCGATCCAATATTCACGCAAAGCTTTCCGAAATCACGCAAGGTCAAGCAACTGTCACTGGAAAGGGCAGTGGCATCATGCTTCTGCTTTCCAGCACCTGAGGCTGACCTGGTCGATCTCGCGGAGCTCTCGAAGGCCAACCCTAACCGGATCATCATAGTGTTTCCCGAAACTACAACTAGCAATGGAAGGGGTGTGCTTCGACTGTCGCCATCGCTTCTCTCCGCAGCACGAGACACTCGTGTAACACCTATCTCGTTAAAGTACACGCCTTCTGACGTGGTCACACCAATTCCTGGGTGGATCGAAGCGCCGAGATTCTTGTGGAAATTGTGTTCGAGGCAGACGCATTGCATTCGTGTACGGGTCGGCCATGCCTTGACCTTAGCTGAAGCACAGAAAGCACAGGCTTCAGGCCTCGCCAGCAGGGAAGCACGAGGCCGGCAGCAGAAGAATGGTTACGATACTAACTTCTTCGATAGCTTACAATCGGAGGAGAACGGAAAGCTATCTGGCTCGGGAGAGCCAACAGAGGCTGAACAGAGAGCATTGGACCTGATTGCTGAGGAGCTCTCTCGGCTTGGACGAGTAAAGACCCTCGGCTTAGGTCTGGAGGAAAAGATTCAGTTTGTGAATGCATGGAAAGGAAACACGAAATCCAAGAAGCGCAAATGATCAGCGTAGCTCTTGGATTGGCTATGGAGGAGCATCGTTGCATAGGTTGTCGTTCGCTGATACCCAAGGAGCATTGATGGCGTTCATTCAATACAAAGTTCTCAACCTCGATTCTGCATTGACTATCTTATCTTCTACATTGTGTCTCTGCATGACATGCTTGGTGGGTGATCCGCTATTGCACTGCAGTTATTGATGAAGCAGTCGTAAGCAAGACTGGTTCCGCAACAGCCGAAGCAGCCGAGGCAGCCCTCATTTGAAGACGAGCTTTGCCTGCAGCTGCGATTTCATCATTCACAACATCTCTCTTCAATGCCTACACGAATCCTGATAGTCGGAGCTGGCGCGATAGGAGCCTTTTACGGGTCACGACTTGCTACCGCTTCCAATACACTCGTCTCGGCTCTCTGTCGATCGAACTTCAAAGCCGTCAAAGCAAATGGTTTCAACGTAACCTCGCCTAAATATGGCGAGCAGATCTTTCGCCCGGAATATGTATTCTCGTCACCAGATGAAGCACGGAGAGCGAACGTGAAATGGGATTATCTGCTTGTTGCGACCAAAGCCTTACCGGATGTCAGCGATGATTCGGCACTTATCGAAGGCTTGGTAGCAGATGGCACATCTATTGTCCTTGTACAGAATGGCCTAGGTGTTGAAAACCCCTATGCCAGGCGCTTCCCGCAAGCGCCTATCCTCAGCGCGGTCACCATTGCAAGTGCTGCACAGCCTGAACATGGCATTATCAAGCACAACCGCTGGACGAGGATATCCATCGGACCTTACCTGCCTCACCTAGATCAAGGCGGCTGTGGCTCTCGTTCGACTGACGAGACTGCGAATCGCAGCAATTCTCAAATTGTACAGCTTCTCCAAGAGGGTGGAATAGCAGATGCAGAAGAGTACGATCATGTGGGGCTTCAGTTCGTGCGCTGGCACAAGATCGCAATCAATGCTGCTATGAACCCTTCCTCAGTCCTGTCTGGCGGCTGTGGAAATCAAGAAATGTCTACAGATGCCGAGCTCAGTATTCATTTGACTGGAATCATCAACGAAGTCTTGGAGACTGCGCCAAAAGTGCTTGGAAAGCCTCTTCCCCCTAAGCTCGCATCAGCAGAGCAGATCTTGAACTCGACGAGACGAAATAGTAGTGGCAGTAAACCCAGCATGTGGGGAGATTGGGTGAAGGGCACAAAGATGGAGCTGGAAGTCATCCTGGGAAACCCGATCAGGATTGCTAGAGAGAAGGGTGTCGAGATGCCGAGATTACAGACGATGTACGCGCTGATCAAGAAGGCCCAGGAGAATCGGGATAATGATAAGAAGGGGAGTAAGCTGTAGCGCAAGGGGCGGACGATTCATGTCATCGGTGATATGTCCGTAGTTTCCAGCGCGCGGACACGTGCTCACGATGCTGTTTTCAAGACGAGATGAGCATGGGCATGGGCATGAGCATGAGCATGGCATGGGACGGCACGGCACATTCAGCGTTTGCCTTCGGTTGCCGGTGATGATGGTCATGGGCTGCTGGTCTCAGTGCTTGTGCTCGGACCGCCATTGGACGGCGCAGGGAAGTGCGTATCGATGTCAGCAGCAGGTGTGCAGAAATAGCTAGAGATGCAGTGTCCGTTCGGGCTCAATAGCATGCGTGGGCAAGCGTGCCTGAGGCCACAGTGGTTGCAGAGTTCTACGGCTGCACGCCATCTCACACGGAAACGCGAGGCGATCCCCGCTCCAGCGCTTCTGGAGAGCTTGGGAGCATCGGGCCTATTATCCTTCGCGGCATCAGCTCCTCCAACTCCTTCTCGCTAGGCCCAATGTCCCTCTTTACTGCACTGACAAGCGCTGCCAGCACGTGGAAACAAGCTTAGTAGCAGAGAGCGAGTGCGAGACCGTGGTTGAGTGCGAGACACGGCGTCGAGACTCCTCACGCATCGGACGGTAGCATTGACGACATCTCGGACCACTGCGCTGCGCTGCGCTGCGCTAGCCACATTCCTCCCTCCCACCTCTGTTTGCGTCCCAGCAGCACCACCGCACCGCACCGCACAGCAAAGCAGCACCCGCGTGCGCAGCCGGCTGAGCGCTCTCTTTGTCTGAGCCTGACCCCGAGCCTGCCATACCACCTCGCCGTCACGGGCGCATTCTCCCTTCGCACACAGCACTGCACTGCACTGCACTGCACTATTCACACCTGCTGCCGGCTGAGCCATTGGGCAGCCACCTATTGCGCCGAGCTGCTCCTCTGACCACCCTTCCCTTCCCAGTAGACTTCCCCCATCCGTTGCCCTGCCCTGCGACACATCCGCCCTCCTACGACCACGCCGATTCTTCCGACAACGCCAGATCCGTGACGTTGTTGCCGCCTCGACCGCACTGCGAGCTCCCGCAACGGCCAGCTCGCCCACGATCCCTGCGTGCGCTCCACGGAAGCGGAGAGGAAGCACCGACACCTCTGTAATGCCGTCGCTCGGATTCCTCAAGAAGAAGCGCACCAAGGACTCTTCGCAGGGCTCCGAAGGACCTACATCACCGACCTTAGACAAAGGCGGATCGCCAATCACGCCCACGCTCAGCAAGACTAGTAACCTCTTCGCCGAGCCTGAGCAGCATACACAGCAAACGCAACCTGCGCAAGTGGCCGACACGCCTCAGCAGACCTCGACAGCTGTCCCGCATCCCTCCAAAGACCAAAGCATGGGCACACAAGTGCAACCCAGCATACAAAATCTCATCAATCAGCCCGGCTACACCGCCTCGCAACATGACTCCGCCTACTCGCAGCATAACATGAGCGATGCCAAGGTGCCGCAGATCAACGCGCCTGCGCCCAAGCCCACCATCAACCCATTGCGAGAGACCAAGGGCAAATACACTCTCGCCGATTTCCAGATATCACGAACATTGGGCACGGGATCGTTCGGAAGGGTTCATCTCGTGCAGAGCAAGCACAATCAACGTTTCTATGCCGTGAAGGTGCTGAAAAAGGCGCAAGTTGTCAAGATGAAGCAGGTGGAGCACACAAACGACGAGCGCAAAATGCTGCAAAGGTGTAGACATCCCTTCCTGATCACTCTCTGGGGCACATGGCAGGATTCCAAGAACCTGTACATGGTCATGGACTTTATCGAAGGTGGAGAGCTATTCAGTCTATTGAGGAAGTCTCAGGTAAGATGGTTGCATTGGAATGATCTCAACGAATCGCTAATTTGTATCGATGACAGCGCTTCCCGAACCCGGTTGCCAAGTTCTATGCCGCCGAGGTGACACTTGCACTTGATTATCTGCATAGCATGAACATCATCTATCGCGATCTCAAGCCCGAGAACCTACTTCTGGATCGACACGGGCACATCAAGATCACCGACTTCGGCTTCGCGAAAGAGGTTCCCGATATCACATGGACGCTGTGCGGCACGCCCGACTATCTGGCACCAGAAGTTGTGAGCAGCAAAGGCTATAACAAAAGTGTTGATTGGTGAGAGACACTAGTATCTCTTGCGGGACCGAGCAACTAACACGGAGTAGGTGGAGTCTTGGCATCCTGATCTTCGAAATGTTGGCAGGTTTCACGCCATTCTGGGATTCAGGTTCACCGCTAAAGATCTACGAAAACATTCTCAAAGGCCGGGTCAAGTATCCACCTTACATCCATCCGGATGCGCAGGACCTGCTTTCCAAGCTTATCACAGCCGATTTGACGAAGCGATTGGGCAATTTACATGGCGGCAGCAGAGATGTCATGAACCATGCGTGGTTTGCCGAAGTCACTTGGGAGAGACTATCGAAGAAGGACATTGATGCGCCCTACGTGCCACCTGTGAGAGGAGGCGCTGGTGATGCTTCTCTATTCGACAAGTACCCGGAGGAAACCGAAGCCTACGGGCAGACTGGTGAAGATCCGTAAGTTTGCCATGTCCATTCGATCGTCAGGATTCTAACTACTGACACATTTTAAGACATGGAAAGATGTTTCCAGACTTCTAGATGTGCGGCCGACGCGAATGATGGTTCGGCCCACCCTTGGCACTTGGATAGCTTTACGAAGCCTCAACTCGACCACCGCTTTACAGCACTGCTGCTGATCTGCATCGCTCCCCGAAAGCATTCCGGCAGCAGGTACATCGATCTGGTGACCAACCACAGAAGAAGCGCCCACAGCGTTGTCCGGCACGACAACAGCTTCTTAGCACAAACGAGACACCAGGCACCGGCGCGACCCTGGTCGTTTAATACGCATAAATGATTCAAAAGAAGAGCTTTCAAAACGGCGCCATTGGCTGGTTCTTTTTTCCGGCGTGAGAAAACATCACGTGTGCAGGCAGGGTGTTTGCATATTGCTTCAGGTTATTCATTGGGATGAAATGTAGTGTATCACAAGGTGTGGAGGGCACCGTATTATGGTAACCTAGAACCTGAGACGAGATGCCGAATTGAATAAGTCGAGAGTAGCGGCCTCCTGGCAGTCACGTACAGTTGTTTGGATGTTTGGCTGTCGCTGGTCCTGGATATGTCAAGACAGGAGCAACGTGTTCTGTCCGTCTCTGCAACTATTGGCAAGCAGACAAAGCAACAAAGAGCGAGGTGGCTGCCATTGGAACCTTAAGATGACCATATTGCGCGTGGTTGTATATGCCATAGACCGCGATCCTGACATGAAATACAAGACTGCCTGACTTGCATCCTTGGACAACATTGATCGGCCCAAGAGCACTTGCAATCCATCATGGCGACGATCATTGATTTTCACATCTTTGGCAACGTCGTCTCGACACCGGATGTCTCCAACATATGGTCTGATAGGCAGAGAACAGCATTACTACCTTGAGTTCGAAGCAGCCCTGACCAAAGCACAAGCAAGACTTGGTATCATTCCCCAGAAAGCATGCGATGAGATCGTGAAGCATTTCACATTAGACAATCTAGATTTTCAAGAGCTACGCAAACAGTCCGAGCTCAAGGTAGGCTATCCAGTCTTAGGAATGGTGCAGCAATTGGTGAAGAAAATCAATGCTGTTGAAGACAGACTTGGAGGATGGATTCATTGGGGGCACGACAACTCAAGACTTGACTGATACGGCCACTATCCTACACCTTCGAGACACTATCAAACTCATCGAAAAGGTTCTTAATGGCATTATAGCAGCTTTGGTAAAACTATGCCAGAAGCACCCGCACCGCTCGACTCCCATGGCCGCACGTTCCAACCTCCAACAAGCCGTCTACTCACAAGAACACCGCTCGTGACCGCAGTCCTCCTTACCATTCGTTCCGGGAAAGACTGAGTGGAGGCATCGACGGCCAGTGGTTGAAGTCGGGTCCACTGTTATGTGGTTAGCGTTGTCGCTCTGTCGCTTTCTGAACTGTTTGCGTTACCACTGCAGTCCAACACACAGCCACCATTGCAAGTTGATTGTTGTTGGCCCCGTTGATTTTGGTAGGGTGTTACAGTACTGATAATAAGCCCAGGAGTGATGACTGAAGTGAGTCGACTTCTCGGTCGTGGGAAGCCGGTTCATGATCTCAGGGTCTAGGGGGCCTGAGAAAATAAGGGAGCGTGGAGCATTCATTGAATGAAATAGTGCTCGAAAGGCAAACTGCAGGGACTACAGAGAGATCTTCTTTGACACCAGGAGATTGCCATCTGCCATTGTCGATGCCGGAGCCTGGCCAAGGAAGTCCTGCCTCGCCATTGCCAACAATCACTGTGATGCTCTACAGCTTCAGTCGACCTAACTTGTCCTCCAGACCTTCCTCGCCACAATTTCGATCCATCGAAACGTCACCGAAATCCAGCCACACAAAATCCACCATTTTATGCTCATTCGTCGTCGCCCGATGCTCCCGAGCCTTCGAGAAGAAACGTTCCAGTCTGCCCGCCAGAGTCTCAAACGTCGCACCCTGACCAAACTTCTTGACCTTTTCCTTGAACACCACTCGTCCATCCAGCGTGTCGCCTTTCGAGAAGACGCACCAGAAAGTAACCTTCCGAATCGGTGGCTGTGAGATAAGCTCGAGGCGCGAAGCTGGTTCCATTTTGGAGAGGGCTTTGTGATCGATAGCGATGTGACTTGGGCTCTTTGCGTCGAGGATGCCTTCTTCGAGGTTCCGTAAGGCTTTGCTTGATGGCATGGATGTTTTTCGAGGGAATTTGGGATTCATCGTGACGGTTTCGCTTCGGTTCGGCATTGGCCTGCGAAAGACAGATCTTCCATGGAGCTTTGGCGAGTCCTTGATTGTGTCTGCCCATTGCTCACTGACTCTTCGTGATGAGACGAGGTTGCGCAATGGAAGCTCGAGGAAAATCTGTTCAAGGAGTTCGGCCGTGGCAAACACCGCGTGTGCTGCTGACGACGGCGTTTGATAAAACGTGGACATTTTGAGTCGCACGAAGCGGCGTTGTTGGAGGCTGGGAGTTCTCAAGTTGAACGTGCCGAAGACTTAAGTGACATGTGGACCATGTGCCTTGACGGAAAAGCTAAGAAAGCTTGTCGAATGAAGCAAGCGCGCGTGATGAACATGCGCGCTCACGTGAAGTTTCATCGGCGTGACGCCTTGCTCTGGAAGAATGAACCGCCTTCTCCAAGTTTCTAGCTGGGCTTGGAGCAGCTCAAAATATTGAAATGCCCCCTCAGCTGATACTTATCCCAAAAGCCCTCCTCAAATCTCGCATCCTGCGGCAGAACATATCCATGCCATTTGATCTCTCCCATACCCGCCTCCTTTGCAGCCGCTTCATACTTATCATGCAGCATGTGATGAAACTCGAAAGAAAACGGTTCCGGCTCAAGAAAAGCAGTCAGCCGACACTTCCAACCATCTTCAGTAGTGCCAAGAGACTCGACCTGAAAGCCATACTGGCGCAGATCCAGGGTTTCGAACATCGGGCAGTGAGCATTAGTAGTGACGCCCACGAAGCGGCCTCCAGGCTTGAGGTTGTTGGAGATGGCGCGGAACATATTGACAAGGTGTGAATAGCTCGGCGCATAATTCAGGAACCAGCTTCCGAGAACGAGATCGAATGGGCCTTCGGACAGCTTAAAGTCTGGTTTGCTGCAATCCGCGACAAGATATTTTAATTTGGAGTTCTGCTCCTGAGGAAGCTCCAGAGCAGCTTTCTTGGCGCCTTGAATCATTCCGTCCGAGATGTCAACTCCAACAACCTGAGAGGCACCTTGACTAGCCAAGTATTTGGACCATAGGCCTAGTCCACATGCGAGATCGAGACATTCCAGGCCTTTGACATCCCCAATGACTCGTTCTGTACTTGGATGTTGGATCTGGCCGAAGGGGAGTTCGTGGAAGGCAGCATAGCGACTGCCGATAGCATCGTATTGCTTTGACATCTTGAGTCGATGAAGGGGTGAAGAGCCACTGATCTGTTGATGTTGCAATTGCCGGTAGCTGCAGTGAAGAGTGGATATGCCGGCGCAACCAACTGTCGTTGCTGGCCAGAATTCAGTCAGCTCGCAAAAGAGCTTGGCACGCTCAATGCCGTTACAGGCATTAGCCCTACAGGCCGGGATATGGAAGTGATATGGGAAGGAACCGTTGTCTTGTAAGCGCTGTATGAAAAAGTCAATGGAAACGACGTTCGGTCGAGTTCTGGCACCAAGCCAATGAAGTTAGAGCTGCGGAGGTAAGTGTCATTGATGTTCGTGAAAAGTTCTCAGAATTGTTGCTCTAGATAGGCCATTTGACCTCGTCAGTATATCTCAGTCGTTACCAAGTACCGACTAAAACGCAACAAATCCCGATGGTATCTCTTACAAACAATTCCCACCATACGCCATGATCCTCAGTCGTCAAGCCAGTCAATCCGCGCGCTGTTTTAGCTAGGCGAGTACGAAAATACGCCCTTTTCTCGAGGTAGAAGAAGTTCAAACGCCCAACGTCAGCAACTTTTGAGGACTGCTCGGCCGTAACTTCACACTCATCAAAGATTATCGTCTTCGTCTTCTTCGCGCATGCGAAGCCCACCAGCAACCTGAATTCCCTGTTGTACCCAGTCCAGCTTTTCAATTTCTTCTAGAGGTTTGCGACCCATGCGCACTTTCTTCAGTAGTCCCTCCACGCAAGGCTGGGCACCTTCGAACTCCATGCCGCGTGTTGGATCCCACTCACCATCTTCGTCGCCAAACCTGCACCAGATCCAGTCACAGCGTGCTATGCGGTGAGTGTTCCGGCTTCTGTCCGGCTTGCCCGGCGGCGCGTCGAATGGCAAGCGTCCTTCCATCAGCGCGTATAGCAGAACGCCTAAAGCCCAGCCATCGGTCAGTCTTCCATCATAGGGCTGGCCGAGCAAGATCTCCGGCGCAGCGTAATCCTCACTGCCGCAGCGCGTTGTCAAGAAAGGTTGCTCCGGCGGTTCCGGTATCCTTCTACTGAGACCCATATCAGTCAATGTGACGATCGGTGTGGGATGTGTGATGGGGTTGGCCAAAGATCGGAGTTCTGGTTCTCGGAGGTTGACCAAAACGTTCTCGAGCTTTATGTCCCGATGTACGATCCAATTTTTGTGCAAGTATTGGACCGCAGATATCAATTCGGCGAACATCCTCTGGATTAATGAAGGTGTCAGCAACTCTCGCTTCTCAGTCGCGAATTCGAAGAGGTCGCCGCCGGGGCAATATGTAAGCACCAGCAATGCTCGCGATTCCTGATACTCGCACGCCTTCAGGTGGATCAAAGATGGATGAGACACGCTTTTCAGCATCTCGACTTCACGTTTCAGGCTGACCTCAATCCGCTCCTCATCGGCACCTCCCGCAGGCCCATGCTCCATGATTTTGATGGCAACTAGCTTGTGCGGATCTAGGTGTTCTTCGATCTCAGGTGTCGGATGTGCGGGTATTCTCTCATACGTGGCTAGCATGACAGTTGAAAAGGTGCCCTGTCCGAGTCTTCGTAGCTGCCGAAATTTCCGCCTCTTGTTGTGAATGCCGCAATGGATTTCCAAATACTCCGTTACCGTGCCATCTTCCAAGTGTGGTTGCTCGTCCTCGGCCTCGTCGCTTCCAGCGAGACTCGAGGTGCTAGCGGGAGGTGTTGGAAGCTGTTTCGAAGTCTCTAGCGGCGTAGCAGACGCAGTGAGGCCTCTTTGTTCGGCGAGATACGCTTCTCTATGCATCTGATACTCGGTGGCTTCGATGTGAGGCGCATCGCCTTGACCATACGTGACTTGTCGCGGGCGCGTGTTGTGCAGAGGCTTGGGTACAAAGTCCGAGATACTGCGATTCCGCGTGTGGGCGGCATTTTTCATATGCTCCTGTCCGCCCGCTGCATTATGTGCATTTGCGATCGCAGCCTCCTGCATGAGACTACCATAGCCCGTCTTTCTCTTGGACGGCGATTCTGGCGAGGTCGGTGGGAGGTACTGTCGGCCAGTCGGAGCGGGACCTTCTAGAGAGCCTTCTCGCGATCGATTGGGTGTGGCGGATATCTTTCGTGGCCAGAGGGCTGGAGAATCGTTGGCCACAAGTGGAGAAGGCAGCGGAGTCAGGTCGGCCATTGCTGCCAGGTACGGGGACGGTATAGCCGAAGCAGGCCCAGGAGACAGCGACGAAGCCAGACTTGAGGTAGAACGATTCGAGCGTAATGATGAGCCTATGGTGGGCAGCGTGCTCGGTGAGGTCAGATTGTGGTGCAGTATCGGCTCGGCGGAGGCATTCGTCGACTCGTCGTAGAAAATGGCAGGCGTGTCCATCATGGGTATGGGCCTGGAGGCTCCCGCAGTCGAGGGTGGATCCAGATTGGTTCTAATCGACAGCGCAGCGCTAGCCGGAGACAGCGCAGGCCGGTGAAGGAGCGGCGGCGAGGCAGTGGTGTCGAGGGAGGGCAGTGGCAGCGGGAGGACAGAGGCATTCTGGGCGAATGCGCGGTAGTTGTCTACACTGTCCCCATTGCCCTGGCGCGGGCGCGGGCGTGGGCGCGGGCGTTGCTCGGCTCTGGGCGTGGGTGCATGTGCAGCATGCTCAGGATCAAGGGCAAGGGGTTGGGGTTGTTCGCTGCTGGAGTCGTGACGTTGCCCGGCCGCGAACTTTGTCTGTTGATGCTTCTCCTCCTTGCCAGCGCCGACCAAGTGGTCATCACGGCGCGGAGCAAGTTGGCTCATCTTATCGAAAACATCAGATGCGGGCAGACGGCGGTACACCTCGACTGTACCGCAAGGCAAAGGCAGGCCAGCTTTTGACGCAGGCCGGTGCGAGAAACGAAGCTGAGAGGCTCTCGCTGTGTTGTGTGTGTTGTGGACGGACAAGCTTACGGGTTGTGCACCCGGAGCGGCACGGCGCCAAAAGCAATGACCATTGACCACGATAACTCATAAGGGTGCCGCCAAGCCCCGAGAGAGATCCTAGCGTGCTTTGCGAGAGCCAGATCAGGCAAGGCGCGAATACGAAGTGAATGAGCCAGATCTTCCAATCATTCCAGTGGTCCTCGACGCGTGCCTCGTATCACATGCATCTGCCTTCTATACCTTCATAAGACTAGGCATCTTCGGGTCTACAAAGGGCTGTTGATCGTGAATGTCTTTTCCACTCTATCATGTCTCGCAAGACAATTTGTGCGATAGAAGGTGAATCGCAATAGCTCTTCGTTATATACCTAGACATCTACTTGACGATAGACCTATCTTTGCTGACCATCTGCTTCGCCAGCTGCACAGTGTACAGCCTAGTGACTGCCCCAATAACCCGCTTGTTACCTGCCAGAGCGTCGCACCTTCGCTCTCGTCTGCTAAGAAATACTGCCTGTTAACCACTCCGGGCACCTTGCCGCTCTTCGGGCATACATCATTAGCATCGAATGATGAAAACAACACGTTCGCTATCTCCCATCAGACCCTTGTGCGCAGGCTGCTTCGCTAGAACTCAGCTTGCCTGAGGCAGAAATAGAACCGAGATAACCGAGAGCACGTGCACACATGCCAAAATTCACGAAGCGCCTGAAAGGAGGTAGCACTGTTGGTCTCTTATTATACTCGGCATGCTAGGGAAGGGTCTTACAGGATGGAGTCAGATCGAGGAACATTGCACAGCGAGAGAACTGCAGTTTCTGAACGATCGATGCAATCAATTGCCCTTTTTCAGAAAATTTGAGCCCTTCGAATTGATGCTGACACAAGACTCACAGACAGACAAATGTATTCTTTTTGCATATCGAAGTAGTCCAGACGTGCTTATCCGAGCTTCCGCACTGCAGCGTGCTTTCCCTCAGATCTGCCGTCTTGTCGACCGTCGAGGGCATTGGCGACTAGGAGCAACGGGAGTCAAAACCCATCTACCAACCATCTCTTTGAATGACACCCGACTTCACGCTGTCAAGAGCATGGTCAGGAGCCGCGAATAATCGTGACCGTGGTCTATTGTCCTCTGGACGCAGTGGTAGGAGGACCGTCACCACTACCACTGCCCCTCCCATTGTACGGAGCGATTGCTTGCTTGTAGTCGTAAACAAGGAACTCCACGCCTTCTGGACCTATTGAAGCTTTCGAATGGATCATGTCGCCAAGCTTTGGGGCTTTGGGTTCATCGGCCAACGTATCATGCATGTTATGGTCCTCCCAAAAATCGGAGGAAGTATATAAGGCTTCGAAGTCATCTTTCATGCGCTGGAAGATTGATCTCATGCGGTCAGTATCAACTGGATCCCGGCCCCACGCCTTAAGTAGAGCCTTCGACAAGTTGTAGATGCGACCAACGTGGTCGGCGCCGTGTCCAGTGGCGGCTTGAACATTTCGATCGAACTTCTCCCCTTTCCGCTTAAGCCTGGATATTTGAGTTGTCATTTCCATTTCCTGCATGGCAGGCCTTCTGCCGAAATGCCGCTTTCCACTGTTCCAAGTCTGTTTTGACAGCTTCTAGTTGTGTTTCCAGCACAGAATCATTATGCAAAATTTCTTTTACAAACTCGTTCGTGCTCAAGTAGTTCGCGTGTTGCGTGTTCCTGGGTTTCTGTGCCGACTTTCTAGGCGTGTGGTGTTCCTCGACCTCCATCGCATCTGCTTCAATTTCCTGGGAAGACTCTTCTCCACATGTATGCGCTAGTGCCTCGTCCGGACTTGAATACTGAAAATCGCAGAAATCGCAGCTATAGTTGCAATCGGTATCCTGCTGTCTGGTAGCTTGTAATCTGTAAGAACCTGGCTTTCGAAACACTCAGTTCCTAGGTATCTATGCCCCGAAAGTGGGACAGAAGTAAGACTACCATTGGCGGCTCGCAGCAAACATGATTAAGCCAGAGACTGCTGAATAATGCCATGGATGTCCATTTGATTGCCATTGCATTGATCCAGGTTGATTATCACTAAGAAAGGCTGACACAGAACCGCCGTCAGTCACGCGGCCTGTCCATAGTTTGTGTTCTAGACAGTCTCGGTGACTCTCATAAGATTGTTTCCAACCCGATTTATGGGCTTTCGAGAAGAACGGTATCGAAGACGTAGTCCAGTTTGGCACATTCGGGCAAATTGAAAGCCAGGAACCGCAGTAGTCTGCGATCATCGCGTAACATAAAAGTGCCAGTAAGTGCTTTTGCTGTATCTTGAAGCGACGTTCTGAGCATTTGCTGGTTGGCTTAGAGTCCTTTGATTTGAAGAACACAAAGCCCAGATGCCATACTGTCCTAAACACACAACGCACTCAGCACCCATATTTCAGACCGGGCGAAGTGGATGCAGCACAAATTGCTAGTCGATGCCATGCCCGTCTTTCGAATGACAGTTGCTGAATAGTTTCTGTAAGAGAGAGCCAGTCTCTTGGCTGGGGCGCGAAGCTCTATGGTTGGCCCAGTATGTATTCACTATTATTCGACTACATTCTCGAGTCTGGAATACCCGACACCAGTCACGAAGAGCTACCGGACTGCTTGGCACCAAGATGCATCCTGCTCATAGTCTCATTCGCCTCGTCTTTGAATTCGTCCAGCCACCGCGATTGTGGCTTACGCTCATAGACAACATCGCCCATTGTCCAGGTCATTCTCTTTCTGTCAGTTTCCCAATCAACATCGTTGTCTGGGCAAATGACGTAGAACTTGTCCTGGCCCATCTTTTGGTATAGGTAGTCCGCTACCTGCTCCGGCGCCCAAGCGCCATCTGGCTTCGCCGTAGTCTTGCCGCCTCCGGTAAGACCCGTGAAAGTCCATCCCGGTACAAGAAGGTGGACTGAAGTCTTCGGGCTAGACTTCGCAAGATCGAAGTGGAGGTGCTCGGCGATGGTCTTGACTGCGCTCTTGCTGGCATTGTATGCTGGATTACCCGGCGGATTGGTAATACCCTGCTTCGAACCAGTTACGATGATCGCTTTCTGCTCTTTGCTGTTTCCGTCGAAGTGTGGGAAGAATGTGTTGAGGCCATTTACCACGCCAAAGAAGTTCACCTCGAAGATCTTCTGGAAGTATGCGCTGTCTGTCCAGTCGCTCTTGAGACCGATTCCAGCGTTGAGATGCAAGAAGTCCAGCTTAGTGCCATCGCTCTCTACTTTGTATTTCAAAGCGTTCCAATCTTCGAGCTTGCCAACGTCCATAGAGTGAATCTGCGTGCTGCCTTTGTTGGAGCTTTGTATGGTCTTGAGGGCATCATTGAGCTTCTCGGTGTTATTGTCGACGAGGAAGAGGTTCATGGAGTGTGAAGCGCATAGCTTGGCCACAGCGAGGCCGACGCCTGGGCGGGATCAGTATGGAGCGGAGGTTGATGAAGATTGTCAGGCTTGGCTTGGGCTTACCTGAAGCGGCGCCAGTGATGAGAGCTGTAGCTCCAGAACGAAAGACCTGTGTCGCTGCCGCCATTTCAGTAGTATCGTGCATTGGACCAAGGAAATGTCACAATCGCGAGCGATACATGTAGCGATAACATTGAGTTGTGCCAATGACGTCGAGTGCGGCCTTTGCCGGCGGACCAGTGGACGTGCATCGTCTTCAATTCGATCATCCTTCTGTACCAGCGTATGACACATTATTCAATAAGCACTGCCTTCGTTGGCAACATGCAGTATGGCCCAACATAAGTGCAGGAGTCGGCGAGATTGCGATCACATGAAAGCGGACACAGCCGTTTGGTTGGTTGCTGCTGGCAACCGCGACCAGCCGCTGGATCAAAACAACCGAACGATCTTCGAACGCGTCGTGGTACATGTGGTATTGTGCCCCAGCCTTCAACTGCGTATGTGTGCAGCCGCTCCGCTCCGAGACATCTGCGACCGCTACACGTGTTGGATTGTTTTCATACTCATGTTGTCGAGCCGGTAAAGCATCGCAGCCCGCACAATGGCTGATGTCAAGCATCAACAGCAGCAGCCGCGCTCAGGTCACCGCCGCGCTCAGTCCAGCAAGTCGGGCATCTTGAGGTCGCTGGTATCAGCTAAGAGCAGCCCAGCGAGTCCGGAATCGACGATCACCCACGCGAAGCAGGACAGCAAGACGACAACAGTCCCAACTCTGCCACCCGACACGAAATCGGCCACAGTTCTGGGTGAGAGACAAGGCAACGTGCAGTCGCCTCCTTCGTCGCCCTCGAAGAAAAAGGGAACTCTCGGCAGGAAGAGCAAAGATGGCAAAGTAAAGGACGGCAAAGATGCTGCCAAGCCTCTCAAGTCCAAGTCGTCGACCAACCTCTCCGCCATGTTTGCCAAGATGAACCGTTCCAGCAAGGACGTCTCCAACATCAACCCGGAGCAGAAGGACAAGGAAAATGCTTCTCCGATGGAACCGAATCCGCAGCCCATGCAAAGAGTCGAGACGCCAATCTGGGCCCAGTTTGCGTCCGACAGTGGGTCAGGCAGTTCACGAGCTCAGAGTCGACCGGGCAGCAAATCCTCGAACAACCTTCAAGAAGAAATTGATAAGTATACGCCGACAGTCTACTCGCCTAGCAAGCAAAGAAACTTCGTCGGCAGCTTCGACGCGCCAAGTCTACGACCAACGCTGGGTAAGAGCCGGCCACAAAGTGCATATTATGGAAACGGCGAGGGCATAATAGGGGCGATTGGAAGACGAGTCAGTGGAGACAAGAAGAGCTTAGAAGGACGGAAGTCCGAAGACTCGGGTCGAAGGTTCTTTCAGGGCTCGACCAGCAGGGTGTCTATGGAGCGGCACAGGATACTGGGTCGGGACACGACTGACCGGAAGACGAGCGGGAGCAGTGCTGAACATGTACCGGCGAAGGACAAGCTCGATGTAAAGAAGCGCGGTGGGCGTGTCATGGCAGCTGTCGCGGCTCTTCAGGGTAAGAACAAGGACACCGACAAGCCGAAGGAGAAAGATGAAGCTGCCCTTGATCCAAAGGAGGTTGATGCCCAGTTCGAGGCAGTCCTGGACTCTCGAAACATCCCGGAGCCCATGAGGCAGAAAATGCGGTCCTTGACCATGCGCGTGAAAGCGGACTTCATCAAGCAGGACCAAGGGTCAACCAAGAGCAGCAGTCCGCCCGGTTCTATGAATAGCTTGGACAAGTCCAAATCGTCCAACAGGCTTACCGAAATCACAAAGGTCGAAACGAAAAAGGGCGATGACGAGGACGGCAAGTCGACAAAACGTTCACGAACGAGGAGTCGAGCATTTACCTTCACGCGTGGTCGCAAAGAGGAACGAGGTGATGAGTCGCCTTCGAAGAAGCAGAAATCACAGAGTCGAAGCAGGCCGAATTCGATTGTGATCCCAGACGACAGACCCATGAGCAATGATCGGACCCCTACTACACCCACTGGCTCATGGGGCCGAAAGAATACCGCACCTGCGCTGCCTGCAGATTACATCACGTATCTGCGGAAGAATCAGGATCCGACTAAGGTCGAGGTTGGCCGTTTGCACAAATTACGAATTCTGCTACGGAACGAGACTGTTGCTTGGGTGGACGCGTTCATCAGCCAGGATGGTATGCTCCAGATCGTTGGTCTCCTGAATCGAACGATGGCGCTGGAGTGGCGAGAAGATCATGAAGACCAGCTACTACATGAAACATTGCTCTGTCTGAAAGGCCTTTGCACGACTGAAAGGGCAATGCTGGAACTCAACAAGTTTGCGCAGGATCTTTTCCCAGCCCTACTAGGAATGCTCTTCGATGAGGAGAAGAAGGGTCCTGCTGAGTACTCTACCCGCACCATTATCGTCAACCTACTGTTCAACTACCTGTCAACGATGACCAAAGCGTCACCAAAAGAGCTTGAAGAACGAGCACGAATCATTCTGCGATATCTTGGCGAGCCACCAAAGCCACAGGATGCGCAGCCAGTTGACTTCGTTTCGGCCATGCGTGTTCCTCGACCATACAAGCTCTGGTCCCGCGAGATTTCAAACGTCACAAAAGAGGTGTTCTGGATCTTCCTGCATCACCTCAACGTGGTGCCGCTACCGAAGCCGTCCACCAGCCATTCTCAAACCGCTGTTCAGGATGATGGAGAAAGGAAAAAGGTACTGGCTGCAACATATACAACACGCCATTTTCCTGGCTCTCGTCCACCAGTCCCTGCAGCTCCATATATTGGCGGTGTCGAGTGGGACGCTACGACATATCTCACGGCCCATTTGGACTTGCTCAATGGTCTGGTTGCAAGTATGCCTCACGCCGCTGCACGCAATATGCTTCGCGAGGAATTGCAGGCATGTGGCTTCGAGAAGGTGATGGGAAATGTCCTCCGTACCTGCAAGGAGAAGTTTTACTCAGGTGTACACGACGGCTTACGAGCGTACGTAGCTGCTGCTCACGAAGACGGCTGGGACACACGCTATGTTCGAGAAGGCCCGAGCGAGGAGCAAATCGCAGACGAGGCAATGAAACAAAGTCCTAAGAAGTCTCCGAAGAAGAAGGCTGATCTGCCACCCAAGCTCGACGCCCTTCCTGCTATGGAGTCGGCCCCTAAACTCGATCTGGGACTCAGCATGAAGAAGAACAACAACAATGACGATGGATGGCTCGGTTGAAACCTTATACAAAGCGTTCATGATTCACGATGACCGACGGGGTGGTTATACATTAGATTCTTTCCTTTCCTTCACTTCTCTCGTACGTGTTGAGAGAGAGCATGGATGGTGGCTGGCGTTCGGCAATGAGCATGGCGCATTGGATTGACGGGAAAAGCAAAACACTTTTGCATAATTGGCGACCAACAGAACGTATGAGCATGACTTAATGGTATCGATCATAGCGTCTTTCCTGTAGCGACATACAATGGGATGCGATTTCAATGGATATGGATCAACAAATCGAATCGATGTCATGAGTGATTGCACCGCTGCTCCCTTGTACCAGGATGCCAGATCCACGGGCCGGCCGCGATTGAATCCGCGCCAACCAGGTGCTCAGATCCTGTGGATTCCTGCTCTTCCTCACCAACCACTAAGAAAGAACAACATCTCAGAAAAAATTCCCTTTCTCTCATACAGTACACACGGACTCTGATGCTTTGATGAACGAGCGGGCCGGGGGTCTTTCGGCTTATGAACCGTAAGCGGGCAGAGTCAGCAAACGGCCCCCCTTCTAGATGCTGCTTTCAAGGTCAGGTAGGAGATCATCGGGTGTCGAAATCATTGACCGGCCGCAACGCAGAGTCACTGACTCGAGAAGTCTCGGAGCCCAAAGAGCCGGCCAGATGTTAGGGATGGGAACATTTGGATTTGGCGAAAGACCTACGAGAATACCTTCTACGGGCTCTGAAGGTATGTCGCGAAGATTCAGCACAAATACAACAAACACCAAGTATCACGTCTCCATTAGACTCGCCTCCGATGCGATCAGGTTCTGCCTCATCGGATGGAACCCCTCGAAGGACTTCGAGAGTTGGCTGCACATTGATTGTTTGGGGGACCTTGAATGCTGCTAGGCTGTTATGACACAAGAAGGTCACAAAATCTGACTGTGATGAAGTAGCAACGCTTTAAACCTCCATTGGAGCCACATTCGAACTGTGGGTTCCCAAGAAGCCTCCCTTCGCCTGTCGAGACTGGAGAGAGGTCCGAAGTCCAGATGGGTTGAGGGCAAGCCGAAAGCAAGTACCAAGAGCTTTCATCAACGAGTTCATTCAAAGGAAATGAATCGAGGCGGAGGCGACATGCGGCAGCTGGGCCGGCAGCTGGGAATGACACGTGGGTCAGAGTGGCCGAAGCGCACACGCCAAAAGCACTGTTCTCGACCCAAGTGGGCGAGAATCAAGCGGCATTCTCGTGGATGCCTCCGACAGAGGTAGGTCGAAATATGGGACAGTCGAGGCACTCTCAATTCAAGAACATTACTGACTAGGCTGCAGACGATGACAAGGTTTGGCTTGTCATGGACGACTTCTTTAGAAGATATCAGACCATAGTTCTGAGCAGGAAGTTCGGGAACTCTTGTCCTAGCTACCTATCAATGACCGATTTGCTATCTTCCCGTGTTCTTCACTACTGCCTTGCTAGTGATACCTCTCCCACCACTGAGTCACCCTATCTGAGTCCATGGTGCTGCAAATCACACCCTTGAAAGCGGGCCAGAAGCGCTTCTAGCATATAGCATGCCCGCACGAGAACTTGGCTGGTACATTCCCGGTCCCATTATCCAAATAGCTGAACCCTGTCCTCGCCTCGCCACTGCCATTGCTTCCACCGTCCGATGATCCACCACCTCCTGGCATGGCAAACACTGCCTTTGCATCCTTCAGTCTTTGTTTGCGGTGCTGGAGGTGTAACTCGAGGTCGACAAAGGGCGCCGACGTTTTCAGTTCCACGAGCGGGATGTCGTCGGTAAGTGGTGGGTGCTTTGCAGGAGCTGGTGGACCGATGACATTGCTGAGAGCAGCCACCACAACCTCTTCGGGGATTTCTGGAATTGGAAGACGTAATTTGGAGCGTGGCGTTGGTGGACGAGCAACTGATTTGCGAGAAGGAGAGCGGTCGAAGCGATTGCATCGGTCGGCATCGCCTTGAAGTGAGTATAGTGAGATAGTCGACGCCGATCGCAAGCATTTGGGTTTTAAATGAACTGGTTCCGGGAAAGTGGGCTCTGTTGGTTCGGCAGCGCTTGGATCGCTCGAACTGTCGCTAATCCCAGAGCACTTTATGGAATGATGAGAGATGGAGAGTGCATATGCAGAACCCTCGGGGTTGGGTGGCACAACGATGTCGCACTGTCTGTCTAACGAGCGATCCGACTCCATGAACAATGGCTCAGCACAGTCCTCGGGTCTAGGTGACCCAGCGACGCTGTACCTCTCGTCTGAGAAGCGATCCCGCCCAATGATCAATGGCTTAGCACTACTCAGTTGGCAGGGTGTTGAAAAACTTTTGTATGTCGAGCGATTCGACCCCATGATCCCCTTTTGGCAGGCTGCCATACAATCTCCGTCCCTTTCGTCTGCTGAGCGATCCGACTCCGTGATCAATGGCTTAGCACTACGCATTTGGCGAAGAGCGCTGCGGCCTTTGCATGACGAGCGACTCAACTCTATGATCGATGGCTCATCACCACCCTTTTGGCAGGCTGCTATAACATCTCCATGCCTTTCGTCTGCCGAGCAACCAGACGCTGTGATCAATGGCTTAGTGCTACCTTGAGGGCTGGGTGGCGTAAAGACGCTGTTATGTTCGTCTGACAAGCGATCTGACTCCGTGGTCGATGGCTCAAAATTGGTAGCCTCAAGGACTAGCTGCTCGATTTCATGATAGCTCAAGGGCTCTGGCAACACTTTCTCGTCGGTGTAGTCAATTGTGCCAGTCGGATACCAAAGCTGATTCGTGGGAGTTTTCATGATGCAACACGCCGTTTGGCCGATGAATGCTGCACCTTTCTAGGGCTCAGACTCTTTTCCGAAATCGCTCCATGCGGACGAGTGATCAGGCGCTGCTGGATGAGTCCAGGTGCTCGTGGGACGCAGCGGTGGTGTAAAGATGCGAATATCATTGTCGTGAGCAGCTCGTGACGACTGGCGTGATAGAAAAGCATCTGCGAAGTCTGTAGGGCTGAGGCGACTCATTGCGATGAACACAACCTGCAGCGGCTCCATGGTCTGAGAGAGGCGCGGATGAAGCGATGTTGTCGAATGTCGTTGAAATGGGCTAAGTGCTGTAGGCAAAATGCTGCGTTTGTAATGTACAAATAATGCTCTTTTGTCGCTTGAGAATGCTACCGCGAGCCTCAAATAGACATTGAAGGCCTAGACAATGCCATGCAGTGGAGATGAGAAGGTGATGCGCCGTCGCTATGCCTGGAAGCCTCTATCCGTGTGCTGAGCAGCTGCGCGCCCGCCGTGATGTAGCAAGTACAACCTTCCAAAACCAACCTATCAGACGCCCCGCTCTTGCCTCATACATAGCTTGTATCATCTTACATTATTATCACACCCTTCTCATGATTCTCCGTCGAGGAACGCTTTTCGCACGATCTGTAGAGAAGATTGTTAGCCGATTCCATACAGGTGAGCGCCGATGAACACTTACTGCCCACGTGCCGGCGAGCGATGCTACAATGCCGCCAGATATAGCCATAGGCCGCACGCCTCTTGAGCTCTTAAAGATCATTCCGCTGATTCCACCTGCTGCGACGCTGTTCAGTGCGTCGTGTTTCCCTCTGTAGTACCCGATCGTGCTGTTTATGCCATTGTACATCATGGCAACCACTCCAGCAGAGTTGCCCAAAAATGGCCCTCTCCTTGTAATGGCGTTCAGGGCGGAGTTCAGCTTCAGTTTCGGAGGCGCTGCTGCTGGCACTCTGCTGAGACCTTCTGCCAAGCCCCATGCGCCCCCTATCGTCAAGGCTGTGAGATATGTGACACCGGTACCATAGCAGAGATCGTCCGACCATCCTCGTGATGGTAGTAATGACTTGCTACCGGGCAGATCGGAAAGGACATCGTCGTCTAGCGTGAGGTAGTCGAGCGTGTCCTTGTTGAGGCCGGCTAGCGGGTGGAGAGACGATGGATCGAATGCGCCGGGTGTGATGAAAGAGCCGACGTCTTCTGCGGTCGGAGTGCTAAAGGTTGGCTGTATTTGCTGGATCTGGTTGCCGGCGGCATCGTGGTAGCTGTCGGTGGGCGCCGGCGATGCGCTGTGTGTCGATTTGCCGGTGAACACGTCCCAGACACCCATGTTGGCGAGTTCGTGAGCGCTCCGATCAGACACGATGCGGCTGGCGATGGGCGGCGGCGGCGGCGATGATGCAGGAGAGGAGACTCTGCGGTGACGGTGATGGTGAGCGGCGTGTCAAAAAAAAGACGATCGGATCCGAGGTGCCGAAGTTTCGCCGAAGCGTGCGTGCATCGAGAAAATGCACAGCTTCCATGCGCACCGCACCTGCACCTACGCGTTCAAGACCAGTCACATCGATGCGAACGGTCCGCCATGAACAGCCATGAGCGTGTGCTCGACGAAGACCGCCTTCGTCACGTGTCCCGATCGATACGCGATTACGTGCCGACGCGCTCGGCGACCGCACACGCGTCTTCTCGTGAGCATCAGATCAAGTAAGAAATGCACGCATCGATGGCATGACAGAAAACATGGCTCCCATGCGCAAATGGCGCGCTGATGGGCAAGTAGAGCATTCGAAAATCTCCTGCAAGATGTCTTCGCCACAAGCAGCTGCACGGCCCTGAGCACTTCTCATCGAGTGGCCGCATGGAACACGCTCTGCTCGCTCGTGGACCGAAGCTTGGAGTCAGACCTGCCCGCCATCAGCAATTCGTGCTGGAGTCTTGGCATCTGGAATCGGTCTCTTGGCCTGTACCTCGACCACGCAGACACGGCACGACCCAAGTCCTCCAGGCAGCTCGTGACCACGCTTACGAATGCCTTGAAAAAGGGTCTTGCAACGGGCAATCGGGACGTGGCTGTGCTCGCCGGCCATGCTGTTCGCCGTCTTCTTCGCTCTCTTCACGCCGACGACGATCCGGCTCGGGCCAAAGCGAGCGCACAGCTCCTCAGCAATCTCCTGCTGAAAGAAGTCATTCCCATCGCTTCGGTGCTCGGATATGTACCCTCGCAGTCACACCCCGAGAGAGACCATGCACAGGTCCTGTTGCGCACGGTTCTCGCATGGCTCGGAAGGGGCGACTTTGGATCAACAATCGCGACGACCGTTTCGGCGGTGCTCGACAAACTCGAAGATGCTGACCACGCCGATTCCAGGAATCAGGAATCCGGATGCCCTGCTTTGATCTGGCTGGAGCCTCTGCAAGACGTCTGTCGCCACGCTACTGTCCATTCCGACGATCTGCGAGCTCACCTTTTCCCTGTACTATTCAAGCGCAGATTCGAAGATTTTGTGGCTTTCCTCAAGTGTCAAGGACTCACCGCCGTCACTGGCCGCTTCGAGCTCGTCGTTCTCTCGCAAGCCAAGACATCCGATGATTTGCTGTATACTGCACTACAGACCGGCAAAGATTTAGGCCTACTCTTCGAAACGGACAGCGACCAGATCGCATGCACGCCTTCGATCGTGTTCTTACCAATCGCATACATCGAAGGCCTTGTCTTTCAGCGCTCAAGGTCAGCTCGTCTTACCGGACTTTCGCTCCTCACTACATCGCCTTCAGCAACTCGTGCGCTGTCGCAACGTGCACTGCAATTGCTGAAGAGAGCTTTGCCTGTCTTCTTCGCTGACGTCGATGCTGATTTCCGTGGCGCAGTATTTGGCGCTTTGCAGCGACTCGTGGATCGCATGAGATCAATCACAAAGGTGCTTTCGCAACAAACCAGCAAACTTGAGAGCGCCGAAGCAACGCAGGCGCTGAGGATCCATCAAGACTTTCTGAAATGGCTTCACCGCTTCCTTGTGCACGAATTGCGCCCATCTGCCAGCTACCAGAGACACATATCTGCTCTGAAAGGACTGTCCATCATGGCTAGATCTGCGCTTGACAGCGCCGTTCCCACCGAATCATGGACCAAGTCTGCACGAGGTGAAACAAAGTGGACTTTTCACATCAAAATTCTTACCCCAGACTTACAAAGACAACTCCTAGACCTGCTTTTTGACCCATTCGATGATGTTCGCCAAACAGCGGCTTCCATCCTACGACTCTACCCATCGGAGACTCCGAAAGATGGTTTACCAGGAATCTATGATCTGGCCTGCGAGCGTGCGGAGAGGAAGATGTACCTTTCAGGCAGAGCTGACCAGGCAGATGGCGTCGCTCATCTCTATGCATTGATACATAAAAGTCGTGTTGCCGGCCAGTCTAATTCCATTGATGAACAAGGCCAGCTCGCAACACTTGTTGATAAGCTAGAGAAGCTTCTTGCTATCGCCGAACGGGATCTCGCAACAGCTGTGGAACGCTATCCGTTACACGGCCTGCTCACAAGCTTGAGATATGTTGTTGGCAACGCCTCTACCCTGGATAATGGTGAAGCAAGGACGCTCTTTGTTGACCTCATCAGAGTGTGGAAGCTCGTCAAGCCAATATTGTGCGATGATGCGCCGGAAGGCTACCTTCCAGAAGAACTCGAAGAAACGCCAAACTCAACCAAGGAGACTCTAAGTTATTGCTGGAGAGCATTGAAAGAATCTAGTCTGCTTCTCAGCTCGTTGATTGCAGGAAAGCAGACCGAAGCCGATCTTCTTGAAGCAATGAGCGAGCTGTGCTTCATACAACTATCCGAACTCAGGCATAGAGGCGCTTTTTCGACTGTGGCCCAGACGTGGACAGCTTGTTGCAACAGATGCACAGACCTGCGTCAAAGTGATGGTATTAATTTACTGGACAACTGGTATGGCAGAATCATCGATATGCTACACAAGAATGTGGCCATCAATACAAGACGCTCAGCAGGCCTACCATCCTTGCTATGCGGCATCTTAATCGCTGACCGATGTGAGCGCCTCATTGCAAAGGCCTTCGTTGACCTTGAGGTGGTGGCAAGGCAGAGCGTGGATGCTAAAGATGAGGGCAGTCTACCGCAAGTCCATGCCATGAACTGTATGAAGGACGTACTGAAGAACTCAAATCTTGGCGAAAGCTCGGAGCGCCATCTCCCCGTAGCCTTACAATTGGCTGCCGATGCGTTGAGATCTGATACGTGGGCGATTCGAAACTGTGGACTAATGCTTTTCCGAGCTGTCATTGACCGCTTACTTGGTACGAGCGCTGCATATCTCGAAGGTGACTCACAAATACGCAAGCGAATTTCCGTTGAACAGCATCCGCAGCTGCTCGATGTGATTATCGGACTGCTGAACGCCCCCTTCCAAGATAGAATCCTGAGGTATGAAGGTGTCTTCCCAGCGTTAGAAATGCTGCAGCTCGCACGTGTTCCAAAGGAGCGCCTGGAAGTGGCGAAAGTAGCCGTCAAAGCCTTAACGGGAGTGTCTTCCTGGCATGTTCGAGACAAAGCAGCCAGGACACTCGCCTCGATGGAGACGATATCCGCTGTCTCTCAATATCTTGGAGATGCAGCAGCTAGTAATACGCTTGGCGAGAACGCCGTACACGGGATACTCCTCGTCGCTGGTTATGCACTCCAAAGAGTGGAGCTCGACCATATTCAGGATCCCAAAGCGACTAGAGACCTCAGGAGCGATTCAATGCCGCAAGAAGTAGACACAATTGGCTTCGCAGCTGCCGAATTGTATCAAAAATCGAGCAGCTTCACTTCAAAGGCCGCCGCTTTGGATGTACTGCGTGACTGTTGTGACACCGGCTCAAGGCTTTTCAAGAACTACGACCACCGCAGTCTGCTGGCTCGGGTATGTCCGTCTCAAGCAGCTAGCCATGCTGGCCCTGTTGCAATATTCGAGAAAAAATTGATGGCCTGTTGCTCTGCACCTGGCTCTGCGAGTATTCGCCAATCATGGGCTCGCCTTTTCGCTCAGTACCTGGTCATCGAGCAATCAGTTAACAAGGACGAAATCTTCTCCTATCACCGGCTTGCACAAGAGCTATCTCGTCACGATCAGAATGCCTACAGCCATTTCTTGAGGTCATTTCAAGGTCGACTCGATGCTTCTGCGCCCATTGCGGATGTTGTTGTGGATGCGTGCTTTCACATCGTCAACAGCGCGTTGCCCGTGGAGCTCATTTGCGAGGCGCAAAAGACACTACTGATGCTGTGTAGCGGGAGCGAGAGCAATGTCGACCTGGCCATCGCCCTGAGGTCGCAGGACGCATTGAGCGAGAGAGCATGTAACCAGAAGTATGTTGATCAGTGGTTGCAACTTTTTGCGATACATCTGGATCACAGGAGCAATACCGACGAGCATTTAGTGCAGGATATCGTCTTGTGGGCAAATTACTGTGCATCCGCAGTCGATGGCACAGGTGTCCACTCTAGAGAGGCAGCTACTGAGGCCATTAGCTGTATTCGAAGATTATGGTTGGTTCTGAACACGACTGTCGATAAGAAGCTGGACAACGCTTTTCTTGGATTATGCATCGCTACATATGACCTTCTCAACGACGACGAGGAAGATATTCGGCTACAAGCCGCACAGATTGCTGGTCGGATACTTGAAGCAGCCCACACCAATCCTGCCCAAAGGCTGGACTTTGAACCCATTGTGGCGAGTCAGAAGCTCCTTGGCTTCTGTCTCCGCCGCTGGAAGGCGAGTAGCAAGCTGGCCAGTGTGACACTGTATCGTGCCTTCGGCATCGGACTTGCTGGGACAAGACCAGTCACTGAGCAGCTCGAAGCTGCCACCTCTGCCGATACTGCGTTGTTTGCCGAGGAGAAGCAGAATCTGTATATTGACGAGGCTAAAGAAGCTAGGATTTGGAGTCAGGCGGTCCAGCGCGTGGACGCGAGCATCATCCCCAAAACGGCTATAACGCGACTTGGAGAATGGACTGCTGCAGGTTTGGATGCATTGACTGAGCAAGCAAAGGGTCACCCTGATGGAGCGCTGGGGTGGAGCACAATTGACACAGTCTTCACCTTAGGTCTACGTGTTGTCTATGGGGCCGAAGTGGTCTTCGGCCTCGCAATGAAAGGAGTCCGCGTTCCTGTACCTCCTTCTGAGCTGCGAAAGAAGCTCTTCATATGCCTGACGGCTTTCGAGGATGGAGGAGTCAGCGGCTTCGGTCAGGTCAACTGCCTGTGGCGATGGGAAGTCGACAGGATACTAAAAGAATCGCTGTCGAGTAAGCTCACGTCGCTGGGAGATGCAGTGGAGGCCACATTTGATAAGGCTAGAGGCATTGAACGATGAGGACACTTACGTGAACGTATTTGTCGCACAACGTGATGTTGTCTCATTGTCGCGCTTCTGCTGAAAGCGCAAGGTTTGCGACGTTGTGCTTTGAAACGCGTGCCTTCCCAAACCGTTCGAGGGTGATGTCGCTATCACAGTGAATGATAGAACCCAGCCACCTCCATTCTCAGACTCTATTGTCACAGCGAAACAATAGTATTGATACAGCACCTGTTTCCGACAGTCTGTGTCTCTTCAGTTTATGCATAGATCCCGTTCAAGACTGTTTCTTGGACCGTTGCCCGTTTCCCTTAGAGCGTCAAGCCCACCAACATCCTCTCTCCAGCACAAGAATCTGAGATCGCATCTCCACTACAGAGCCATGGCTGGACAGTACAGAGAATACAATGAGGGCATCGACGTGCACTCAAGATCACACCAAACTCGCCACATTACTCCTTCCGCTACTTCCCCTCGCCGTAGCTCGCAGCTGTCATCTCATCACAGTCAAGACTGCGCCAACCAAGAATACACTAGAAAGTCCAAAGACCACCGGCGCGACTCCCACACTCCCCACACCCCTCCAGTATATGCGACTTCCTCGCCAAGCAGTAATGGCTCAAACGGCAGCAATGGAAGGTTATACTCAGACCTCCACCACCCGCGCCTGCATCGAAGTCGTCGAGAAACTCGAGGCAGGAGTCGCTCACCAACACCGGATCTCTTTGATAAGCGCAGTCTCTACGGCGATCATGCTCGCCGCCATGAGCATAGCCTATCATCAGAATATAGAGAGCGCGACAGAGCTCGATCGGCAACGCGCGATCTCTTCCGTCATGGGCGGAACGGAAGTCTACCATTTCGTCAGCGCAGCTCTTCTGACGATTATGGAGATGAAATGTTGTCTGAGCGTGGAAGGCGATCGCCTTATGGAGAGTCACAAGGTGATCAAGAGCATGCTCTGTATTCAAGTCCCTCACTTCTGCCGCTCTGCAAGATGGAGAGCAGTGATGGCATCGCAATCAAAGACGTCGCCCAGCAGGACTCGTACGAGGGTGGAATTTACTATGTGAAGTTCGACGATGACTGCGCCTACCAGTTGCAGCTCCTACTCGAGATGGAGATGGAGTGCGAGGACTATCCAAGGCAATGGCCCCATGTCGCTGCAGATCTACAGGATGAGCTCGAGAGTGATCTTATGTTCGAGATCATGCATGGAGATCCCAATGAAGGACGACCGAGAGAAGTTGACTGGCTTGCTTTGCTCAAAGTCACCATGACGACTTTGGTTTAGGACACCGTTGCTTCGTTGGACAGAGGCAGACGCTGCGGGCTACACGAGGGCTGGATAGACATGTCTTTTGTCAGCAAGTCGAAGAAGCTTGGAGGGAACTTGAATTGCTCACTGCGAAATCGCAACACTGTTGGACAGAGCACATTACTACTAGCTGTGCAAGTAGTCAAGAAGGCATCAAGTGCCGGCCACAAGAAATGTTTGACTTCAACCGACCCCTGTGCGTTCATGCATATTCCCGCCTTCCCGGTTCGTTTTCCCTTGCTGAATCGCAAGAGATGAAGTGTAATTAGCATAAGAGTGTGTTTACTTTGGCGTCGGTGGATCGGTGGATTGTAGATACCGTAGATTAATCTACCGGTGCGTTATTTTCCAATCTACCTCTTTTTAAGGTAAATAATCCGGTGGATTAGAAAGACCGTGCATCGGAAGTGGCCGCCTTAGTAATGCGTGTCTATCTCGTATTCGACGTGCCGTAATTAGGCGCTAAATAAAGGTCGTTATTATATAGTAATTGCTCGAGAATAATAGCGCCGAAGAAGGCTACAACAACCGCTTCGAAGAAGACAATAACAACGCCTTCTAAGCGGAAGGCGGCGGTTACTAAGACGCCTATAAAGAAGAGAAAGTTAGTACTAAAGAACTCGAATAAGGACAAGGATATAGGCAGCGAATTTCTAGAGGTTGTACGCTAGCAACCGGAGTATAAGGTGTATTTCTTAAAGGAGGTAAAGAAGCTAAAGGATAAGCAACTATTAAACTATAGCAATAGCTTCTATCTTAAATACTACCGTAGAATTGCGGCGCAAATAAGCATAAACTTTAAGCTCTATTTTAAGTAGGAAGGCTCGAAGGCTCGGTAGCGGACGTTTAAAAAGAAGTATTATCTATATACTGCTTATTTAAAGTATATAAGCGGCTAGAATAGACATCTACCGAAGCCTAGTAATAAAGAGGTTATAAATAAGTACTTCCGGAAGCATCTAAAGTATAAGTAATAGCGCGACGAGGCACCGGAGTATACGGAAGAGCTTTTTAAGATTATTAAGCTTAATATTACGAGCGGCTACGAGGCAGGTATCGGCGCTAACCTAGCGTTAGATAGTAATAAGAATATAGCGGCGGACGACGATAGCGAAGGTAAGGAAGTAGAGGCAGCGGAAGAGGGTAAAGGTAACGAAGTGCCGCTACTAGAAGGTATAACAGAGGCCGATCGAGTAGCGCTCCTTAAAGCCGATGTTAACGGTAAATTAGACCTATCTGTAATATTAGAAATAGAAGTCTAGGTGCTTATTACTACGCGCTATACGAAGGCTAATATTACGAAGAAGGCAGCGGCGAAGAAATAGGCGGAGTTAGATATAGCTAGAAAGGGTAAGAAGGATAAAGACGCCCTACTTACTATTATTAAGAAGAGCCAGATTCTACTGCAACAGACCTTCTCTGCCTTCCTAAAGGCTTCTCGTAACGACGCTAAAGCAGCTCGAGAAGACGCTATTGCTAAGCGAGAGCGAGAGCGCGAAGAGCGTACTACTAAGAAGGCAGAGGCTAAGAAGAAGCGTATCGAATACAGGTACGATATTAATACTAGAGACGTTGCTAATCGCCTTATAGATAAGGATATTCTATAGGGCGTTAGCAAGGCAGACCGCGCTCTTCTTACAATAGAAGTAGGCAAGCCTAATATAGGGCATATCGCTATTATAAGGAAGTAGGTGCGTAATAAGAAGAAGAGGGAGCATTTAGATTAGTATTTCCGCTAGGTGCTATAGGATATTAAATCTAGACCGCAGCTAATTCCTAGTATAAATAACTACTATTACACTAAGTATCCGTCGCCGTCGAGCTTTTATATTCCGCATAGATACGGTCGGCAGTAGCTAGTAGTATTGTTATAGAAGGAATAGATTGTAATCGCGGAAGAAACATATTTTAAGCCTATCGAGGCCCGGTTTTCGGTAGAGAGTTCTATAGGTTAGGATGCTTTTTCGTCGGAAATGTAGCTTAGGGTCTATACTATTAATTTATATAAAGGTATTATTACTTTTTGCTAGCAAAATCGTCGTTACGTATAGGGTCTACATTTATAGCGAAAGGATATCCTAACGACTCGAACTTTAATTCTAGCCTTATAATACTAAGAATCTAGATAGCTAGACGCACTCGAATATCGAAAGAGAATAAGCAAAGCGCTAGCAATAGTTAAATATGTCGGTTTAAACCGAAAAGCAACGAATACGAACAAATCTTACTAAGTTCCTTATACAATTCGATTCCTGCCTATTCGCTACTATATTAGTAAACTATTCTACGACTTCTACGATTCTCTACAACCAAAACTCGGCCTCCTAAACCTCCCTCTCGTCCAAACTATAGTCTTCTAGATATTGCCCGTAATCGTCCTATATATTCTGCGTAAAGGCTTTACGATAGCGCCAATATAGATCCTTATTGTCGGCGGTAACGCCTACTAATTCGTCGTCCTTATTAACCTCCGAAGGGTGGACTATAGTAACTTTAGGCTTACTAGATAAAGGCTATTATCTATAGCGAAGGATGAAGTTATAGAGTACGAAGCAGGACATAATAAACCTAGACTACGAGCGTATCGAATACCGCTTATAAGGGCCTTGTTTAATAATGTAGAAGCGCTTCTGCATTACACTAAACAATCGCTTAACTATATTGCGAAGCTAAGCGTAACGGAGGTTATATAGCTCTTCCTTATTAACTAGACGCCTGCTAGTAGCGGCCTGTTCTCGAAGGTAGTATCTAGTCCTTTTATATAGTACGAGAAGCCTCTTATCCTTAAAGGAATAGCCGCTATCTGCTAAGTACTTCTTACTAGTAGGAACGATAAAGTCCTTCGAATACGCCTTCTTTAATACCTAACTATTATTTCTAGCGCCCTCGTAACCGATAAGAGCATAATAGACTACTATATCTAAGCTATAAGCCGCTATTACATTCTATACGATATAGTTCTTCCTATAGCGATAAGGGCCTTGCTAAGACTATAGCACACTTACTGGAATAAGGGTGCTATCTATCGCTCCTATAACGTCCGCGAAGTACTTAAATTTGCTAGCATCGCGGCTACTAATTAGCTTCTTATAAGGCGATAGGTCGTCCGGCAGTCGTACGTATTCGTCGGTAAGGTAATAGAGCGTAATACTAACTTCTTTTAACACCCGATTAAACGTCCGTGTCGAGTGCTAATAGAGCCTTCTTAGGTCCAATATCGAGCGGTTATAGCATACGAAGTTTATATAAATTATTACCTTCTTAGCGACCGTTATATCGTTCTTCCTTCTACGATATCGAATAAGCGCCTTCTCGTCTAACTCTTTAATTAAACTCTTTAGCACCGGCTGCCTTAAACCTGTTATATTATAACTCTCCTTCGGCGGACTATATAGCACTCGAAACACCTTATATCGACCTTTCTTCGCCTACGTAAGCGTCTATACTACGCCCGCTAGTTTATACTATTTCCTACGCTATTTCCGCTATAGAAGGGCAACGAGTATCGAATTCTAGTAGCTAGCTATTATATAAAGCAATATACCGATCCGTTAATTACGCGCCCTCGAAGAATCTATAGTAATAGTAAGAGATAGTAATAATAATAAGAATATAGGCAAAGAGATAGTGTTTCTAGGCAAGGAACGCGTATAGCGCGAATCTACCGAAAACGCGGTTTGAAAGTGCGTTTTCGGTAGACGTATATACCTACTAAATATAGCATACCGCGCTCGGACGGCGCTATAGTAATTAATTACAATCTACCGACAGTATCTACCGGAAAACAAGGTAAACAAAGAGGTAGAATAGGTAGTGGATTGTAACCGGTGGAAAATCCGGTAGATTGCGCTATATAACTAAATCCACCGGCACTAAGGTAAACACACTCTAAGACAAGATAGCTACGAGGTGTTTCAGCCGCACAGTGTCGTGACTACCTGGGCATTAGACTAGGGCTTTCTTTCAGTGTAATCAGCCACGGGAGAGGAATAAATATCATGTGTGAACTGATGTCTCCGATATATCCACGAGGTGGCCATCATGGTCAAGACTGATAGTCCCGTGACTGCATGCAAGGATGGCTTTTTTTGGGGCAGGCGTGAGAAGGAACAGCGGCCGCATGCGACTACGGACTCAGCACGACGTCCGTGGAGTCTGCTCCTCGCTTCCACAGAATGTGCAAAGTCGAACATGTTATGTGCCGCTGTAGCTGTGACAGCCGTGAAGGTGTGCTGAGATGTCGACTGAATCGTCTCGTAGCATGGTGATTCGAGGGTCATATGAAATGCATAACGCTGACCAGAGCCCTCCGTTTTTTCTAAGCAGAGCAGGCCATGCCAGTATTCGACGTGGCCAAAGGCCAATCACGAAAAGTGGAAGTCAATGTTTTAGTGAGGCGACGTGAGGCTGGGCTGGGCTGGTGTGGTTGCCGAGCAGGAAGATCTCCAGCTACCGCCGCTCGGCCTTGGCGGGTTGGCGGGCTCCTTGTACGGTACAGTAGAACTACATGTACGCAGGGCCCGCCCTCCACCACACCGTCGCCGTCACGCACACGCACACGCACACGCCTCGAGATCCGCTAATCTGCTCGCTGCACCACCCACACACATTGCACTCAACGTGAGACCTCGGCTTGGACACAGGCGTCGTCCGAGAGCAGCGCAGCGACGCGGACGCCTTGCTTCGAACTGACTGGGGAGCTGGTGCATCGCCGAACGACACGGTCATGTCAACCAACTGACGTCCGCCGGCCAAGTGAACGGCGGCGAGAGGAACAGCACCCAAGTCACGCCTGCTTTCGTCTTGCCCTCTGCCGCAATCACGCGCTCTTTCCCTTCACACAACACGCCCCACGCGTCCCGCACCGACAAAGGCAGGCGTCGAGGAGCGTACCTGCCTCACGCGCACCCTCGCACATCATGGACGCAGCCGGCAGGCACATTGGCCTGGGACTGCAGCCAAACCACTCCCTCCCCCACCCTAATACCTCCTACCCTCCCGAAGCCGTCCTCTCCACCGCGCCCGCATCACCTACTACCGACGACAACATGCCAAGCCACAGGAACATAGACGACACCCATACCACCACTACCACCACCATGGTGCCGCATTCCACCATGGCCCAGCTTTCATTCGGCCCAGCTACTCAGCAGACCGTGACCACAGTAACAACTACCACCACCGTATCGCTTCCGCCACTGCTCATGAAGCCGCCCAGGGACCTGTGGGAACGAGATCCCAAACAGTACCCACTCGCCTTTTCTCCCACCCCACAGTCTATCAAGAGATTCTGCTTCGACGTGAACGGCAAGCCGACAGTCTTCCACGAGTCGGAGAATCCCGAGGATACCATGCGGAAATACAGCGAGCTTCAAGACCGGATCCACCGAAACAATGGCTGTATACGTCAGGAGGAGAGGCAAGATGGCTATCATACTCCTTTGCACCATCTGAGTAAGAAAGTGAACGGCATGCGTGCTTCACACGGCCTCAAACGCACCGCCACCCCACCGTCCATAGCAGAAGCGGCGGAGCTGGCGAGCTTGCAGAGGAAGACAAAGAAGCAGCGTTCATCTCTCCACCGGACATACTCTGAAATCGCCGAACAACCTTCGCTTAACGAGAGAAGCGCAGCTAGGCCGTTCCATGCGCACCACAACCCGTCGCACCCTTCTCCTGTCACCCCCGACACCGATATCATGGGCGGCATCCCGAGAACTGCGATGAATCGACGCGAAACGGGCAAAGATAGAGGCACGAGCCGACCCTCGCATTCTCGAGTGCAAGAGCTGCAAGACGATAGTCAAGATGTGCTTATGAGTGACAACGAACCTCAGGATGACGAGGACGACTCGCAATTGCTTTACGAGAAGCGAAAGAGCAAGAAGAGGCGTTTTGCGGAACAGAACAATGCCAGCGGTACCAACCATCGAGCCGGAACATCTGCGACGCCGCCTATCACTGAGACAGATCTTGAGCCTGTGGTACGGGTGGAGGAGATGAGGAAACCTCTACTTCAAGGTCTACTTTCGAGCTCACAGCAGGACGCTAGTCTTCCCAGCCCGAGCCTCTCTCCGATCACTGCTGCCGCGAACCTCGCGTCTCGTCAGAACGCGTTCGACAATTCCTTCGCAGAGCACAACGACGAGAATGCCAGCGTTGTCTCCGGTCTGGACCTGGACGACGATAGCAAGACGCAGAGCACCAAATCTTTCGAGTCTCAGTCTTCTAAGCGATCAACGAGACAGCCGCCGCCGCCATTCCAATTTACACATGGCGCGACACAGCAACCGCAAGCATCCCCCACCGGCCCTACGATTATGGATATACCTACTATGGTCGACGCTTTTGACAGCATGCCAGAGTCCATGCAAACGTATCTCATGTACCAGTTTCTTCGCCGATGTGCCAAGCCAACACTGCAGATGGTCGCTAATGTCGTCAATCCTGCCCTCAAGTGCGATCCTTTCAATATTCTCCCGCCAGAGCTGGGCTTGAACATTACCCGCTTCCTTGATGCACAAAGCATGTGTCGAGCTGCACAGGTGTCGAAGAGATGGCGCAAACTTATTAACTCAGACGAGAAAGCGTGGAAGGACCTCCTCGAACGCGATGGGTTTGTGCTTCCGGATGGAGAAATTGCCCGAGCTGTTCGCGAAGGCTGGGGATGGCAACATCCTGGTGATGACGGCTACGAGCAAGACCTTAGCAGGCCCCTTTCTGCTTCTCCTGACCTCGTGCCTGAATCAACTATTGTCAGTGATGATGAACTTACGGCTTCCTCCACGGTCACCACCCGAACCATGAAGAAGAAATCCGTTGTGAAGCCATCCAGCTCGAAGAAAGCCAAGCGACGACCTATCCATGCATCATCATCCATCACCAAGCCAACTGCAACGCCAAACAGCAAGTGGCTGAAGCTTTTGAGCACTGCCAAGGGTGCCAATGCATTTGCTCATGCAGCCACTCAAGCTGTACCGCATCCATCCGTTGGCATGGACAGCCTTCGCAATATGCATCTATTCAAGTCCCTCTACCAGCGTCATTACCTCATTCGCAAGGCTTGGATGGACGAAGAGAGTCAGCCTCAGCACCTTGCCTTCCGAGCACACCATCGACATGTGGTTACGTGCCTCTTGTTTGACAGTGACAAGATCTTGACTGGCAGCGATGACACAAAGATCAATGTCTACGACACCAAGACTGGAGCGCTTCGAAACCGCTTGGAGGGGCACGAAGGTGGTGTTTGGGCTCTGCAGTACGAAGGTGATACCTTGGTGTCTGGCTCGACCGACCGCAGTGTACGAGTCTGGGACATCAAGAGTGGGCGTTGCTTGCAGGTCTTCCAGGGTCACACATCTACAGTCCGCTGCTTGGTCATTTTGAAGCCTGTTCAAATTGATACAGAGGCAGACGGAACACCGGTCATGATGCCAAAGGAGCCTCTAATCATTACTGGCTCACGCGACTCGACATTGCGCGTATGGAAGCTTCCGCAGCCTGGCGATCGCCAAATTTACCAGGCGGGGCCTCCTGCGAACGATCGTGACAATCCTTACTTCCTCCGAACGCTCACGGGCCACCATAACTCGGTGCGTGCGATTGCAGCCCACGGAGACACCCTAGTCTCTGGGTCTTATGACACCACAGTTCGAGTTTGGAAGATCTCTACTGGTGAAGTCATTCACCGTCTTGGCGGTCACGCTCAGAAGGTGTACAGTGTTGTTCTTGACCACGATCGCGGCCGTTGCATCTCAGGTTCTATGGATAATTTGGTCAAAGTCTGGGACCTGTCATCTGGCGCATGCCTCTTTAACCTCGAAGGTCACACTTCGCTGGTTGGTCTGCTTGACCTCAGCCATGATCGCCTGGTCTCTGCTGCAGCTGACAGCACATTGCGCATTTGGGATCCAGAAACTGGCGCTTGCAAGGCCACACTGTCGGCACACACAGGCGCCATTACGTGCTTCCAGCATGACGGCCAGAAGGTCATTTCTGGTTCAGACCGAACACTCAAGATGTGGAATGTCAAGAATGGCGATTGCGTGCGCGACCTACTCACGGACCTGAGTGGTGTTTGGCAAGTTCGCTTTGATGAGCGTCGCTGCGTGGCCGCGGTGCAGCGGAATAGTCTTACCTACATCGAGGTGAGCACACCCTCGACATGAATTTTGAACAGTGTGCTAATTTGCAACAGGTACTCGATTTCGGCGCTGCCCGTGACGGCGTACCAGAATCTCAGCGCGGTCGCCGCACTGTCGTAGATCCTCGCGGCCGTGAGATCGAAGACGTCGACGTTCTCTCGAACCATGAAGATGCAGCTGCTGTTGCAGCATAGGGAGCTTGGAGTCAGATGCACTGGCTTGGAGTTGGCTTCAACGGTATTTGAATGCCTCACAAGCCGAAGCAATACACGACCGGAGCTGGAAACATCCAGCTCATTATGAAAGCATACAATGGCGTTGGCAAAAAAAAGAATAATGGGAACATGGATCCGGCGATACCCTTCAATTCAGTACGATATTGGCGCATTAGAACCTCTTGTCTTCACGAGCGGCGGAATGAATAGGGATACGCGAGCGAACGAGCGAGCATAATGGACAGCAGTTTCTCCTGGTGCATGTGTGCTTGCTGGCTCGCCGGTTTGGCAGCGTTTTACGACTGGGACCACGACCAAACATGTTTGCAAGCTTGCATTTGTATATTTTACTCAGCTTTTGATAGAATCCCAAGCTTTGCTGTCTACTCTTTTCTCGTTGATTTTCTTTCGTGAAGTCATCTTCGTCTTGTTGTATTCTATTAGATCTCTAGCTGCGGGTATCTTTCCTTCCTGATCGTACGCCTCGCTTCGAACGGATTTGCATGTGAACGCTACTTGTGCCGCCACCAAAATGCCCCAATCTGGGGACGAGCAGGACCGTAAGAGTCGACCATCTGTACCAGCTTGTTGCAGCCGAAACGAGATATCGAGATATCGAGAGACCTCAAGATATCTCAGCCATACAGTAATCGACACCAGACTCGCAACACCCTCACGTCTCCTTCTGCAACCTCCCATTCCTCTTCCTCCACGCCTCAACCCCGGCATCAATCTCCTGCTTCGTCACCCCATTCCTGACTAACTGCATCACAACCCCCAATTCCTCAACATTCTTATTCCTACTCTCATCATCAAAAAACAACATCTCCCCAAATGGCACTCCACTCTTCTCCGCCAAAGCCCTGAAATGTCTTCTCTTGTCGCCCGGATATATTTCTAAATGATCGAAAAAAGCAATCGCTCCCTTGCTCGCCTCTTTCCCTTCATTTTGTTCTTGTGTTGTTGTTGGGATGCGTAGGAGTTCTAGCATTCTCCTCGCGAGACTCGGGGCTGATGTCCGTGATGCTGCTCCGAGTTGCAGATTGCGGGACTTGATGTGGTGGAGAATTGCGGGCACGTCGTTGTAGAATGCACAGGATTCTCCGTATGCGTCTTTCACGATGAGGCCGGAGGTCGTGGGTTTTAATGGGCCTGATACGTGCGTATCGACCCAGAAGGGCCAGAGGGTATAGTCTAGGTCGAAGACGAAAAGTTGGGGTAGAGGCAAACCGTCTGTGAAGGTTGATGGGGCGGCGAGGGATGTTTCTGGGAGGGTTGCTCGTGTTGTGCCGTCGGGGGCTGTAGGGCGGTTGCGGCCCATGATTATTGTTGCGAGGAGGAGAGCGAGGAGGGAGAGGAGGATTGGGAGGCGCCGGTCGAGGGATGCGGACGGTTCTGCTTTTTCAGCAGGTCGTGAGGGAGTTGAGGGCTCCAGGATTGTTGTGGTGAGCAGGAGTCGAGGATGTGATGGATGTTTCTTCCTTCACATGCAGAGCTTCTTGACACTTTCTTCGGTGACGTCGATCCTTGTCTGGCGCACGTGCCGAAAATGCAGGGTCCTGTTAGCGCGAAGCTTAGATTTCACGTCTCGGCTCCTCTTGATGAAGCGCTGCACTACACGATAGATTGGGGACGACCATTCTGACATCGACTCTCATTGACGCTTATGGACTATGTGTTTCTAAAGTGGTTCTGGCGCTTAAAAGGAACTCGATCAGTGTGCTGTGAATAGAGGCCCGAGTCTGGATGAATTGCTGCATTCCTGGCTTTATGAGATGCGCAAAGGGCCCAATATATCGAGTCTGAGTCTGCATCATCAGAGGCAGCTGTAAGCTACTGCTCTCCCAAGGCCGCAAAGCTGTGGGCATACCGTATTTCGAAATGCTGCCTTGGCACGAGTGACTAATCTAGACTCTCAACTTCAGAGTTATGCCAATTATGCTCCTCCTCTCGAAGTGATTCCGGTGCGTAGTAGCTTGCTTCGTTCCACTCCTTGTTCCAATCGCCTGCGTGCAGACCCCAACCCTCATCATTGTGCGGGTTCGTTTCTTTGAGGCTAGGCCAGTCATCTCTAGTTTCAGTCTCCCATCTGTTGACGACCTGCTCTGGTTCATCTTGACAACGAAGTGATAGACTCATTTCGGGATCCTTACTGAAGACGCGTAATCCAACACCACAGGTGATAAGCCAATTGATTTCTTCAACGGTGGAGAAGAAGCCAGCTGGAGAGTTTGTGCGCTTGTTTCGGAGCAGAGGCTTCTGTGAGTCTCCCCAGCTGTCCCGGGACGCATTATGGTCAGAGACAGGAGGCTCAATGATTTGCGTTGAACTTTCGACAAAAGTGAGTCGCTTCCTGGCCTGATCGTAGTTCTTGACGAGCTGTTGCAACTTCTTGCATCGCTTGTGTGCGAATTGAGAATGTACGTCCCTTGCTGGCTTGACATCGTGCCCATGACGGCGCGATGTATAAACCTTCACGAATATATTGTAGATCCCTGCTTCTAGCTTGACTTCTGAGCTGAGTGAGCGCTCTGAAGCAGCTGACTCCTCCTCCTGAGACCAGAGACTTGTAGCGCGAGCGATGTAATGATCGAATTGAGATCCTTGACGACAGACAAGGAAGTCAAGGTGGAATGCACGGGTTCCTTGAAGACCGAGAAAGTGACGTTCGTCGAGCTGCTGCAAGGACAGAACGGTCTCCGTGTCGCATGTCACTTCAAGCTGAAAATAGACATTGTTGTACTGGGGAATCCAGCTAACACTGAGCTCAGTCCATGCTTGGCAGCTTGACCATGTCTCGTTGAAAATTCGTGCAATGTGCAGTGTCTGGAAGGTTTTCAGTGCGTCCTCGAAAGTCATGTAGAAGACTCCATCATCGGCAGACCTCTTGAGCCATAGACTGGCAAAGGGTGTCCACTCTTTACTGCCCCTCGCCCAGGGCCCGTGCCAGAGGCCTCTTCTGCTGCTTCCCCAAGGGTTCCGAATGCGCAGAAGTCGGACGGTGCTCATGGTGGAGATGTCGAAGTATTAAACAGCCTGTTCGATGGCATACGCGTGTTGTGATATGATTCCGTGGCGACCTGAGCCATATCCATCGGCAAATGAGCTGATTGCGAAGATATGCTCACCGTCAGCGGTTCGAACTGAGTCCACAGCCGATCGTGATCGCTGATGCTAAGAGTATCGAAACGACTTGCGACTCCTCCAGTCAGGTCTTCGATTCCTTCATCCGGCATGCCACCTCTAAGAGCGTAGAAGTCTCCGTGTAGCTTAGCAAAGGCTTTCTCCAAGAGAGGCAACCAGATCTGACTCGCGTTTTGGCACTTAGCGAAATGGAGAGCATTGGAACCGCTCTGGTTCTCAGCTCGATATGAATCACACCTCTCGCAGTTCAGATTGTCGTTCTTGTCGTTGGCGGTGTGGAAATCCTGCGCTGTCAGGTAGAGAAAGTCGTCCACAATGACGTGTGTCCATGCACCGTGCTGGTAAAAGCAGAATCCATAGATTCCCAGCTTTAGGTCCCAGGCCACGCAGACCTTTTGTAGCAGATCGTTGCGATTACCAAGAGCAGCGACAGCAGAAAGGAACCAGCAGTCACCTAGCTGTCCTTGTGCCATTTGTGTGGACGTGTACAGTGGCTTCGATTCACGGTGGAAATAGATCCGGCGCACAATTTGAGTCCCGATCAGAATAAAGCATAGAAGAGTTGATATCTTTGACTCCAGGACCTCGAACACGATGGCCACTAGTCCAAGCTCAGCTACGAACGCGATGAGCTGATTGATCGCCTCTCCCAGTTTTGCCAGCCTCTTATTGCTTTGTTCGGACTCAGTCAATGTGGGAATCCAGACTTCAGGACAGCCGGTAGCAATGATGGGGCTACCAAAGGTCTCACTGATACGATGGACTGATTTCGGCTCGTTGTCTTGCTTATCGGGGTCTTGCTTGAGATCCATAGTCCAAGTACCAGCTCTAATGCGAATGTTCTTCTCCGGTAGTCTTCGACAGTCAACCGTATGTACGCCATCGACAATGTCTGAAACTGGAAATTGATTATCGTCACCCCATTGCGCCAACTCTCGCTGATCGTCTCGCGACACCGAAGCGAACAAGCCATTCAAGCAGTTTCGCGATCCTTTTGGGTTCCAAAAGTCGTTCTTGAGGTCAAAGTCAGGATCGGTGAAGCGCTCGTTATTACGCATGCAGTTCTTTGCAATTGCTTGCACGTCTTCGATACAACTACGCCGTGCGGCTGCATAGCTCTCAGAACTTGCTGCATGTGTAGTGCTACCAGAGCAGGTATCTGAATCTTGATCGATTGTGGTCGTGGTGTCTATTTTGGACGACATTGCTTCCATATCTTGCAGAGAGCCCCATGGCACAGGGTCTGAATCGCTCGGCGGCGTCGATGTTTCGTCCATAGCCACCATGGGCTTCGAATGCGACGCTGTTATGGCTTGAGCGCGGTCCATCATGATAGATGTCAGAGTGCTGCAATCAGAGAAAGTATGAAGCCTTTGTGTCTTAGTTGATCCTCATCTAGTATTTTCAAGGGGTTTCTGAAGTGAAGCACTTGAAGCAAGCAACTGATTTCGTGGAGCGTCGCAGCAGAATCTCTTGCATGCGCAGAGGGCTCATTTGTTTGATCCAACTGGCCTCAGATAGATCTTCGAATTCATACAAAGCCATGTCACATCCACGATCTGTTGTGTTCCGAGATGTTGCCAAAGTCTGTCTGGGATTGCTTGTATGAGTGAAGAGAACAGCTGCCAGTCAAGACATTTGCCAAAGGTACCAATCCGTCAGCCAGTACTGTTCCAGAGGTGTCTTCATGTGTGCCATACGTAACTTGGTCCCTCGGGAAGTATCCAGAAGAATTGGCCTCTATCCTACCTGCAACATCTCTTGGCGCTCGGTCTCAGCGCTGGGCCGTGCACTGGCATTCTTTGCCTCTCGAACTTCCTTCTTAGTCAAACCAAGTACATCGACGTATTCCCCAAATGTGAGCATGATCTCTGCCAGGCCCTCCTTAAGCACCAACAGAAGCTCGTCCACCTCCTTGACTCTCCTGCTCTTGCCCTCCATGAATTCGACGTCAGTCCAGTGCGGCTTCAGTTCCTTGACATACTTCTCAACGGCCACAATGACCTCGGTATATGTACGGACAATGCTCGCAATATCCTTCTGTGTTTGCCCATACTGATCTTCTGCGATTGATCGAACCACAAGCCGTGTGAGTGACTTTGTGGCATGCGATATGTTCGAAATCTTGCTATATGGGGATCCAAACACAGTGGCAATCACTCTCCGCGCAAAAGTCTGCCTGAATGGCTCGCCAGCGGTGGACTTGAGCGCATCAGCCATGATACCAGTGGCCTGTCGCTCGATCTCCTCAGGTCTCAAGCGTTGGCGATATTCTGCTGGCACCTTCTCCGCGCCCCACTCAATCGCCTTTCTGCCGCCAACCGACCCGAAGCTCTGAGCTCCTGGTGACTGGCCAACCGATTTCGCCATGTTACCTAGGGTGTTGAATAGGTCTGGTTTCCGTCTCGCAAACACATCACCATCCTCGATAACCTTGCTATCGGCAATCTTCTTCAGTCCGTTGTCCTCCTTAGCCAAGCCGATAAAGTGCTGTGATTGCTGCTTCCGCTCTTTCTCCTCATCCTGCTTGGTCTTGAACTTCACAGGCTCAATCGCTGTCTTGACTCGCTCTTGAACGTCCTTGATCTCTTTCAAGCATAGCTTGCAGACATGCGACCACGTGCTCTCATCTCGGCGATCGACTTCGGTATATATGGTCTGCCTCCGCTGCTCGTATTGCGTGCAGATGAGATATAGCTCCCAAAATGCAAAGGTCTTGGTCAAGTCTTTCTTGCTATTCAGACCAGTGATGAGACTGCCATTCGGATCCTTGCTCCTGTGAAGCACAATGCCTCTCGCGTCCTTGACCTCATTTGTGAGTGGCTGCTCCTTCTTCACTGGTGGCTGTGAGACGAATATGTCAAATGTCTGATTGGAAAGCTCCCACAAAAGCGACAGCATCAGTGAGGCAGTGAACGTCTGCCATGCCAATCTGCCAACATGGAGTATGCCAGTCGGGGGAGCGTCAGGCGTCAGGTCGGAAAAGAAGACTCTCGCGAAGAAGTAATTCATCTTCCAGGCAAAGCGGCGCAGGACTAGCCAATAGACCAAGTTGTTGACCAGAAACATGGTGGTTACGGTCAGATTACAAGATCTGGTCAGAATCGTGCCATTCTGCTCGAGCAAGCGAATGAATGCTCGCGGGATCCATTTGCTATTGTCGAATGCATCAGGAGCGAGGCCGATAGCCTTGAAGACGGCATTCTTACGATCCGCCTCGACGTTTTGCTCGGCAATTCGGACCCGATCGTAGTCGCGCATGAGATGCAGAAGTGTCTGGCTGACGGCAAGCACGAGGAACATGCAGCGCAGGAAAACGGGATTCTCGTTGACTCGCGGTCGCTCATAAGCTGCGCCTGGATCCACCATGGCCAGCTCGGCGCTGCTACTCCGCGACCAGATGTACACTTCACCGAAGAACCATGCACTAAAAGCATACCATGCTCCAGTGTATAATGTCTTCCACAAGCTGGTGTGCTTGAGTAATGTTTCTACTCCGCTCACGCTGGTGCGGTCGCCGATGTGTATATTGGCCATGCGCACAATAAATATGGCGAGGCACGGTATGAAGAGAAGCAGCGCTCGCAGGCCTGCTGGCCCAATCGGGAACCATGACCAGATGTATGAGCCTGAATTTGAGAGAATGAAGGAGTCGACTAGGCAGAATGCGAGTGTGAGTGCGGCGGCCGAGCAGAATCTGCGGTGCAATTGAGGGGTGAGAAAGTCCTTGTATAGCTTGATGCGCTCTACCGGTATGGGTCGAGTTGGGTCGGCCAGCCTCGAGCTGGTCGCCATTGTTTGTTTCGTTTCGTTGTTTCGCGGAGAAAGGTCGTGGGTCGTGGGTCGAGGTGTGAATTCGTTGAATTGCTATGACCGCATTGTTGGATTCATCAAGAAGGAGTGACAGAAGCGCGATGCAGGCATGTAGGCAATAGCAAGAGGAAGCTGCAACTCGATCAAAAATGTCGATGTTGCTGTCGAAACGAAGCTTCCGCGTCTTCACGTGTATAAACAGATTAAGCTTTATGCAGACAAGGATTAATCTTTAGTGCAAACGTCATGTGGCTGGCGCGTGCGCAGCCGATCCGATCAACCTGCAGCTGCGGCAGGCATCTCTAATAATCTGTACATACATTGCATCTCTGCAGCAGCCTCCCGCACAGCATCGCAAACATGTCCTTCAACGACTCCTCCAATTTGGAGTCGCAGCCGACCACATGGCGGAGGGAAGACGACCCGCAATACGCCGATGACCCCGAGTTCCAGCAATACACAACACAGCTATCCGACAAGCTCTTCTCTCTCACATCGAACATCTCCCGACTATCCTCGCAGATTGCGCTCCTCGGCACGCGAAGAGAGACAGACCGTGTACGAGAACGAGTCAGCGACTTGCTCTCGGAGACCCAAGATGGCTTCCGCGAAGTGGGCGAGGGATTGAAGAAGGTGCAGGCATGGCACGATCTGGGACCAAGCCAGAAGTATACAGCAGGCAAATTGAGTCAGGAGTTCAGAGCGAGCTTGACAGAATTTCAAGGACTACAGAGACAGGCGCTGGATAAGCAGCGAGCATCAGCATCAGCCGCGAAGGCAGCTCTGGATCAAGCTGCGCCAACATCTCCTTCGGCACAGGGAGGCCAGCAGCAACTACAACAGCAGCAGGAACAGCTACGACTGGCCGATCAGAGTGAGGTAGACTTTCAGGAAAGCCTTATCATTGAGCGAGAGAGCGAGATAAGGAACATCGAGAGCAGTGTGTCTGAGCTCAACGAGCTGTTCAGGGATGTGGCAACCATGGTTCACGATCAAGGACAGACGCTCGACATTATCAGCGAAAACGTAATGCAGACGCGCGACGATACGAGGAATGCCGACCAACAGCTGCGAACAGCGAGCCGGCACCAGAAGAGTGCAAGAGGGAAGGCGTGCTGTCTGCTGATCATCCTGGCTATTGTATTAGCAGTTGTGATATTGGCAGTCGTGCTTTCATAGACGAACTGGAGATGACGTATTCACAATAATTTGTAACAGTGTCGGTCTGAGTGTATGAGCGTTGGGCTTTGGCTAATCTGATACCCAGTGGTGTTGAGCGTCTACAGATCGGTATTCACTTTGCTTTTCCACTTCACTTTGGCCAATGACTCGATGGCACATGACATGCCATGTGCGGACATTGGAAATGGCTGCTATTGTCCAACTGACCACAATAGCCAACATTCAACATCACTACCGACAATATTTGCGTGAACAACTCAAACATTTATATCAATTACTGGCCTGCCAACTTGCAATCGCGAGCTCACTACTATCATGGAAATCACACAAACGCAAGGCGCTATGGCGAAAGCGACCTTAGCGGCATTCGAGTTTGACACACCGCTCGAAACGGCTGAGCACCAAGAGCAAATGCCATCACCTATCAAAGGCCTGGCAGAAACACGTCAAGCAAAACCCACCATTGTTGAACGCCCTTGCGATGGCTGCAGATCACGAAAAAAGAAGTGCGATAAGCTCCGACCTCGATGCAGCGCCTGCCTTAAGCGCAAGATAACCTGCTACTACAGCGAACCTGGTCGTTCGCTGAAGCGCAAACGTGCGGTCTTAGAAGCAAGCGTTCACACTACAGTCAGTGCAAGAACTTCGCGAGATGGCAGCGTGGAATCACTGCCCGAGAAGAGAGAGCCTGCTCCGTCTACCCGATTCAACAGTCCCGAAGCAGAACTGGCTGCTGTCACAGCCGAGACTGTCCACGGCTTGGGCGAGGACGAAATTGCCCAGATTCCATATTGGAAGTGGATGAATCGGCGCAAGGCCTTCGAGGAAGACATGGAGCGGGCATCAGAAAAGCTCAGAGAAGAGCGGGAAGCAGGAAGATCGCCCAAGGACAGCGTTATCGAGAGCGATGTCCATGACCAAGAGGTCCCGAGAGACGTCAACAGCGCCGGTCTCGAACAAGCGGCGGAGATGGGAGTCCCACAGCCGCGTACAGCAGCTCAAAGAGTCTTCGGCATTTACGAACTACTGGAGAGGATATTGCTCGGGGCAGACATGAAGACAGTGCTTCTCTCACAGCGAGTCGACAAGACATTCCAGAATGTCATCAATCGGTCGACAAGTTTGCAGCAGAAGCTTTTCTTAAAACCTTGCTACTCGAATGTATCGTCAGGTAACCCGCTATTCAAGATCCGACCTCAAACTCCTTTTCTAATGCCTGGTACATTCGAGATCGACCTCATCGGCAGCAAATTCAGTCTGGAAACCATCCGCTTCGACTCACCAGCGCTGTTCTCGAGGGCTCACGAAAATGAAAGCTGGCGTAGAATGCTTGTTGTGCATCCACTTTCTGGAAGTCTCTGTGTGCTCGGTAGGTGTCCCTCCGGCGATTGGGGAGAGTACGGGACGGTTGCATACCCCAGTGGTCGCGAAATTAAGATGCAGGCTCTTTGGGCAGAGCTTGTCATGCAGCAAAGGACTAAAGATTGGTCAAGATAGTCGGATCGGCCAAGTCAAGTGGCTTTGGAAAGTGGAGTCACGGATGATCTGGTGATTTTGAACACAGTTCCTTCAATACAAAAAGCTGCTAAGATGTGAAGAGTGTTGTTAGCTACTTCTTGCAGAAGTGGTCATATTCTCTATCAAGTACAAGCATACGTCCCCTCTTGTAGATCCTCCCTTCAGCATCTAGACTCACAATCCTGAACAATCGCGTCACACAAACAACCACAAGCATCCACTGGCGGCCGCTGTTCCCGCACCAATCGCTTCCCTGCCCATGACTCTTGCCCACGCTAAAGAGCAACCACACTTCACCCATGAATCAGTTATCACATGAAAAGCAATAAGTGCTTAGATGAACCACGTCAGACGCTCGCTTAAGTGCTATCTTCCCACTCGCTCACCTGCCTCAACCATCTGCAACCTCAGAAGTCGCTCCTTTGCAAATATGGCTCCAACCGGTAAGAAACACGAAATTCTTAGAAACGGAAAGGCCACGCGACTGACACATAAATTCCACAGAGGAGAAGCTTCGCCCGATTGTGGTATCAGGACCCTCAGGTTCCGGCAAATCGACGCTGTGGAAACGACTTCAGAAAGAATATCCAGACCGATTCGCACTTTCCGTATCGCATACTACACGACAACCACGGGAAGGGGAAGAAAATGGACGAGAGTACTGGTTCACAGATAAGGAGAGCTTTCAGAAGCTCATAGATGAGGGTGGCTTTATCGAGCATGCACAATTTGGTAGCAATCTCTATGGCACCAGCGTACAAGCTGTAAAAGACGTCGCAGAGAAGGGCAAGACTTGTGTTTTGGATATCGAGATGGAGGTATAAACATGCACTAAAACTCAGGAGATTTCATTGAATACTGAATTCTGAACTCAGGGCGTCAAACAAGTCAAGAAAACCGATCTGAATGCACGCTTCGTCTTCCTCCAACCACCATCGGTCGAAGTGCTGGAAAAGCGATTACGAGGCCGAGGAACAGATAAGGAGGAAGCGATCTTGGAAAGATTAAAACAGGCGGAGAAGGAAATTGAATACAGCCAGACACCAGGCGTGCATGATAAGATCATTGTGAACGATGACTTGGAAAAGGCTTGGGAAGAGTTCAGGAATTTCTGTGTTCCAGAGGCAGAGGAAGCTCAGGTTGAGAGTAAAGGTGTTGGTCCTTAGAGAGAAGGATCGCGGGATAACAATAGAGACTGGACGCACAAACGGCTCGTAAGGATACGCGAGAAGATAGAGGAAAGCGGTCTGGCACGACACTGAAGCATAATGCCTCGCCAGAATCGTGGCCGATCAGGTACCGTCATAATCGTGGTGAGATTAATTGCATTGGCCAGCTTCTAGCAGTCGATTTCATGACCATGGAGACTAGATCTCGTCTGTGTCATTATTCAAAAGGAAACTGTAAGCCTCACTCAATGCTATTTTTCTTTAGGTGCAAGTGGATCGACTGGCGAGGTGCTCGTCTCGCTGTTGCTTGATATCACTCTGAACATCTGATAGATCGCCGGGCTTGCTTCCTGAAGCCCAGTCAGCGCGATATGAAATCAGTGCTGTATATTCCTAGCAGTCTGTCCTCTTTATCTGTCCTCTCGTAATTCTTGAATCATGCAAACTTTATGTCCTTGTCCCGTAATTCAAACCATCGCAGCGTCCTCTATCGTGCTTCTTGCACAGGTAATCGGTCATGGTCTTCTCCGATAGTACGATATGATGTGCTGCCAAGCAATCCTTGTTGGGATTCTTCATCACCGAGTGCTCGATGTCCGCCCGCTCGTTCATTCTTCTCTCCACTAACCCTCTGCATGGCGACCACGATTGCAGAGCCAAGAATCAAACTGGAGCCTATGATCGACAGTACGCCTGGCGTATGGCCAAACACGAGCTTATCGAAAGTCAGTGCGAAAAGCATCTGCGTGTAAGTCATGTTCGTCGCTCGCGATGACTTTTCATAGGATAGACCGGCTGCCAGGAGGAATTGCATGATGAAGCCGCATAATCCCAGGAATATCAAGTATCCCCATTCTTTCAGATCTGCCGGGAAGAGGAACCCAACACCAGGAAGAAATGCCATCATGATACAAGATACAAGTGTGCACCACGCTGAGAAGTAGTTCACGCTGATCAACGGGTGAGCACGAGTTCCAATCCATCGAATCGTGGTGAATGCGACCACGCTGCCGCAAACTCCTATCAACGCAATACCGACGGCTGTTAGGCGTTGTAGAGGTGTAACATTTGCGTAATCGCCGGGATCCGCTTCACCAGAACCCTCAATCGTTGACGGTGCGTCTGAGCCTCCGAAGGCTTGGAAGAGGGAGGTCGGTCGAGCGATGAAGACGACTTCGAAGATTGAGACAAATGTACCTATCATCTCAACTCTGGTGTATGGCTCGTTAATCAGTTTCGAGCAGACCCAACAAGTAATACCTGGCGAAAGGAAAGTAATCACGGTTGCGTCTGCAAGAGGCAGATAGAGCAAGCTGTAGTACAGTCCAAAAACACCAAAAAAGCCTCCAAATCCTCGCGCGACTAGGAGCCATCGCACACCCTTCGCGCCGAGGGGGAAATTTCTGAAAAGCCAAAACGTCAGCAATAATTGTCCATGATATTTCCTACGTCAGACCGTAGGCCAGGTCCAAGGCTGTACAACCGAACGCGTGCTACATTCAGTTTGATTCACTTACTCCGTCTTCTTGTACCACATCCAGGCAGTCGCTAGCACAAATGTTATACTCATCCGCGCGAAAAGAATCTGGAAGGGATGCATTCCCTTGCCCTTGTTCCCTTCGACTTCCAGAAGACGAGTCGTCACATTCATAAGTGTTCCAAACACCTGCGCCATAAGCATGTATGCAAGACCTTTATTCCGGATCCATGACTCCCGTATTCTAACTCTCCAGCCGGCGCCATTCTGTTGTGAATTCTCTGCATTTCTAGGAGTGAAGATCTGCTCATATTCTTCGTTGGATAGCACAGAAAGCACGTCTGGAGAGAGCGGCCTGATAGGTCCTGGCAAGGGTGCTGCTAGGAAACCATTACTTTCCAAGTTCGGCTTCGACCTGCCGTCGAGCTTGGGTGTTGACACTGTATCGCCTATGGCACGTTCCTGGAGGTTCGAGTGAGTATCTGAAATCACGCCTGAGTGAGTGACTTCTGCGGAAGTATTCGAAAGGGCTCCATCTGTCTCCGCCTGGGATTCCGTGCCCATAATCAATGCATAGGATCCACCTCCGGATCTTCCAGGCAGGCCTGGCGAGCTGGAGATAGGCGAGCCGCGAGAAATCTAAGTCTCTGCGCGGAAGTGAGCGTGAATGAAGAAAGATGACTATGACAGTAGGAGACGAGGCTGTTGAGCAAGAAGCTTGTGCTGAAGAAGGCGCGAAAGAAAAGAAAGATCTCTGATCGAATCTTTGAGTCAGCATGGAATGGTATTGTCCTACCTTCCTCGTTCAACCATCGGCCGACGACCCACTTTCATCCATCCTCCCACACACTAAGAAAGGCCCGCGATCGGACGCACGCATGCGGCATGCTGTAGTGATGGCCATTCAAAGGTCTCGAACGCGGCATGGGCTGCAGCGGGTGAGACTGCTTTGCTTGATGCCATTCGAAGGGCGTGGCTCGGGCGTGCAAGACACATGTGAAGCAACACCACAGCAGCATGCGGTGAGGTGTGGTGGTGGCTGCATGCGCGAACACAGATGATGATCTCTGTTTCGCGTGGCCTTTGACAGGCCACCCAACCTCGAAGATTTTCAGCCGAGTCGGCACGTCGGCGAATATCCCTGCGAGGAGAGCTGCGAGACTTCTTGCCTCGGATCTGGCTGCGAGAGCCAATCTGACAGGGCTATCGACTTCAAGAAACATTGCCTGTGACATCGCTTCATTAGTGCCAGAGAACGCAGACGAGAGATATCGATACGGCCATAAAGATACGATCCAAAGATGACAAGATCAGGACCAGCGCTCCCGGAGGCGTACTTCAAGGCTGCATCAGGCAAGGACTTCGAAGCCCTCTCTCCCGAAGGACGAATCAACAGGATCCTGTCAGTAAAAACACCTGACGATGTCCGCTTTCTCAGCCAATTCATGGAGCAGGACGTGAGCCTACAGGAATTCAAACAAACATCGCCAAAGACGTCGACCGCAGTCTTCAGATTTCGGGTAGAGAAGTTCTATTGCAACGCGTCGGGAAATCTACATGGAGGCGCTCAAGCCACTATCTACGACGTCTTGACTAGTCTTGCTGTCCAAGCGATAGGCACGAGAACGTTCTGGCTCAACGCAGGCGTGTCTAGGAGTTTGGAAGTTACGTTTTTGAGACCTGCTCCACTCGGCACAATTCTTCTTTGTGACGTGGAGCTTATGCATACCGGAAAGTCCCTGGCGTTCATGAGAGGCGTGATCAAGCGCGAGGACAATGGCGCGATCATCAGCGTTGGGAAGCACGACAAGGCGGCGGTGGCTGTTAAGAAGGGAATTGACGCACCAACAAAGTCGAACTTATAAGCCGACGTTGTATAGCTCTAGGGTTGTGTACTGAGCCCAGCAGATGCGAGGTATATTCGAGGCGGGTGTGTAATAACAGGTACACATAGATAGACTCAGCCACCAGCTACATAGTATATACCCTTTCAGCTAGAATTATGACTCCAAGATTCGGCATGTTCGACGGACATCGCCGTAGCTGTTGTCGCCCGTTTAAGCCAGGCTTGTTGCACAGTGCTGCTCTTCACATCCCATTGTGTATAACTCATGTATCTTCTTGTTGATCTGTCTGTTCAACTCTCTTTCCTCTTCCCTCATTATCTTCTTGTCCGCTTCAGCTTCTTTCTCGGCGTTCTCAATCTCCCTCTGGAAAGCTGCTAATTGAAGTTCATACTCTCTCGCGGCATTCTTACTTGCCTCGCTCTTGCCGTCGATCTCATCCTTGATGTGCGAAATTTCCTCCTTGATGAGCTGCTGCCGACCTTCGAGCTCTTTGATCTGAGCGTATTGCCTTTGCGCACGCTTGATGCAGTTGTCCCTGAGATCGCCAAGACGGACATTCTTGATGGTTGGGCTGCGATCCTTATGCTCGAACTCTAGCTGGACGAGTTCGTCTTCCACCGGGCGGTCAAGATCGTCAATTTCTTGGATGAGACTTGCGAAAGCTTCTTGTGTGAGAAATCCGGGGTGCTGTTTGCCGGTTGTCGGATCGATGCCTTTCCGCATTGCTTCGAGCGCTTTGTGCTGCGTCTTCAATTTTGCTTGCCAGCTGTCATAGACATCCTCCAGATATGGTTCAAAAGCTTCTGCTTCACGTTAGAGTAGCACCAGCAGAGACATTTCCAGCCTTACCAGCAATACCCATCGAGTGGCTACTCTGTCGTGCCCTATATTCTGCGAAGATGTCTGGTTTGCCGACTGGAAGTGGAGATGCCACGGCGAGGTCTTTGTTTTTGGCATGCAGTCGAGAGAAGAACCCAGCCTTCTTTGCCGACGGCTTCTGAGTGCCTGCCTTTGCGGGTGAAAGGATAGTGCGTGGTTTGACACTGTCGGCACCAAGCTTCAGATCTGGAAAGTCGAACATGCCGTTTATGTTGACAGTCGTGAGCTTCCTGGGGGCAGAAGCGTTATTCTTCTTTGGCGACTTCGCAATCTTGGCCTTACGAGGCGATAGTATTTGCGCCTGAGAGCCCAGTAGCATACTCGCCTTCAAGCCCTTGCTCCGCCCTTGCTGCTTTGGTGCCATGGTGATTAGTTTTCCCGGGTTAGTATTGGTTGGCAACGTGAAAGAAAAGGTAGACATCCAAGCTCCCTGAAGCGCAGTTCGCGTAAATTTTCGGGACCATCCCGAGAAGGCTGTCCACAGGAGGAAGGCACGAACCTGCGCTCAACATTTAATGCAGCAGATAGTGTATACGCCCAATGCAAGTATCTGTACAAAGTGTGCTCATTACGAGCTGCTGTCGCTCTCTGCGGGGATCAAGACATCCTTCTCCTCGAGCAACTTCGCTAAGCTGCCGTCTTGGTGCATCGACATCATGATATCAGTTCCTCCGACAAATTCCTTCTCCACGTACAGCTGAGGTATTGTAGGCCAGTCGGAATACTCCTTAATGCCTGCATAGACATATCAGATTCAATACTCTCCTTGCTATGGCTTAGGCCCATGATTGCTCTTTTGCGCGACTCTTGCGCATCGAAAAGACTCACCTTGTCTCAATTCCTCATCTTCCAGCACATTGAAGGCAGTGAACTTTTGTGGATTCACACCTTGCAGCCCCAAAATTTGTACGCTTGCTTTCGAGAATCCGCACTGAGGTGTCTCTGGTGTCCCTTTCATGAAAAGCACCACCGGCGCAGACGCTACTGCCTTATCGATCGCTTGTCGAGTCTTTGTAGAGAGAAAGGACTTTTGGAGCTGGGCGAATCGTGGCGAGAGAAGGGGAGTGCGGCGAGGACGGATGGCATGTCCGGCGATCTGAAATTCTCTCAGCTGGTTCCATGACATGACCTCCATACAATTTCGTACATACCGCCGATAATGCTGTTCTTGAAAACATCTTGTGTTGTGGCGGTTTGCGAATGCTCGCGACGAAAGAAAGCAAGACCTGGAATAACGCAAGGATGTTTCCATGAAGCTTGAATTTGGGGGCCAAAACAAATACGAACTCCGAAGATCTGACTAATGCTACATGCCTCTTATAAAACTCATTCAAGCTGCTTAATTTGTGATCCGACAAGCACAATTTCTGCAGGGCACCCCTATTCACCGAAAGTAGAGGTATCAATCATTGAAGTGTTCGAACATCTTTTGGGCCCCCTGTACTCGAAAGTCTCGAATCATGGCAGCCTGGGAAGAAACCGACAAAGCTTTGGCCAGCTTCATTCGAGGCGTACCACTTATCTGCCTCGCTGCTATAGCATTTTGGATGACCAGATCAACGAAGCCACGTGAGACCACTGCAAAAGTAGCACAAGACAGGATATCGGAATTGAAGTCCAACTCCGATTTGCCTAGGCCTCCAGTCCTAAAGGCATCAGACCATGCCAACGACCACAAAGTCCATCTCTTACTAGCTGCCACTGGATCCGTAGCAACTATCAAGATTCCAAACATCATTCAGGCACTATCTCATCATCCCAATCTCTCCATACGGGTAATCATGACAGAATCAGCAGGCCAATTCCTCCAAGGTCAATCGCACGAACAACCTTCGCTGTTGGAAATCTCCAAACTACCCAATGTCGATGCCATCTACCGAGATGAAGACGAATGGCACGAACCATGGGCCAGGGAAAACAATATACTTCATATCGAGCTACGACGTTGGGCCGACTTGATGGTCATCGCGCCGCTCTCTGCAAACGCATTGGCCAAGATATCGAATGGCTTTTCTGACACGCTGGTGTACTCTTCAGTTCGCGCTTGGGATACAGCTGGGTTGATAGATGCACCGCGACCCGGGATCGCATTGCCCTATGATGACAGTGCTGCCCAGAAAGGTACCGAGCGAGAGGGCAAAGGACGGAAGGGGATTATTGTTGCGCCTGCAATGAACACTGCTATGTGGAATCATCCGGCGACAGCGAAGCATATGGAAGTCCTCGAGGGAGAATGGAACATCAGGAATGGAGGATGGTTCGAGGTACTGAGGCCGATCGAGAAAAGAATCGCATGTGGCGATACTGGCAGTGGAGGCATGAAGGAATGGGCAGAGATCGTAAAGACGATCGAGATGAGATTACGTCTCACTACATCAAGAGATGAGGAGAGGAAATGACGCTCAAAGGATGAGTATTAAGATGCTTGAGGACTAACTTCGTTATGTCGTTACCATGAGCGAGAGTACAATGGGTATCTGCGCCAAAAAGACGAAAGACGCTTGCTGCTTTCTGATGCTGTGATCTGAAGCGACTGAGAGAATACGAAATTCCTGGTCCGAGTTGTCACCGGAGCGATCTCTGGACCAATGTGGACGTGTAGCAACTGCAGCTGTCTCAATCATACTCTCCACCGGAATGCCTGGCTCTCGCCCGTACGACTTGGGTGAAGCGCACTGTCTGGTCTCTGGACGAGATGAGCGAACTGCGGGTTAACGCCCATTGGACCAGAAATCTCTGGCTCACGATGTTGGACATTGACAGGCAGTGGCGGCGCCAAGCTCTGTCTGCTCTGGCGGCCGAACATGCCAAAGACTTTCTTCTTGGTGCAGTTCGTCGTGCGGGAATAGTAGCTAGACCGATTGGTTGGCGACACCGGCTCGTCTTTGACTGGTGAATCAATGCGAGTGGACGCTGCAGTGTGGTACGATGGTAGACCTGACTGTCGACGCTCTGAGTTCAAGAATCGGAATGGGTTGCTGCTCTTGGTCGGTGATGGCGTGATCGGCTTGGAGATGTAGGACTGGGCTAGGACTGGAGCCGGTGGGGTCTTGATTGAGCCACTCTCACTAGCAATAGGAGTCTTGTGTACGGCGACAGCACCATGAGAGCGAACAGCCCGAGCTGTGATGCCTTGCTTGCGGTCTCGGAAAACGTAGCTCTAGAGAGGACATTAGTACTGTCTGTGATCAGGAGTTGAAGATACTGCTTACGGCTACCAGGTTGATCCAACCAAGAATGAAGATCAGGATACCAGAACCAATGACGATAGACCAGAACGATTTGCCAAGTGCTTCCTCGCTACCAGAGGGCTTGTTCAAGTTGCCCATGACGTTGATTCCAAGAACGATCATAGCGAGAGCAAGAGTGACGAAGCCATGGCCGGGGGACAACAGTGGCCAGTTGCGTGCAAAATAGGCACGGAAGAGGGGAAGCTCGGATACGATGAGGAACACTAGCAGAGGTCAGCTTTCTGGCAGATGGAAGTAGAAAAAGAAGACTTACGACTCGTAACGAGTGTGATGACGTGACTGAGAGCATCGAAAAAGAACAGATGGGTGTCCGTGGAGGTCTTGACTAGCATCACCACGCTTGCGGTGATGACTGCCATGAAGCCAATGATGTTCATAACGCGGATGCCGTTCAGGATGATGTAACCAGCACCTGACAAGTTCTTAGGAGAGAGCGCCATCTTGTCCGTCTTCTCCGAGGTCTTGCTTCTCGCGAACGCGAACCGGGCAGCTATCGCTTGGACGCGTTCGAGTTCGACGGGGATGTAGATGAGCCTGTTGTTGCTTCTGGTCAGTGCGAGAAGCTCCAGACTACACGGCACAACGTACTTATCAGTTGGGTAAAGACGCAGAAACATGTGTGAGTGGGTGTCTCCGCTCACGAGATTAGATTTTGAGCTGTCCGGCAGTCGTACAGTGTATTGGTTGTTGCGCTGCTTGAAGAGCTTCTTTTGCGGGTGGTTGATCGGCCAGCGAATTCGGGATTAATGAACGTTCGAGTGTTGTCTTGTCGTAGGCAGAAGAGATGGAGAGAAGGAAAGGAGACAAAGGCCAAAGCCTCTCGAAGGCAACGGACACTTCTTCGTGGAAGAATAGGTTCAACAATGGGATGTGCGCGACAATACCAGAAGGACAGTGACAATGGGCATCAACTTCACTTGAGGACCATACCAACGCGCGGGCCTGACTTCTGGGGCGGTTCCTATTGTCGCGAGACCAGGATTTGGCATGAATAGACGCGCAGCGTGAGGTGCAGACGCGCCATTGTTAGGCTCTCTTGTCATCGAAGTGAATGTTGAAACACTCGAAGGTTGCACACGGCGCGTCGGGCAGGAAATGTCGCTCGTGGAAGACGTTCAACGTGAAGTCGCGAGTCCCCAAACACGTCTGTTGGCTCACGACAGACCCGGTGCCTGCACGGTGCGGGCCTTTCCTGCGGTCCGAGGGAAGGCGGCAGACGATTGGCGATGATCGTGCCTGCGTCGAAGCGCTCAAAGCGTTTCATGGTGCAGGCGCGAGCGTCCCCATCGGAGACGCGACCTTTTCCAATTAAAAACCTTTTGCACAAAGAATACCATACCACACAGTAATATACATTAAGTTGACCGCTGAAACGAGACGATTCCGCTAGTACTAATATTTTCGCGATACGACGAGGCGCTACCTCGCTATCGCTAAAATAAGTCCCGCGACGCGTCCGACTAAAACAAACCAGCGACTAACAACACTAAAGATATACTAAACCGACCTAATTCAAGACAATACTATACTATTTATAAAGCACTACCGCGATATCGAAGCATAGTTAAAGGGCGAACCTAGGAAGAGTAGACCGACTAAGATTAACGCGCTTAAAGTGCTAGATAAGCTAGTAGAATTCGGCCTTAACTACGCGTCCTAAGTAACTAACTATGCAACGAACGATATTAGCATTATGCTATATAACATTTAAGCAAGATTAGTTTACTCGGCTATAGTCGAGAAAGAAATACTATACTATATAAAAGCTAGCCCGCGAGGCTACGCTTTAGTAGCACGCGAATCTACACAAGCTATACAGAAGGCGGTACTCTCTCTACGGCATTTAAACTTAGGCTAAGGGGAAAGGACTATTAACCTATCGACAATCTATACTCTTTAAATTAAAATACTAGACCTATTAGCCTAAAAGGCACTCCGTACGGCTAACTAAGAGCTATTTAGACTGCTATCCCTTATTAATAAGAACGCGAGAAACTAAGGCGTTTAGGCATAGGTCGATATAGCAAAACAACTACTATCGGGAGACCTCGAGCTACACTTTAACGACTACGAATAGAGGGAACAATTTATACGCTAATCGACACTGTTTCTAAATAGGCTAGGCTTAGGAACTACTATTATTACCTATACCTATCCTCTAGTTATTTATAGTATACCGACGCGCATAATTAGCATATAGGCGGCCGGTAAACAGAAGGCTATTAAAGAGATTCTCCTCTAAAACAGCGCTACTATCTTAAACGGCGCAATTACATATATCGGCTAGCTAGTTAAAACGAGAGCTAACACAAAACCGACATTATTAATAGTCCTTTATTTTACCCGCGCTTCTAACGCTAATAAGGTACTAGATCGAGGCCTACGGTAGTATAGTAGCCTATATATAGCCGAAATCTTTAAACTAGGCGCGAGGATCTAATAGTGCTTCAAATGCTAACTATACGGTTATAACGGAACCCGGTGCCGTATACTAGAACGATACCCGCTATATGCTAGGCTATATAAGAAGGAGGCCTACTAGCTAGATACGCCGCTACGCTACGCGCTCTGCTTAGGACTATATATAGCATTTAGCGAGGGCTGCCCCGAGAGAAGGAAGGCTAAAGCAAAAGCAGCGGCGTCGAGGGAGCACTGTATAAGGTTTAATATCCTAGCGGAGGAACGACTAACTAAATAGCAGGGTAGACGAGTAGAAGTAGGCGGCTACCGAGACCCGGAAAACAGCTAAGCCTAGACGCTAGGGGCACAATTAAAACAGACCGGCTATATTATACTACCCGACTCGGACCTACTAAGCGATAAGGACCTACGGCCGGGGAGGCCCCTTTCGGATATAGGTAAATAACGCGTCTTACGCGTTCTAGAGCCTAGCGGTAGTATAGCGAAAGCAACAGCTGCCGCACTAAGCGCTAAAGCAAATTTAGTGTCTTTATCGCCTACGCCCGCCGTCCTAACACCTTGCCTAGACCGTATTCCCTCTACGTAGAATTAGGTCTAAGTTTATACCGACCTAGACAACTACTAGGAGCGCCCGCCAACTACTGTACTATTATTATCGCAGAAGAACACGCTACTCTTACCTCTTAAGAACTTAGCGCTCTATATTAAAAAGCTAAAATTAAAAGCTAAAGAGGTAGAGGCCCTACTATAAGCCGAGCAGGCCCGGGAACGCGCTAAAGCAAGGAAAAGAAAGCAACTAATCGAAGACGACCTAACCTAACTCTACGCAAACAGTTAACAATCTAGCGCCGATTTAGGGGACTTAATCGGTAACCTAGAACAGCTTAAAACACTCGACTAAGGACGAGGTAAGCGAATTAAAACCCTTACGCAAAGCGGTTAATAAGTAGCCGCTAAAATTGCTAAGAAGAAGGCAAAGAGCCTTAAGCGGAAACGGGCCTCTAAACGCAATTTAGAGAGCGACAAAGAGAACTAGCTAAAGCGGGTTACTCGCCGCATAAGCATAGCACTAATTCAAGCATTACCGTAGAAAGTGCTTACCGAAGACGAATAGATACTCTAGCTAGTACGAGGCGATCTAGCAGCAATAGGCGATAGCGATACGAGCTCTAGCGCAGCCGGAGCTAGCAGCAGTACTAGCAGCGACGAGTTATAGGACACGCTATTCTAACCGGACAGCTACGACAACGTTAGAGACCGGTAGAGCTACCGCTCTCTAAAACACTACGTATCCTTTAATACAACGTAGCCGGTAGCATCTACCGTATAGTAGCGCTATTCGATAGCCCCTAAATTTATAAATACGACATTATCGCTATTTAAGAGCCGTACCTTAACAAACAGAACGAAGGCTACGTACTTACACACTAGCCGCAACGGGACCTCTTCTAGCTCCTCTTTTTAGGCAAGCCGGACGCGAGAGTAGCTATATTCGTTACAAAACGATAGGCTATAAGTAAATGGATAACTTACCTTACCGAGGAATACGTATACAAAATTACCGTCCGATTAGGGCAACAAACGCTTACTATAATCAATGCCTACTAACTACTAATCGATAACGACTCTACGGTTATTTAATACCTCGTAGGACACATTACGCTATATACAATCCTCGTAGGCGATTTCAATATATACTATTAAAGTTAGATGCCTAACAAACCGAACAACGTAAGAGGCCGATAGCTTAACTAAATAGCCTAGGACTATTACCTTGCATAGGTAGTCCCTAGCGGACAAACGACTAGAATCGACCCGAGAGATAGCGGTACATTAACACTAGACCTCGTCTTTTATTTACCGGCTATTACTTACCGAAACCTCTTAATTAGTATAGAGCACGACTAGGACTCTAACTACCTGCTAGTTGAATCGACATTTGTCTTCGCTAGCCTGCTACTATAACTGTAGGAAGAGTAACGAAGGAAGTAGAAACAAACCGACATTTACGCACTCTCCGCCTACCTACGATAGCTACAAGTTCTAAGCGTAGACGAGCTTAACTTACTAGAACGCCTTAACGAATGTGTTATTAGGCTCTAAGCAATACTCTATTAGGCAATTAAAGAGGCAGTCCCTACGGCGAGATATACTAAAGGCCGAACGAGAACCGGCTAGACCTCTAAATTTATAGTACTACGTTAAGAGACCCGGTAGCTTAAGCGGCACCTCCGACGCCGTTAAATTACCGAAGGCCCCGAATATAAAAGGTACTTAGAACTATGCGGCGAATACAAACGACAACTCCGTACGTAGAAAAGAGACTAATTTAGGTAGGACATAGCAGCCTACGACAACAATCTTCCTCGACTTTAGAAGGTAATTAAATAGAAGTCTAACTAAGGGTGCCCTCGGACCTTACACTTTCTAACAATGTAACATAATAGACAGTCAATTACCTCTAGCTACGACAAGGCTAAGCTGCTAGAGTCGGCTTTCTTTCCGGTATAAAGGGCGGCCGATTTGATAGACATTATACCCGACTTTAACTACTTTAAGCCTATCCCCTACCTACTAATTACGCTCTACGAAGTAGTACTAGCGGTAAAGAAGATAGCTACTAGGAAAGCCCTAGGACTAGATAGTATTCCGGCGGAGATTATTAAGAGAGTACTAATGTACCTACTACTATTCGAAGAGGAGCTATTAGAATTAGGCTCTAGCTCCGACTCCGACTCCGAGAGTAAAGGTAGTATACCGAATAGCAGTAACTACTTAGAGGACACTACTACCTCCGCGGCAAGCGCCCGCTAATAAGAGGACGAGGAACTATTAGGCCTAACGCTATTCTACGCGTACATTACGGCGCTTTTCAACGCCTCCCTTAAGCTCGGTTACTACCTATAGGCCCTCCGGACATCTGCGACGGTCGCCCTTTAAAAGCTAGGCAAAGATCTAGTAACGCTAAAGGGATACCGACCGATCGCCTTACTTAATATAATAGGCAAATACTTAGAAA